CTCCCCCCCCCCCCCTACCCTACCCTCCCCCCTCCCCTCCTACCCCCCCCTCCCCTCCTACCCTCCCCCCCTACCCCCTCTACCCTCACCCTCACCCTCCTACCCCTCACCCTCCCCTCCTACCCTCCCCCTCCTACCCTCACCCTCACCCTCCTACCCTCCCCCTCACCCTCCTACCCTCCTCCTACCCTCACCCTCACCCTCCTACCCTCCCCTCCCTCACCCTCCTACCCTCCCCCTCCCCTCCTACCCTACCCCTCCTACCCTCCCTCCTACCCTCACCCTCACCCTCCTACCCTCCCCCTCCCCCTCCTACCCTCCCCCTCCTACCCTCCCCCTCCCCCTCCTAACCTCCCCCTCCTACCCTCCTACCCTCCCCCCTCCCCCCCCCCCCCCCCCCCCCCCCTCACCCTCCTACCCTCACCCTCCTACCCTCACCCTCCCACCCTCACCCTCCTACCCTCACCCTCCTACCCTCACCCTCCTACCCTCACCCTCCTACCCTCACCCTCTTACCCTCCCCCTCCTACCCTCCCCCTCCCACCCTCACCCTCCTACCCTCACCCTCCTACCCTCACCCTCCCACCCTCACCCTCCTACCCTCACCCTCTTACCCTCACCCTCCTACCCTCACCCTCCTACCCTCACCCTCCTACCCTCACCCTGTTACCCTCACCCTCCTGGCCCCCTACCCCTCCTGATCCCAACCACTGGCTCGGGTCCAATCCCTGACTGTCCGCCTTGGGACGTCCTCCCAACGTGAAAGGCTCTGCGACAATGTAATTTGTTGTTGTTGCAGTCTTTGAGTTTAAGACGGTGACTTTGTGGTGGATTCCCACCAGAGGCAGCGAGGCCGACCTGTCAATCCTGACCAGCCCTCGGTCACTGAGTGACTGACCGACCGGTCGACTGACCCGCTGAGCCACCAATCCAGACACTGACCAAGCACATACCCACACAGTCACTACACCAGACAGTGAAACCCTGTGGAGAGCTTCGAGATCATTCTTTCTCTGATCGTCTTTGTCTTATTTGTTACACCCACAAAATATACAGTCACTACACTTTACAATGTACGCTGTGAAGCGCTTGGAGACGTTTAGAAGCTGCGATAAGGTGCGATATCAAATGCAACGATTATTATTATGATTGTATTATTATTACTGTTGCTTTGTTATTATAATTATATTGTTGTTGTTGTTGTTGTTATTTGGCAGCTGGTGATGCCCGGAGTGAGGGGGAGGATGGCGGTGCTCCTCGTGCTGCTGACCCTGGCGGCTTGTGCTCAGGGACAGTGTCCGGCCGACTGTCTGACTTGTGACAGAATGCTCCAACCAGCCCAGCGCTTCAATATCCTGGTGAGTCTGAGCATCACACCCTCCAACTAGCCCTCCCACCCTCCAACTAGCCCTCCCACCCTCCAACTAGCCCTCCCACCCTCCAACTAGCCCTCCCACCCTCCAACTAGCCCTCCCACCCTCCAACTAGCCCTCCCACCCACCAACAAACCCTCCCACCCACCAACTAGCCCTCCCACCCTCCAACAAGCCCTCCCACCTCCAACTAGCCCTCCCACCCTCCAACTAGCCCTCCCACCCTCCAACTAGCCCTCCCACCCTCCAACTAGCCCTCCCACCCTCCAACTAGCCCTCCCACCCTCCAACTAGCCCTCCCACCCACCAACAAACCCTCCCACCCACCAACAAGCCCTCCCACCCTCCAACAAGCCCTCCCACCCTCCAACAAGCCCTCCCACCCTCCAACAAGCCCTCCCACCCTCCAACAAGCCCTCCCACCCTCCAACTAGCCCTCCCACCCTCCAACTAGCCCTCCCACCCTCCAACTAGCCCTCCCACCCTCCAACTAGCCCTCCACCCTCCAACTAGCCCTCCCACCCTCCAACGAGCCCTCCCACCCTCCAACGAGCCCTCCCACCCTCCAACGAGCCCTCCCACCCTCCAACGAGCCCTCCCACCCTCCAACGAGCCCTCCCACCCTCCAACGAGCCCTCCCACCCTCTAACTAACCCTCCCACTCTCCAACTAGCCCCCCCGCCCTCCAACTAGCCCTCCCACCCACTAACTAGCCCTCCAACTAGCCCTCCCACCCTCCAACTAGCCCTCCCACCCTCCAACTTCCCCTCCCACCCTCCAACTAGCCCCCCCGCCCTCCAACTAGCCCCCCACCTCCAACTAGCCCCCCCACCCTCCAACTAGCCCCCCCACCCTTCAACTAGCCCCCCCACCCTCCAACTAGCCCCCCACCCTCCAACTAGCCCCCCCACCCTCCCAACTAGCCCTCCCACCCTCCCAACTAGCCCTCCCACCCTCCCAACTAGCCCTCCCACCCTCCCAACTAACCCTCCCACCCTCCAACTAACCCTCCCACACACTAACTAACCCTCCCACACACTAACTAACCCTCCCACACACTAACTAGCCCACCCACCCTCCAACCTCCAACTAACCCTCCCACCCTCCAACTAGCCCTCCCACCCTCCAACTAGCCCTCCACCCTCCAACTAACCCTTCCACCCTCCAACTAACCCTCCCACCACTAACTAGCCCTCCCACCCTCCAATCCTCTAACTAGCCCTCCCACCCTCCAACTAACCCTCCCACCCTCCAACTAACCCTCCCACCCACTAACTAGCCCTCCCACCCTCCAATCCTCTAACTAGCCCTCCCACCCTCAACTAGCCCTCCCACCCTCTAACTAGCCCTCCCACCCCCAACTAGCCCTCCCACCCTCCAATCCTCTAACTAGCCCTCCCACCCTCCAACTAGCCCTCCCACCCTCCAATCCTCTAACTAACCCTCCCACCCACCAACTAACCCTCCCATCCTCCAACTAACCCTCCCACCCTCCAACTAGCCCTCCCACCCTCCAACTAGCCCTCCCACCCACTAACTAACCCTCCCACCCTCCAACTAGCCCTCCCACCCATCAACAAGCCCTCCCACCCACTAACTAACCCTCCCACCCTCCAACTAGCCCTCCCACCCTCCAACTAACCCTCACACCCACTAACTAACCCTCCCACCCTTCAACTAACCCTCCCACCCACTAACTAACCCTCCCACCCTCCAACTAGCCCTCACACCCTCCAACTAACCCTCCCACCCTCTAACTAATCCTCCCACCTTCTAACTAACCCTCCTACCCACTAACTAACCCTCCCACCTTCTAACTAACCCACCACCCACTAACTAACCCTCCCACCCTCTAACCAACCCTCCCACCCACTAACTAACCCTCCCACTCTCTAACTAACCCTCCCATCCTCTAACCCTCCCACCCTCTAACCATCCCACCCTCTAACTAACCCTCCTACCCTCTAACTAACCCTCCTACCCTCTAACTAACCCTCCCATCCTCTAACTAACCCTTCCACCCTCTAACTAACCCTCCCACTCTCCAACTAACCCTCCCATCCTCCAACTAACCCTCCCACCCACTAACTAACCCTCCTACCCTCTAACTAACCCTCCTACCCTTTAACTAACCCTCCCACCCTCTAACTAACCCTCCCACTCTCCAACTAACCCTCCCATCCTCCAACTAACCCTCCCACCCACTAGCTAACCCTCCCACCCTCTAACCAACCCTCCCACTTTCTAACTAACCCTCCCACCCACTAACTAACTGTCTCACCCTCTAACCCTCCCACCCTCTAACTAACCCTCCCACCCTCTAACTAACCCGCTCACCCTCTAACTAACCCTCCCACCCTCTAACTAACTGTCTCACCCTCTAACCCTCCCACCCTCTAACCCTCCCACCCGCTAACTAACCAAGTGAGAGACTGCGTCAAGTGCTCTGAGACACTGCTCCGTGTGAAGGCACTGACTATGTACAAGTTGTTGTTGTTCTGAAGCCCCCCCCCCCCCCCCCCCCCACCGCCCCACACAGCTCAGTGCTCCCTGTTGTCACTGTGGAGCAGTTGGAGAGGTTCCGGGATGTGGGATGAGCTGCACTGTCTGCGGTGCGGCCAAGACGGGGACCACAATCCATGTGCAATTCCTAGTTCCTGGTGGGAATTCTCAGCACAGGAGCGCCATCCAGTGGGGGAGAGCCAGACCTGCCGGAGGGTCACCAGGACTCTGGATTGCGGCAAAAAGATTTTTTAAGTGTCCGACACACGTGGAAACCCATCACCAGCGTTCGGAGTCTCCAAACCAAACTGAGAATTCCATGGTTCCCACCCGCACATGGAGATCCCAGAGATAGACTGTTGGAATGGAATACGCGCTCTCTCTCGCTCTCTCCCTAATTCCGGAAAATATTAGGCGCAGTTTGGCAAGAGCCAAGGCCTGGAGACCCCAGAGTACGCGTCAGGGTAACTACTGGAGTCTAACCAGCCGAAACAGCATAGATTGCCATTGCGAGCACTGTCTGGCAAACTTACCCGTTGCTTGTCAACCAGTTAGTGCTTTGCCTAATAATAACAATAATAATTACAAGAATAATCCTTGCATTTGATATAGCGCTTCTTACATCTTCGAGACGTCTCAAAGTGATTCGCAGAATATACTGTAAAGTGAATTAACTGTATATTTTGTGGGTGAAAACGCGGCAGCCAATTGCGCACAGCAGTGTCCCACAAACAGTCGTGGATTGAGTGACCAAATTATTATATTTATTTATTTTGAAGGGGTTATTACCTGCGGAAAAGCGATCCGCGAATCGACAAACAGACAGGTTCCTACTTACTGCTCGGTAAACCAAGGCGTGTGGAGTAAGGCAAGTTGCCTAAGGTTTCGCTCTGCTCGGGAATCAAATGCACGTCCTCTCACTTACGAGGCTCGTGCTCTAACCACTACCCTACAGGACTGCACAGGAAAGTCTCGGCCCAGTCGGGTGCTCAGTCAGTCTATTCACCGGAAAGTGAATTGACTCTGTATTTTGTGGGCAAAAATGATGAAAAGTCTTTCGGACTTCTCAAGATGCTTTGCAGTATTTTACTGTGACGCCTGGTGACTCCGCGCTTATAGGTGAAGGCAGCAGCCAATTTGATTGTCGGCTGCACTCCGGGAGGAAAGTGGTGATGTAACAGCAGGGAATGTACAATTCCTGACAACCTGATGGCTTTGTGATGGAGGTCAGGGAGAACTGCGGGAGGGTCCCTGGGATTTGTGATTGTCAGGAAGAATCGCCCCACTCGATCTCAGCCTCACACAGTGTGTAACACCTGCGGAAACCCGCTTCCACGTTCAGGGCGAGTTGTAGAATTCTCCGTGATTCAAAACAGTTGGAACGATTGAGAGGGGACCTGACTGAGGCGTTTAAAATTGTGAAAGGGTCAGTCGCAAGCGAGTGGACCTGGGTTCGACTCCCGGGCCAGGCAACACCTCAGGCACGTTTCCTTATTCAACACTGTTAACTTAGCAGTGAGTTGGAACCCGGTTGTTGGTCAATTTGTGGGATTGCTTTCTGGGGGTAATAATCCCATCAAAAAAAAAAAAATTTGGTCACTCAAACCACGACTGCTTGTGGGACACTGCTGTGCGCAAGTGCTGTTGCATTTCGCCCACAAAATAATGGACAGTCAATCCACTTTACGGCATATTCTGTGAAGCGCTTTGAGATGTCTCAATCTCTGACTGTCCAGCGCCTTGGGACGTCCTTGCGATCTGAACGGCTCTTGTCTTGTGTTGTTTCAGGTGTGTGCACTGCGGTGTGAGGGGAAGCTGTGGGACGAGTGCCGGAGGGAGGAGACGGTGAAGGAGGGTGAGACGGTCCAGCCTGTGGGGAGCTGGCCTCTGGCGGGGGGCAAGGCTGCGGGGCTTGGGGTCTCGCTCAGCGTGGGTCAGAGCCAGCCTGGGGCTTGGGGGCTACACCCTGGAGGGGCTGTGAGCTCGGGGCCGGTCTGGCCCCTGGGTGACGGGCTGTACCTATCGCCGCTCGGCCTCTCGGTGAGCGGGAAGAAGAGGGATTTGGGGCCCAGGGCCGTAGAGGTCAACAGAAGCTTCCAGAAAAGATACGGGGGCTTCATGGGAGTGAGGAAATCCATCAGGGACTGGAGGACCCTCAACAGACAGAGCAGCCAGAAGAGATACAGCAAGGCCTTACTGAGGCGTTACTTTGGCCTGGCAGCTCGCTCCAGCCAGTACCAGAGCTCGGCAGCTCAGCTTAATCAGTAACTAACCCCAGCCCGGCCCCCACTAACTAGCCCTCAGCCCCCAGTAACTAGCCCTCAGCCCCCAGTAACTAGCCCTCAGCCCCCAGTAACTAGCCCTCAGCCCCCAGTAACTAGCCCTCAGCCCCCAGTAACTAACCCTCAGCCCCCAGTAACTAGCCCTCAGCCCCAGTAACTAACCCTCAGCCCCCAGTAACTAGCCCTCAGCCCCCAGTAACTAACCCTCAGCCCCCAGTAACTAGCCCTCAGCCCCCAGTAACTAGCCCTCAGCCCCCAGTAACTAGCCCTCAGCCCCCAGTAACTAACCCTCAGCCCCCAGTAACTAGCCCTCAGCCCCCAGTAACGAGCCCTCAGCCCCCAGTAACTAACCCTCAGACCCCAGTAACTAACCCTCAGGCCCCAGTACCTAACCCTCAGACCCCAGTAACTAACCACAGCCCCAAGTAACTAACCCTCAGGCCCCAGTAACTAACCCTCAGCCCCCAGTAACTAACCCTCAGCCCCCAGTAACTAACCACAGCCCCCAGTAACTAACCACAGCCCCCAGTAACTAGCCCTCAGCCCCCAGTAACTAACCACAGCCCCCAGTAACTAACCACAGACCCCAGTAACTAGCCCTCAGCCCCCAGTAACTAGCCCTCAGCCCCCAGTAACTAACCCTCAGGCCCCAGTAACTAGCCCTCAGCCCCCAGTAACTAACCCACAGCCCCCAGTAACTAACCCTCAGCCCCCAGTAACTAACCACAGCCCCCAGTAACTAGCCATCAGCCCCCAGTAACTAACCCTCAGCCCCCAGTAACTAACCACAGCCCTCAGTAACTAACCACAGCCCCAAGTAACTAACCCTCAGCCCCCAGTAACTAACCCTCAGGCCCCAGTAACTAGCCCTCAGCCCCCAGTAACTAACCCACAGCCCCCAGTAACTAACCCTCAGCCCCCAGTAACTAACCACAGACCCCAGTAACTAACCACAGCCCCCAGTAACTAACCACAGACCCCAGTAACTAACCACAGCCCCCAGTAACTAGCCATCAGCCCCAGTAACTAACCCTCAGCCCCAGTAACTAACCACAGCCCTCAGTAACTAACCACAGCCCCCAGTAACTAACCCTCAGCCCCCAGTAACTAACCACAGCCCCAAGTAACTAACCCTCAGCCCCCAGTAACTAGCCCTCAGCCCCCAGTAACTAGCCCTCAGCCCCCAGTAACTAGCCCTCAGCCCCCAGTAACTAAACCTCAGCCCCCAGTAACTAACCCTCAGCCCCAGTAACTAGCCCTCAGCCCCCAGTAACTAGCCCTCAGCCCCCAGTAACTAAACCTCAGCCCCAGTAACTAGCCCTCAGCCCCCAGTAACTAGCCCTCAGCCCCCAGTAACTAACCACAGCTCAGCTAAACCAGTAATTAACCCCATGTAACCAGCCCACTGTCACCTTCCCTCACCTCACTACACCCCTTACTCTCACTGCCTCCCCTCACACCCACTACCCTCCTCACCCTCTCACACCGCCCCTCACCCTCTCACACCGCCCCTCACCCTCTCACACCGCCCCTCACCCTCTCACACCGCCCTCACCCTCTCACACCGCCCCTCACCCTCTCACACCGCCCCTCACCCTCTCACACCGCCCCTCACCCTCTCACACCGCCCCTCACCCTCTCACACCGCCCCCCACCCTCTCACACCGCCCCTCACCCTCTCACACCGCCCCTCACCCTCTCACACCGCCCCTCACCCTCTCACACCGCCCCTCACCCTCTCACACCGCCCCTCACCCTCTCACACCGCCCCTCACCCTCTCACACCGCCCCTCACCCTCTCACACCGCCCCTCACACCGCCCCTCACCCTCTCACACCGCCCCTCACCCTCTCACACCGCCCCTCACCCTCTCACACCGCCCCTCACCCTCTCACACCGCCCCTCACCCTCTCACACCGCCCCTCACCCTCTCACACCGCCCCTCACCCTCTCACACCGCCCCTCACCCTCTCACACCGCCCCTCACCCTCTCACACCGCCCCTCACCCTCTCACACCGCCCCTCACCCTCTCACACCGCCCCTCACCCTCTCACACCGCCCCTCACACCGCCCCTCACCCTCTCACACCGCCCCTCACCCTCTCACACCGCCCCTCACCCTCTCACACCGCCCCTCACCCTCTCACACCGCCCCTCACCCTCTCACACCGCCCCTCACCCACTCACACCGCCCCTCACCCTCTCACACCGCCCCTCACCCTCTCACACCGCCCCTCACCCTCTCACACCGCCCCTCACCCTCTCACACCGCCCCTCACCCTCTCATACCGCCCCTCACCCTCCGCCCTGGACACGGAGACATCTGTATTTTTGTATCTGTTGAACTGACCGCGTGCCGAGCTGCCCACGGCCTTGCGGCCCAGCTGTTGGGCAGCGCTAAAAGCATGAACAATAAAGAGCCTGGGCTCCATGTCGCAGCAACACCACGCTTCTCATATTTTCTTCTCAGCGTTTGTGTAACTGCACGACAACAGGGGGGGGGTTTGGTGTTTACGTTGGGGGGTGAGGGGGGAGCTGAGACCTTGTTTCGTAAAAATTAAATTTTGGTAATGGAGGGGCCGGGGGTTGAACCCAGAAAACAAACTATCAGCAAGGACTTTAATGTCATCAGGACTGGAAAAATGTTACCAGTGGAGTTCCACAATAATCTGTTTTGGGACCTCTTTTGTTTAATATTTTTATAAATGATCTGGAACTAGGAGTCGGCAGCACAGTGGCTAAGTTTGCACATGACACCAAGCTAATGAAGGTGGTAGATTGCGAAGCTGAACAAGAGAGGTTACAGGAGGATTTGACCATACTTGGGAATTGGGCAGATCGTGGCAGATGACATTCAATGTGGAGAAATTAGTCCATAACCTTTAGTGAGATCTCAAAGGCTCGATGCTGTGGGGCAGATTTACCAAATCCGAGGTTACAAATATGAAAGGGCTAATCACACAGCAAAACTTGTGTCTCTGCTCATGTATAAATGCGACGGCAGAAATAGGCGACTGTAGGATTTGTGCCGGTGCCGAGAGTGAAGAAAACCTGCGGGTCTGAGACACAGTGAGTTTGGGGGGTGGTGGGTGGGGGCGTGTTTCAGGTGCTTTGATTTCACAACCATTAAGCGTTTCCCTGGCTCTTCGGACGGACGCTCAGGACCATGTTTTCATTACCAGCACCCATCAGGACTTGGCCACACAGGGCACCAGAAGCAAGAGGCAGAGAGAGAGAGAGAGAGAGAGAGACACACAGTCACACACACACAGGGAGAGGAGTGCGGAGGAGAGATCGAGCTGGGAGTTCCAAAGGTTAGGAGCGTAGTGCTCACGGCATGTGGGTCAACCTTATATTATATTTACTTTTAACTAAATAAACAGGGAATGTGGGATGGAGTTCCAAAGGGTTTGGGCAGAGAGGCTGAAGGCGCAAACTCCGATGATGGGGTGCGCCGGGCGGGGGACATGGAACAGGCCGGGGCACGCTGAGCTGAGCGGAGGGAGCAGACAGATTGATATGTGGTTAGCAGGTCACAGAGGTAGGAGGGAGAAAGGCCATGGAGGGCTTTTGAAGGTGAGGGCGAGGATTTTGAAGTCTATCCCCTGGGGGTGATGGGGTCACGGAGCCTCCTGAGGGGGAAGACACCAGCTGCAGAGTTCTGGATGATTTGCAGCTTGTGGAGGGAAGAGTTGGGGAGGCCGACGAACAGGGAATTGGCGTAGTTAAGCCCAGAGGTAATAAATGTGCATCAGCCTGAGGGGAGAGACAGTGGTGGAGATAATCAAGCTCACAGAGACAGGCGATTCTTTATTAAAGAAACCGTCATATAATGATGTGATTGCACAGAAAGGTACAGTTGGCAATCCAGGAAACATGTTTCAATAGCCACACTTCTCCTACTTTTCACCTAACATAGTGTGTGTGTGTGTGTGTTCATTTCTCCTCATTAATATATCCAACCAAGCAAGGAAAAGATTCCAAGCGGAAAACAATTAAACATACATCAGATTCCTGACGAAAAAGGTCATAAGGTAATTAAACAGCATAATAATCAGCTAAACAGAATCAAATGATCAACATATTAAAGTGACGACTCCTGTATGGCTTATATAGTATATTAAAAATACATATATAGATCATCCGCAAAATACAGTCAATTCACATACGAGTGTATTCTGTGAAGTGCTTTGAGATATCTCAGTGGTGTGATGAAGCACTATATCAAGTGGAAAGATTACCATTGTTTATGTTAGCAAAGCTTAGTAAAAGCAGATATATATTGCCATGATGCATTATTCTTGTATCAAGAACAATTAACTCAGTAATAGTAAGAGAGAGAGGGGGGTGGCCTGTAAAGTGTGTATTTAAAGAGCACAAAGAGAGAAAGTTACACTAACAGTAATAGTAATATCAGTAACAATTAACTTCAGTAATAGTAATAATAATCCTTGCATTTGATATAGCACCTTATCACGTCTTTAAGACGTCTCAAGGTGCTTTATAGAATAGACTGTAAAGTGGAGCGACTGTTTATTTTGTGGGTGAAATGGATCAGCCTCTGATGGTTGATGGGTTGGGACACACACACAGCAAAGCTGAACCATGTGAGGAAGGAGCAGTGGACAAGGCCTCCTCAGTCTATTTATCTGTCTGTCTGTGGTGACTGACCCTCTTCCCTCACTACCTCTCTCTCTCTCTCTCTCAAGTTTCCACGTTGTAATAAAGATACACGGTCCACCTTTTGCTTTGTACAAAGATTTTACATCTGGCGTAGAGAGTTCATCCAATGTACGATGGCAGGCTCCCAATCTCAGAGGCTGAGCCTGTAACCTCTCCATCTCTCCCCCAAAACACAGCAAATAGTTTGTAGACTGAGTGTGTCTGTTTCTCTGTCTTTCTTTCTCTCTTTGTGCTCTTTAAATACACACTTTACAGGCCACCCCCCTCTCTCTTTAAACATATTCCCCTTCTTTAAACGCCCACATGCGCTCTTTAAACACAGTCACTCTCTCTCATTTTATCTGTCTTTTTCTCTACTTCTGTCACTATATCCTTCAGTCGCTCTATCACTCGCTCTCACTCTCTAAGTACACTCATTCCCTCTCTCGCTCGCTAAAGTGGTGTCCAAAACTTGAGAGTTTAAAACTGTGGTCTAACTAATGATTTATATAAGTTTAGCATAACCTCTTTGTATGTATATTCCATACCCCTATTTATAAATCCTAAGATTCTATCTGCTTTTTTGATAGCTTTGACCACCTGCCTTCCCACCTTTAAGTATTTATGTACATTAACCTCAAGTCCCTTTGCTTGTCCACTCCTCTTAATATTTTACTTGTTCTCCTTTTACTTCCTCCCAAAATGTATAACCTCACATTTGTCCACATTAAATTTCATTAGCCATTTCTGCCCAATAACCCTGAAGTTGCTTAGAATCTTATTCATAGCTATTTTCGTTTATCGGCAAACTTAGAAATTGTGCATCCAGATCATTTATATAAATGGAGACAAGCGGTAGTCCTAACACTGACCGCTGGGGGACACACTATGTACTGTACATCTTTCCATCGTTCATTATCTGTTCATTATCCTTTAACCAACTTTCTATTAATTTCTATCCATTCTGCTCCCTTTCCACTAACATCATGCGCCCTGTTTTTAATAAGCTTCCTATACAGCACCTTAAATGCTCCTTCTGAGTGTTTAAAGAGACAGATAAAGGGAGACATGATACATCCGCACCCACCCAGAGTGACAAGGTCAGAGGGGAGGAAACCTGGATAGAAAGATAGAGAGAGAAAGAGATGAGAACAAGAAAGAGAGAGATATAAAGAGAGATAGAGTATCAATAAGACCATACGAAATGCTGGACAACAAAAGATCAAGGTCCATCTAGTTCACCTGCCACCTTCCTGGTGGTCACATGCACATTTGTCCAAACTGCCTATCAATGTTCAGCCTCCTGTGTGTGGGGACATTTTGCAGGAAGTGTCTGAATCGATTCATCTCCAAAACACAGCAAAGTGAGTAGAATCCTATATGACAAGGCAGATAAGGACCAATACAACTATCATGAATAAAACAGTGATTAACCATTGCTCGCTACCCCAGAACAGCAGCCATAGGAGCAAACTGGCCAGACATGTCAGGAAGACTTTATGATTGGAGTCCTGTAGCTCAGTGGTTAGAGCACTCGCTTTGCAAGCGAGAGACCTGAGTTCAATTCCAGGGACTCAGGGCCAAACCTTGGGCAAGTTTCCTCACTCCACACAGAGCCTAATAATAATACCTCCAAAACCAAAAACAATAATAAATTGGTCATTTTCAATCTACGACTGTTTGTGGGACATTGCTGTGCGCAATTGGCTGCCGCATTCGCCCACAAATATACAGTCAATTCACTTTACAGTGTGTTCTGTGAAGCGCTTTGGGACGTCCTCCTGACGTGAAAAGCGCTATATCAAATGCAAGGATTATTATTATTATTATTATTATTGCTGGTCAGACCAGCAAAGAAGTAACAAATGGCCGCTGAAGAACAGTGAGCAGGTACCTCACTGACACCTGCACCACATACACTGATGTGACTGATCGTCTCCTTCATTGAGTTCAGTTCGTGGCTCATCACCTCTCCCAGTTCTGTGCACAAAGGCTTGCAGTGGTCATTGCTCAGCCCCTCCACCAAATGATGAATAATATCTCTTATGGTAGTGACCAGAGTATCCACATGAAAGAAGCACTGGTCCTGGCAGTGGAGACAGCTCACCTTTCCCTCCAGGAGGCTGAGGAACGTGGTGCACTGTTTGAGGGTCTCTTGCACTTCAGCCAGCTGAGCAAGGCGAGCCTGTTTACCTGCGCTCATCACCTTGTTCTGCATTAGCTGCTCCTTGATCACTTTCATTTCCAGCAATTTCTGTTCTCTTTTCATGGAGAAGGTGATCTGTTCCCTCTCACACTTGCTAATGTCCTCCCTGCAGGCTGCTAAACGTGCCTTTAAACCTTCTGTCACACCTGTGAGCAGAAACAATCCCAGAATCACATTGTTAGGTGTTGTCCAGTATTTCAGGCACAGCTTTGAGACACTTTAAAGAAAGCAACAGGGAGAAATTCATTTGGTGAAACGGAGACCGGAATACAAATAATAAAAATAATCCGAGCTTTTGATATCACGTCTTATTCTTGACTTCTCTTACCCTTGACCTTTCTGCTGCCTTTAATACCATTGACCACTCTATCCTCCTCTACCGCCTCTCCTCTCACCTCAATCTTCATGGTTCTGCCCTTGAATGGTTCAGATCATACCTCTCATACCGTCTCCACTTCATCTCCACAAACGGCTTCTCCTCTAGCTCCTGCACCGTCTTGTGCGGTGTTCCTCAGGGCTCTGTCCTTGGTCGCCTCCTCTTCAATATCTACATGCTCCCTCTTGGTGACAACATCTGTAGACATGGGGTCAATTTCCACATGTCTGCGGATGGCACCCACCTCTCCCTCTCTGCCTCCACCCTTGACTCCAGGACCCACTGCTTTCCTGACACAATGTCTGTCAGACATCAAGTCCTGGATGAGAGCTAACTTTCTACAGTTGAACATCAACAAGACCGAGGCTCCTGATTGACTCTTGTCAGCACTTCCACACTTGTCAGTGGAGTCCTGTAGCTCAGTGGTTAGAGCACTCGCTTTGCAAGTGAGAGACCTGAGTTCAATTCCAGGCAGAGGGCGAAACCTCGGGCAAGTTTCCTTACTCCACACAGAGCCTAATAATAATCCCTCCAAAACCAAAAACAATAATAAATTGGTCATTTTCAACCTACGACTGTTTGTGGGACATTGCTGTGCGCAATTGGCTGCCGCGTTCGCCCACAAATATACAGTCAATTCACTTTACAGTATATTCTGTGAAGCGCTTTGGGACGTCCTCCCGACGTGAAAAGCGCTATATCAAATGCAAGGATTATTATTATTATTATTATTATTATTATTATTATTATTATTATTATTATTATTATTGTCAAGTGCTGACAGGATCACCATCCATGGTTGCACACTCCACCTTGCGAAGCTAATCCGGAACCTTGGGATCTTGTTTGATCGACCCCACATCCGTGCCATGACCTGCTCTGCCTTCCCCCACCTCCACAACATCACCCGGCTACTCCTACATGTTATGTTATGTAGAAAGGATAGTTGAGGGTGAAACAAGTCTCCAAAGTTCTGGACTAGCTGAGCAAGATGTAGCATGTATCCATGGATGGTGATGCTGTCCGCCTGAAGTGAGGAGGTGCTGACAGGAGCCCATCAGGATTCTCGGTCTTGTTGAGAATTTTCTATTGGGCCAGGTGATGGGAAACAGATGTGTTGTGATGTGTGGTGTGCGTGGCAGGATGTCAGTTTATTGATGTGTTGAAGAGAACACATAGAATATTAAGGAATGGAGAGAAAGGCAGTAAACCTGATTATTATTTACCTGTCATGTTCAGAACAATCCAACCTAACCATCCTGTGACTGTAAATTCTGCGAGTGTTCTTTCTGTCTTCTCTTTCAGCGACTTTTTCTGACTCAGATTCTCTGAGTTTGTCTTTAGACTGCTGTCAATTGACTTAATCTGCCCGCTCAGCATTTCCAAGTTCCCTTCCAGCTGTTTTCTCGCTCTCTCCAGTTTGCTTTTTTCAACAACCAGGTCCTCGCATTCCCCATCAACCTCTCTCACCAGCTCAGTGGAAAAGGCTTCCACTTTGGTCCCCTCTGTCTGGGCTTCCTTCATCGATCTCATCAGTGCTTCATACTGGGACTCGGACATTGAGGTCTTGCCCAGCAGCTCAGTCACTGATGCTAGAGCCTGGATCAGTGCTGCCAGGCTCGGTGCCACCCTGAGCCTGAAACTCCTCTCGTACATGTCAGCACTTTGAGTACTCATCTTTACAACAACTCAATGCAGGACATTAAACAATGCAAACACGTCGCTTAGAATATACACAACACTGACTGCAATGTCCAGACTGGAAAGGGGTAAAAGAACAATAATCCTTGTTATGAGCAGCTTCCTGTAGCCTCAGGTCAAAGCAACATCTGAAGGGTTTTTCCATATCTTACAGAAACAGTTTAATAATAATAATAATAATCCTTACATTTGATATAGTGCTTTTCACGTCGGGAGGACGTCCCAAAGCGCTTCACAGAACACACTGTAAAGTGAATTGACTGTATATTTGTGGGCGAACGCGGCAGCCAATTGCGCACAGCAATGTCCCACAAACAGTCGTAGATTGAAAATGACCAATTTTATTATTGTTTTTGGTTTTGGAGGGATTATTATTAGGCTCTGTGTGGAGTAAGGAAACTTGCCCAAGGTTTCGCCCTCTGCCTGGAATTGAACTCAGGTCTCTCACTTGCAAAGCGAGTGCTCTAACCACTGAGCTACAGGACTCCACTTATAGAACCTCAACCTCAAAGTTTCATTCTGATCAGCGAGAAATCTGACAACACCCATTACGGGAAGTGGAGGCAAGAGCAGAAAACACGTGACATGTTTCCATTGTAGGGGAAACCAAAACCAGGGGCCATCAATATAAAATAGATGAAATAAGAAAGTTAGAAGAAATTTATTTACACAGAGAGTAGTGGAAATGTGGAACATTGGAATTGTGATAATAAAATAAAATACAGTCATGAAACATTGAACTCAATCCATAACTGTTTGTGGGACACTGCTGTGCGCAATTCGCCCACAAATATACAGTCAATTCACTTTACAGTATATTCTGTGAAGCACTTTGAGATGTTTAGAAGGCGTGAAAAGCGCTATATCAAATGCAAGGATTATTATTATTATATTATTGTTGTTGGGGCAAACAGCACAGTTGTATTTAAGGGGAAGTTGGAGAGGTACATGAGGGGGAAAGGAGTATCATAGAATCATAGAATGTTCCGGCACAGAAGGAGGCCATTCGGCCCATCGAGTCTGTGCGGCTCTTTGACAGAGCGTCACTTTCACTGACCCCAATCACCAGCTTTCTCCCCATAACCCCACAAACCCGTCTTCCCCGATACCTGTCCAGTTCTCTCTTAAAAGCTGTTATCGAATCGGACTTCACTCCCCTTTCGGGCGGATCATTCCAAATTCTAACAACTCGCTGAGTGAAAACATTTCTTCTAACCCTCCCCTCTGCTTCTTTTGGTAGATATCTTCAGACTGTGACCGCGGGTCACAGACACACCGACCAGCGGAAACAGCTTGTCCTTATCTCACCTGTCGAAACCTTTCATGATCTTGAAGACCTCTATCAGGTCCCCGCGTAACCTTCTCTGCTCTAATGGGAAAAGTCCTAAGTTCTCCACTGTCCTCATAGCTAAGGTTCCCCATTCCTGGTATCATTCTCGTGAATCTCCTCTGTACCCTTTCCAGTGCCTTAATGTCCTTCCTGAGGTACGGTGCCCAGAACTGGACGCAGTACTCCAGCTGAGGCCTAACCAGTGTTCTTGTACAGATTAACCATAACCCCTACTCTTATACTCTATGCCCTACTAATGAAGCTCAGGACACCAAATGCCCTTTTTACTGCCCTATCTACCTGCCCCACTACCTTTAATGATTCGCTTACTTGAACACCCAGATCTCTCTGTACGTTCACCCCCCTTAAGATTGAGCTCCAAGTCTATATTGCCTCCTATCATTTTTCCTCCCTAAGTGTATCACCTCACACTTATCCACATTGAAATCCATGTGCCACATGTCAGCCCATTCCACCATTCTGTGTATGTCTGCCTGCAGTTGGTTACAGTCCTCTCACTATTTCCTACCCGACCTAACTTGGTATCATCTGCAAACTTGGAAATAGTGCTCCCTGTGCCCCATTCCAGATCATTAATATATATTAGAAAGAGCAGTGGTCCCAATACCGATCCCTGGGGGACACCGCTGCACACCTCCTTCCATTGCGAGAAACACCCATTAACCACCACCCTCTGCTTTCTGTCACTCAGTCAGTTCCTAATCCAAACGGCTACTGTCCCCTTAATGTCCCCTTCTCTTTGACCGAGCCTTCAGCTCCCCTCTCGACTCTCTTCCCCCTCCTCGCTCCCTCCCTTCCCTCCCCTCACCCTGACCATTTCCCCCCTCCTCGCTCCCTCCCTTCCCTCCCCTCACCCTGACCATTTCCCCCCTCCTCGCTCCCTCCCCTCACCCTGACCATTTCCCCCCTGCTCGGGTCATGACCCAACTGTGCAGCGCCTTGGGACGTCCTCCTGACGTGAAAGGCACTTTATAAATGGAATCTTGTTGTTGTTATTGTTGTTGTTAATACCGGGGGTCTCCAGTTTTTTTATTAACCTCTTATGCGGTACTGTGTCAAAAGCCTTTTTGAAATCCATGTAATAAACGTCCACCGCATTTCCCTCATCAAACCTCACAGTCACCTCTTCAAGACATTCTATTAGATTTGTTCGGCAAGATTTGCCTTTAACAATGTATGTTGGGGGCCTCTAATTACCTCGTGTTCCTCTAAATAGAGATTTATTCTGTCCCGGATTATGGTCACCAGTAGCTTTCCTATTACCGAGGTTAAGCTGACTGGCCTGTAATTTCCGGGCTTGTCTTTCTGCCCCTTTTTGGAGAGTGGGGTAACATTAGCCACTCCTCAGTCTCTCGGCACCACTCCTGTGTCCAATGACGATTGAACTATAATGGCCAAAGCCTCCGCTATTTGAACCCGTATCTCCCACAGCAACCTTGGGTGAAACCCATCTGGTCCTGGGGAGTTATCAATTTTGAGCCCAGTCAATCTTTTCAGATCTTCCTCTCTGTCTATAGTAATCTGATCAATGTCCTCTACCCTCTCATCCAATACTGCGGCATTTGGGGCATCCGTTTCCGTTGTGAAGACAGATGCAAAGTACTCGTTCAGTACGTCAGCCACGATGTGCCCTCTGCCTCCACAACAAGATGGCCGTCATTGCCTTTGATTGGCCCCACCCTACCTTTAACTAACCTTTTTTCCTTTATGTGCTTGTAAAATATTTTAGGATTCCCCTTTATTTACCCGCTAACCTCTTCTCATGCGATCTTTTAGCGTGTCTGATCACTCTTTTAAGATCTCTCCTGCATTCTCTATAATGCGCTTTGCTATCCTCAGTGTCTTGCGTCTTCCAATTGTCGTACGCCGTCTTCTTCTTTTTCATCCGAGACAGAATATCCCTGGCCATCCAGGCTGGCTTGGTTGTCGCACATTTCCCTTTTGTGGGAATATATCTATTGAGACCCTGAGCTATCGTATCTTTGAAGATCTCCCACTGCTCATGAGTCGTGTTACCTGCTAGTCTTACAGGCAGTCCCCCAACTCCAGGTCCCTCTTTAGCCCATCACAATTAGCCCTTTCCAGTCAAGTATTTTCACTCTTGACTGTACTTTGTCCCTGTTCATGAGTAATCTAAATCTGATAATATTGTGGACACTGTAGAAGGTGATGCCTGAAGGCTTAGTTGGGGAAGGGCAGGAGAGGCTCATGTGGAGCATAAACACCGGCAAAGACCAGTTGGGCCGAACGGCCTGTTTCTGTGCTGTATATTCTAATAAGACCATAAAATGTAGGAGCAGGAGTAGGCTATTCGGCCCCTCGAGCCTGCCCTGCCATTTAATAAGATCATGGCTGATCTTCTAACCTAATTCCATTAACCGCCCTATCCTCATATCCCTTAATCCTTCTATCCTTTAGATATCCTCTATCCCAAATTGGTCAGCCTATCCTCGTAATTCAACCCCTTCATCCCTGGCACTAACCTAGTAAATCTACCCTGCACCCCCTCCAAGGCAAGTACATCCTTCCTTAAATGAGGAGACCAAAACTGCACACAGTATTCCAGGTGTGGTCTCACCAGGGCCCTATACAGTGGCAGCAAGACTTCCCTACTCTTATACTCTAATCCTTTCATAATGAACGCTAACATACCGTTCGCCTTCCTAATCGCTGCCGCACCTGCAGACTAACTTTCTGTGATTGTGTACAAGGACACCCAAGTCCCTCTGGACGCTGACACATTCCAATCTCTCCCCTTCTAAACAATAACCCGCTCTACTGATTTTGCTCCGGAGGTGGATGACTTCTCACTTCCCTACATTATACTTCATGTCCCACCTACCTGCCCAATCACCTAACCTATCTATGTCACGCTGCATTTTTTTAATGTCGTCCTCTGTGTTGGCACTTCCTCTTAGTTTTGTGTCATCCGCAAATTTAGATATATTAACTTTGATGTCCTCATCAAGATCGTTGATATAGATGGTAAATAGCTGAGGCCCAAGGACTGATCCTTGTGGCACTCCACTAGTCACATCCCGCCAATCTGAAAAGGACCCGTTTATCCTACTCTTTGTTTCCTACCCGTTAACCATTCCCCAATCCACGTAAATATGCTCCCAATTCCATGGGCCCTTATCTTTTGAACTAACCTTTTATGCGGCACCTTATCGAATGCCTTCTGGAAGTCCAAATAGACCACAACAATGATTCACCCTTATCGAGTTTACTGGAAATATCCTCAAAAAACTCTATGAGATTTGTCAAACATGACTTCCCTTTTGTAAAGCCATGTTGACTTGGCCTAATTATATTGTGCCCTAAATACCGCACTACCACATCCTTAATCAATGATTCTAAAATTTTTCCTATCACTGATGTGAGACTAATTGGCCTATAGTTCCCCATCTTTTCCTTTCCACCTTTTTTAAATAGTGGTGTGACATTTGCGATCTTCCAATCCATGGGGACTGTTCCAGAATCCAAGGAATTTTGGAAGATCAGACACAAGGCCTCCACTATCTCATAAGCTCCTCTTTTAAAACCCTGGAATCCGGACCAGGGATTTGTCACTTTTTAGTGCTAACAGTTTCCCAGCACCAATTCTCTACTAATGAACATTTCCCTAAGTTGCTCCCTGTCCTTATCCCTTTGGTGCATCTGTATTGCTGACAGACTGGTTGTGTCTTCTCGGGTGAAGACAGATGCAAAGTACCCATTTAGGGACTCTGCCGTGTCCTTATCCCCCATTACAACTTCTCCCGTCTCTGACTGTAGTGGACCTACATTTACTCTCACAGCCTATTCCTCTTAATGTATTTGTAAAAACCTTTACAATCAGACTTAGTGTTCATCGCTCGCTCACCCTCATACTCCTTTTTCTCGCTCTTAATGAGTTTTTAGTTTTATTTTGCTGGTTTCTAAAACTCTCCCAATCTTCAGATTTGCTGCTTTTCTTGGCAGTTATGCTTTTTCTTTTAATTTGATGCTTTCCCTACTGCTCAGGTTAGCCACGGATGAATTGCTTTCCCTGTGGTACTCTTATTCCACAAAGGGAATATGCGACCGCTGAGAATTATGCACTACATCCTTAAATATTTGCACTGTTGGTCGACATTTTTACCTCTTAATCTGATTCTCCAGTCTATTTTACCTAAATCTTTCCTCATACCTACAAAATTAGCCCTATTTAAATTCAGAATACTTGCCTCGGATTTAACTCTATCCCTCTCTAACTTAATGCAGAATTCGATCATATTGTGATCACTCTGCCCTCGAGGACTCTTAATACCTACACTGCCAACTCGCCGTTTCGTTACACAAAACAAGGTCTAGGATGGCCTGTCCCAGTTGGTTCCTCGGCTGCTCCAGAAAGTTATCTCTCATACACTCACTTACAGACACAGAGATATATACACACACAAACACACTTACAGACAAGCAGACACACACTCACAGACACACGTACATATACAGATGAGACAGAGACACTCACACACAGACACAGGATAGAGGGAGAGAGACACAGACCATCTCAACAGGGTCTCAGGGCGAGTGAAGCCCATTTCCCGCCGGGCGGCTGCCATCACAACCCCCACCGCACTGAGGCTGCATTAGCGACATCGAGCAAACAGCCGGCAGCAGCTCACAGCCCCGGGGTCGAGCTCTCTGTGTATTTAGGGGTTTCATGGAGGCTGTTGGTTTTAGGGGATTCCGCTGAAAAATTGTGGCCACTATTTTCTATGGGGCCAGATGATGGGAAACAGATGTGTTGTGATGTGCGGTGTGCGTGGCAGGATGTCAGTTTATTGATGTGTTGAAGAGAACACATAGAATATTAAGGAATGGAGAGAAAGGCAGTAAACCTGATTATTATTTACCTGTCATGTTCAGAACAATCCGACTTAACCAGCTTTCTGTGTCTGGAAATTTTGCGAGTGTTCTTTCTGTCTTCTCTTTCAGCGACGTTTTCTGACTCAGATTCTCTGAGTTTGTCTTTAGATTGCTGTCAATTGACTTAATCTGCCCGCTCAGCATTTCCAAGTTCCCTTCCAGCTGTTTTCTCGCTCTCTCCAGTTTGCTTTTTTCAACAACCAGGTCCTCACATTCCCCATCAACCTCTCTCACCAGCTCAGTGGAAAAGGCTTCCACTTTGGTCCCCTCTGTCTGGGCTTCCTTCATCGATCTCATCAGTGCTTCATACTGGGACTCGGACATTGAGGTCTTGCCCAGCAGCTCAGTCACTGATGCTAGAGCCTGGATCAGTGCTGCCAGGCTCGGTGCCACCCTGAGCCTGAAACTCCTCTCGTACATGTCAGCACTTTGAGTGCTCATCTTTACAACAACTCAATGCAGGACATTAAACAATGCAAACACGTCGCTTAGAATATACACAACACTGACTGCAATGTCCAGACTGGAAAGGGGTAAAAGAACAATAATCCTTGTTATGAGCAGCTTCCTGTAGCCTCAGGTCAAAGCAACGCCTGTGAGTTTTTGCAACTTGTTATTGACAACCACATATTTTCCGCTCTGATCTCTCTCTCTTCCAGGAATTGGTGTGTTCTCAAACCACTCAGCAGTCATAGTGAAACTTGTTTTTTCTATAAAATGAGATTGAGCTAATGTTAAGCTGTTATTTGGAGCTGTAGTTACAGTGAACAGTTGTTGTGGAAGCTGCACAGGACAGAACCTGTGGGAATCGTTAGCATCCAGCTGGTAAGGAGCAAATCTTATAGAACTGTTGTAATAGTATTTGGAGTTTGCCAGTGATTATTTGGAGTTTGATTATAATATCAATAACACTCTCGTTCATTCTGTGTCCTGTTCCAAGAATTGTATTCCACAATTTCTATAGGATGTTTTGATTAAAGAAAAAAACATAATGAATAAAGAAAAATGTAATTATAATCTTTGCATTTATTATATGTATATTGATGATATCAGCTTTATTTGTCCTGTCAGTTTGTTTGATGGACATCAAGGCCTCATGGGCATAAATTTCCTGCAGCTGAATGTCGGTAAGATGGAAGCCATACTCTTTGGCTCCTTTCAACGTCTTCTCTCCTGTGAGTCTGAACTCCTCAACCTCCCCGGGCTCTCCCTCAGACTCACTGAACCTGTGCACAACTTGGGCGTCAGTTTCATTCCCCGGCTTTCCTTTCTACCACAAATCCGTTCCCTGACCAGAATCACACTTTTCCACCTCCCTCATTTTGCGCTCGTCTGTCTGTCTGTACCTCATAACCAAAGCAGCCGATACCGAATGGCCTCCTTCTGTGTTATATATTTCATGATTCTATGAGTCTCATCAAACCTCATTCAGATCTACAAATACAATACAAAATTACATTTGTAAAGTGCCTTTCACGTTGGGAGGACGTCACAAGGCGCTGAACAGTCAGGGTTATTAGGACACGAGCATGGGGTGGGTGGGGGATTGGGGAGGAGGTCAGAGAGAGGAGGAGGATGGCCGAAGGTATGGTCGGAGAGGAGGGTCTTGTGGCGGGCCTTGGTGGACAGACTGGATGGGGATCCTCTGAGGGATGGGGAGCCAGTGGAGCCGGGCGAGGGTGGGGCTGATGTGGTTATGGAGCCTGATGTGGGAGAGGACACGAGCTGTAGAGTTCTGGATAATCTGCAGCTTGTGGAGAGAAGAGTTGGGAAGGCCGACCAGCAGGGAGTTGGCATAGTTGAGCCTTGATGTGATAAATGCATGAATGAGGGTCCAAGTGCCTTTGTTGAGTGAGGCAGTGGCAGCTCCAGGTGGGTGATGTTGCTGAGCTCGGGGTAGGCAGAGTGGGTCATATGGGGTAGGGAGGACAGTTGAGGGTCAAACAAGATGCCAAGGTTCCAACTGTATCCTTGGATGGTGATTCTGCCAGTGCCTGAGGTGTGGAGGCCAATGACATGAAAGCCCGATGGTCGTGGGTTTAATAATAATAATCCTAACATTTGATACAGTGCCTTATCACATCTTTTAGACGTCTCAAAGCGCTTCACATAATATACTGTAAAGTGAATTGACTAGATTTTGTGAGCAAAATGTGTTAGCCATTAAATAAAAGAGGTGGGGGGAGCAAGAACATGGAGGGCGAGGATGGGCTAGTAAGGTCAAAGAGCCTGGTGCGGGAGTGTACAAGGGCTGCAGAGTTCTGGATGATCTGCAGCTTATGGAGGGAGGAGTTGGGGAGGCCGACAAGCAAGGAGTTCCCAACAGTCAAGCCTTGATATAATGAAAGCGCGTATGAGGGTTTTGTCGATGTGATGAGCCGGGCGCTGTTTCAGTGGTGGGGGAAGGCAGAGCGGGTCATGGCACAGATGTGGGGTAGAATGGATAATTGAGGGTCAAACAAGATGCCATAATATAACATAAGAACATAAGAAATGCTAGACAAAAAAAGACCAAGGTCCATCTATTTCACCTGCCACGTTCCTGATGGTCGTAAGCACATATGTCCCAAACTATCTATATACTATAACCCCATAATATTATTTCCTGTAAGAAAACTTTCTAATCTGTGTTTAAAAGAATCAACACTTCCTCTTTCAACTGTCTTCCACAGGTTCTGGACAAATTGAAACAGCCTGTCATGTTGTTATATTGTTTTGGTCTTTTAGAATATTAAAGACAGCAATCACGTTGCCTCTCAATCTTCTCTTTTCCAGCGTGAACATGCCCAATTTACTTAGTCGCATACTCATAGTCCATTCCCTCAATCATTTTGGTTGCCCTCCTCTGTATCTTCTTGATTTCTCCAATATACTTTTGATACGGTAATGACCAGAACTGTACAGTCTCACCAATGATTTATACAGTGGCAGGATTACCCCACTATTTTGACTTAGTATTAATCTTTTGATACATCCCAACATCTGGTTTGCTTTACTCACTGATGGTGAATGGTATGTATAGTCTCACAATTTGTCTCTGCAACATCACTGAGTTCTCTTTCCAGATCCAATAAATTTCCCATTTGCCCTTTACCAAAATCTGAGGCAAAAAGCTCATTTATACCTCTGCAGCTTGTGTAGCATCATTTGTCATAACCTCACCCAATCTCGGAGGTTGGACTGAAATGAAACTTGCCAGTTGATTGGTTTGTGTTACCCATGATCATTTAGGATGTATGCAGTTTTTGGACACCTGTGCATAAATGGTATATGCATTTTTTGAAAAGCCCAATGCGATCTCTGATTCCCTCTCCCTTTCATTGACAGGCCACTAAAGCTCATAACCATGTCAACCGAAGACCAACAAATTGTGGCTATTAACAGTGCCATTATGAAGCTGAGCAAGGCAGAGAACGTAAGGAAAGATACTGCCATGATGATGCAGCCCTATGCCAACTGGGAAGAGTTTCTGATGCCAGGCCCGACGGCCATAGCTATTCTCGGTGAATTGATATTCATCTCTGCAGCGGATGACTTTCCCATCAATAAGAAACAACCCAGACAAGACATATGAGTTTATAAAATACCCAGAATCATTCCGAGCCTGCCTGATGCAGGTCAGCAATCAAGGTTGGATGGCATTCAATAAAGCTCACAAGAATATGGACCAAATCCGGTTAGAATCCCTAAATATCCCACGTTACATAAAATTCCTGGTGCAGACGCTCATGGAAGACAACGAAATGATTGTTAAAGCGCTGTTGCCTGGGCAACTCAACACTATTAAGACCGTTGCCGACAAGTGCTTGAAACTGGCAAACTCTGTTGATGAGGAATTCCTAACGGTTGTTGAACTAATCCAGGAGCTGATGGAGGTCTCTATAAGTGCCCGGTCAGTTCATGAGGAAAATGTGAAAGAAGTCAAGAAGGCCTTGGAAGAAGCCAAAATAAAAGAGGTGTCTGCTAAGCGGGCACACGAGCTTGCAGAAAAACATTTCACCAAAATGTCCAGCAGTTTAGATGAAGCACAAGCTTCATACAGAGCTCAGATGTTGATTTCAACACCTAGTGTATTGAATATGGGAGCGGCAGCCTTGGTGGATGGTGTCAGTAATGTCTTAAGTTCTGCTTCTGATTTTCTGGGAGGCATCAATCAAATGCTTAAGAAGAAAATTTCTGGGAAAGAAAATGATGGTGATCACAGTACAGATATGCCAAAAGGATCCACAAACTCAAGTGATATCAGTGAAGGTATGAGTTCAGAATCTCTGGAGCCAGTGATAAATATTGGAGCCCAAAACAACATCTACTGCAAAGCTGATGAATTGATTAATATCACATTAAAACTTAAAGAATTCATTTCTCCAGGTGAGAGCATTGATATGACAAAGTTGTTTGACCAAAGAACAGAGAGTTCCAATTCAAATGTCTGCAAACAGAGGTTCCGAACATTGGAAACTGAGATAGAGAATGAAGAAAACTGTAAAGCAAAGAAGCCAGCCCTTAAACTGTGTAAACAGGGAGTGAAGCTGTGTTGTGAACTGGAAGAAATAACAAAATTGCAAAGCAAGGATGGCAAAGGAAATAAAGAACTGGCTACAGAAATAAATAAATTGTATCAACAGATTATTACATTTACTTCAGCGTGTAAAAAATCTCAAAATGAGACCCCCTTCCCTGCTGTACCACCAAACTTAGCTAAAACAAACACCAATTCAGGGATTTTGCAAACCATCATCAATGATGCCCATTTTAAAATAGAACTGAACAGATCACAGCTAAACCAGGCCAAAGAAGACTATGAGAGGAGCATGGAGAACATGAAGAAATGCAATGAAGAACATGATGAAATCTTGATAAAAATCAGAAATTGTGAAGTTCAAGAAATTGACTTTGATACCACTGTAAAGATGCTCGTGAAAGGACTTAAATTGTTAGGCAACGTCAAAGAACAGTGGGCAAAGATGATTGGCTTCTTTCAAATGATATCCAACATAATTGACAGCAGCTTAAACACATCTCTCGGACAACTTGTCACCAACATTGAACCAGGCCACTCAGTCACTGGCTATACCCAGAATAAGTTTGTCAAAGACATGATTTATAACCATGCATTTCAGGCAAGCAATGTTGCCAATCTGGTCAACATGATATCTGGGACCTATGTTGAGGTTTCTAGGAACCACTTGATGGATCGAGTGAGCAGTTTAGGGAAACTCATGTCTATGGATCCAACAGAAAGCAACTTTCATTTGGAACGGCAGATGTTCCAGAAAGGTTGTGATGAAGCAAAACATGCAATTAGAGGTATTGTTGAGAAAAACATGAATGACTTTAAGCTCAGTGTAGAGGAGAGAATCAATACCATTGATAACAACTTGAAGGCCGTCCTGCCACCCATAGCAGAGGAAGAAATAAAAGCAATTCGGAGCAGTGTGAATGTGGATCCAGAGGACGTTTTCAAAGAACTCTCCCTCGAAGATGCTGACCAGTTTTGTTGAGAAAGCAGGTGGACATGCAAGGTATGGATCAGATCGGACAATGGACAGTGAGTTTGATGATCTCTGTGCAGTGCTGACACTGTGTAGGGCTCCAATATTTATCACTGACTCCAGAGATTCTGAACTCATACCTTCACTGCTCTCACTATTATCTATCATTATTGATAAAATTGAAGAGCAAGGATGGCGAAGGAAATAAAGAACAGGCGAGAAAAATAAATGTGCTCAGTGGTTAGAGCACTCGCCTCACAAATGAGAGACCTGGGTTCGATTCCCGGCAGGATGAAATGTTGGGCAAGTTTCCTTACTCCACATGCCTGTTTTCTTTATTCCTTTAATTAATACTTTTATTTGAAGTTTATTCCTGTGTAGAATAACAGCTCCTTTTGCTTTTGCCATGCAGTGCCTCGGAGGATTTGGCCAAAAAAAAATGAAGACAAGACCTCAGCGACAAATCAGATTCTAGCAACAGCTTTCAGCTTTAAAACAATCCACTTATTTTTCATTCATCTTTAATTGACTAATTTAGTCGTAGATTAGCTTTTAAATGCTCAGGGGGCAGTTCACTGTCTGGCGAGCTCTCCTGTCACTTGTCCAGCTGGGACCACCCTACCCATGAGAGTGTTGTGCAGTTCATCTACAAAGTTATGATTCGTTCATTGTGTTTCTGCTTTCAGGTGAAATAATTTGCAAAACTCGCATAAGTCTTATCTTTATAAATTGTATAATCACCTAAATCATACACTCACCCGAGTCCCATTCAGTTTCCTATCAAACCGCTTAGATATATTTGCACAAATCACATTAATCACCTACTTGTAACGTCACTTACTCCCCTACTCTCCCACACTTACCAGAGGCCTTGAATTGCGGGAAATGATACCCTGGTCCGTCGACGTATGCACAAATTTTCCACGATTCAATGCGATTCCAATACATGCCGGCAAGTACACAGGCGGCGATGGGTCAAGACTCATTGAATTGTGCAAAATTTAATCTTAACCTGTCACTGTATGCTCATTTTCCCAGCTGCAGTAATTACTGTAAGTCTTGAGGCGGGAAGGAGAGAGACGAGAAAGAGGATGGAGAGGGAGAGGATGGATAGAGATGGAATTTGTGGCTGAAGACCACCTGAACTTGTGCAATGGTTAGAATAGCTGAGTGGAAACGATGGGTGGGTGGTAGTATACCTGCTCGACATGTTGGAAACTAACAACAAGATACAGGCAAATAGAGATAAACTGAAACCATGAGACTGCAAAACAGGAAACAAGATTATTAGATAAATACTCAGAAGAACGAGCCAGTCAGTAAGACAATTCTTAAGAAAATAAACCGCAAAGCTAAAAGAGAAACTAATTTTCACACTCAAGTAAATAATATCCAAATATGAGAGTACGCTTATATAAATAAGACTTGGCAGTTAGGGCACACTTAAGTAGATCACATATAGAAATGCTAAATGTACTGAATAGAGGCTAAACAAATTTTAGAAGGCAGGAGTCCTCGGGACGAAGATCCAGAGCCAGTGTGGATGATCTTGTGATCTGACTGCAGGCAGCTGACAACCCAATTCTCCCGAGGTCCTGTGCTGTCGTTTGCTAAAGCTCTGAACAATTCATAAGTGTATGTATTTTATTAATTGTAACTCGCAAACAGAACGAGATCCTGTGCTGTCGTTTGCTAAAGCTCTGAACAATTCATAAGTGTGTGTATTTTATTAATTGTAACTCGCAAACAGAACGAGATCCTGTGCTGTCGTTTGCTAAAGCTCTGAACAATTCATAAGTGTGTGCATTTTATTAATTGTAACTCGCAAACAGAACAAGGCTTACAATAAAAGTGTATTGCTGAAACTCCAATTTTTGTCTACAAATCCTTTCATGCTCTGGCACCTCCCTATCTTTCTGACCTGTTTTCTGGTGGTCGGATATAATAACATCACATTATATGCAGCAGCAGGAGTAGGCCATTCGGCCCTTCAAGCCTGCCCCGCCATTCAATCATGGCTGATCTTCTAATCTAACTCCAGCTAATATAATATTAATAATATTAACATATAATAATATTCCTTGCATTTGACATAGCACTTTTCTCATCTTCAAAACGTCTCAAAGTGCTTCACAGACTATACTGTGAAGTGAATTGACTGTATATTTTGTGGGCGAAATGCGGCAGCCAATAACGCACAGCAGCGTCCCACAAACAGTTGTGGATTGAAGTGACCAATTTATTATTGTTTTTTTTCTTGAGGGATTATTATCAGGCGTGTGGAGCAGGGAAACTTGCCCAAGGTTCTGTCCGTCCGGGAATCAAACCCAGATCTCTCGCTTGTGAGGCGAGTACTCTAACCACTGATATGTCCTGAACTACCTATGTACTATATCCCACAATGTTGTTTCCCAAAAGGAAAATCTAATCTGTGTTTGAAAGAATCAACACTTCCTGTTTCAACCATCTCCCAAGGAAGCCTGTTCCACAGTTTGCGTAGGTTTATTCTGAATTTAACCCCTTCAATCACAGGCTGCGTCTCTGGTTCTCTTATTCTGGACAAGCTAGACAGCCTGTCATGGTCTATATTGTTTGGCCCTTTTAGAATCTGAAAGACAGCAATCACGTCGCCTCTCAATCTTCTCTGTTCCAGTGTGAACATTCCCAATTTACTGAGTCGCTCCTCATAGTCCAGTCCTTCCATTCCCTCAATCAATTTGGTTGCCCTCCTCTGTATCTTCTCGATTTCTCCAATATCCTTTTTGTACTGCAGTGTAAAACAGTTAGAGAGAGATGAGGATTGGGGGTGGTGACAGGCTGTTTCTGCCAGGTTATCTTCCTAGAGGAAACAAAATCAATAAACATGTCTTGATTTTAATGTCCTTTTCGATATTTGCTGGAAACGTTTATCAGACCAAGCTTGATGGATGTTTCGTTATTGACAGAACTATATTTGGATTTATTAATACTTTTGGCATCATGGCAGCGATGATGGGACTGGTTGTGGCTAAATCCTTAGCAAAAAACTTAAGTATGAGCTGCATCAATATAAGTATTAACAATGACTATATGTCTATGGAAAACAACACAGATACTTAATCCTTTGGGCCTTTTTATAATAACGTGTTTTTTATTATTTACAATTAATAATAATCCTCACCTTTGATATAACCCTTCATCACGTCTTCGAGATGTCTCAAAGCGCTTCACAGAATATACTGTAAAGTGAATTGACTGTATATTTTATAGGCCCTTTCCTTTCTATGCAACTATGGTAACATTCCCATCTAGTAGTCTAAGCAACCGAACAACCAACTGTGGTAATGTGGAGTCTTTGGACTTTCAGTTTCTTCTCTCACTTGTCATAGAGCAAGAAGCAAGGCTTTGGCACCTCACAGTGTAAGGATTGGGGTACTGCTGGAGTTTAACTAGTTAAACCTCATAGCTTTCCACTGAAAACACTGGCTGGTAAGCTGTCCTGCTGCTTATTCAGCTAGGACCACCTTACCTGTTAGGGTTTTGGCTTGGAGGGTTAATGGGAGCTGAATGGGAAGAATCCCTGTCTCCAACGACTGGTCTGACCCTCCAAGTCCTACTGATGAGCCAGGCCAGCTATGCTGTCATCTGTGGGCAGCACGGAAACCCGATTGGAGGGATTCATGGAGGGAGCGAGAGGAAAAGAAAGAGCGAAGCTGGGAGGCAACGGCTCTTTCAAGGACCTTGGATAGGAAGGGGAGATTTGAGATGGGCCAATAGCTGGATAGCTGTGATGGGTTAAGGGAAGATTTCTTCAAGGTGGGGGTGATAGTGACTGTTTTAAGGGGGGAAGGAAGAGTGCCAGATGACAGGGAGAGGTTAATGAGTAGTGGGGCAAGGAGGTGGAGCTGGGATTTAAGGAGAGGGGTGGAGATGGGGTCCAGGGAGCAGGTGGTGGGCTTCATGGAGGTTACGGTGGTGAAGGCAGAGGAGGGGGTGACAAGTTCAAAGGTGTGGAAGGAGGGATGGGCAGTTGTCAGATTGTTGTGTGGGGTGGAGGTAGGGAGGGGGTGGAAGTTGGGAGGGCAGAGGCAGCTGAGTGGATTCCCTCGATTTTGGACTCGAGGAAGTCCAGCATTTTCTTGCAGTGCGAGTCAGAGGAAAGAATTAGCAAGGTGTGTCGGGGAGGGCGGAGGAGCCGGTTGGTGGTGGAGAACAGGAGCCTGGGGTTGCCCTTCACCTCCAGGGTTAACCTGGAATAGAAGGACGATTGGGCCGAGGCGAAAGTGGAGCGGTAGGTCTTGATGAGGTCCAGCCAGGTGTGCCGGTGGACCGTTTGGCTGGAGTTGAGCCAATTGTGTTCAGCAGCCTGTACCTTGCCCTTAAGCAAGCGGAGATGGCGGGTGAACCAGGGTGAGGATTGGGAATAGAAGGCAGTTTGGGAGGTGAGGGGGCCAAGGACATTGAGTCCGGTGGAGAGGGTGCTGTGGAGAAGAGTGAGTGCAGCGAGTGGGTTGGTGCGAGAGGTGGGCCAGAGGTGGAGGAGATCAGCGGACTCCAGGGTAGCGGAGAGGGATTGCAGGGAGATCTTCTTCCACGGGCGGTAGAAGATGTTGGTAGGTTTAGAGGCAGTGGGGAGAGGGATATGGGAGTTGAGGGAGAGGAAATGGTGATCAGAGATGGCCTTGTCAGTGATTCGAGACACTGAGGCCCCGGGTGATCCCAGGGTCGAGCGGGTGACCGTGGGTGTGGTTAGCAGAGTGGATGTGGAGGGAGAGGTTGAAAGAGGAGAGAGAAGTCTGAGGAGGTGGAGCAGGAGGGGGTGAAGTGGAGGTTGAAGTTGTCTAGGATGATGAGGCAGTCGGAGCAGAGGCAGAGGGAAGCAAGGAGGGTGGAGATGTCATAGATGAAGGTGGGAGAGGATTTTGGTGGGTGGTAAAGTAAGAGAATTTTTAGAGAGAGGTGAGAGGGATGGCAGAGGGTAAGGTGTTCGAAAGAGGGGAACGAGCCAGTGGAGTAGGGGGATAGGGCAAGTGATGCCCTGGATATGAGGGTCACACCACCACCACAACGGTTGGGGTGTGGGGCATGGTGGTGGGTGTAGCCGGGTGGTGTGGCCTCAGTGAGGAGGAAGATGTCACCTGGAGTGATCCAGGTTTCCGTTAGGGTCCATGATGTCAATGTTCTCATCGAGGATGAAATCATTGATGGCCAGGGTCTTGTTGGATATGGAGCGGACATTTTGGAGGCCAATGTGGAGTGGACAGTTGGCAGGGGTAGTGGGTTGGTTGGGAGGGAGGGTGGGGACGCGGATGAGGGAGGAGAGGTTAGCCCCCGGTGTCTGGGTCCGGGGTGGCTTGTGGTGGTAGTAGAGAATCAGGCAGTCAGTGTGGCTGCTGCTGGACAGTCAGCGCCGAGTGCCATGATGAGCCCGGGGGAGGATTCCCAGGAAGGAGCAGAGGGAGGCAGTGGGGGGGGGTCAAGCAGAGATAGGAGGCGGGGAGGACGGAGAGAGAGCAGGACAGAGCGGGACAGTTGCAGGGAGGGGGGCATTTTGAGGGAGGGCCAATTCGGTCGGGGGCAGGGAACATCTTCCCACAATGGTTGATGACAACGTGGAACTTCCTGCTGGAAGCTGTGGTTGAAGCAAAAAGCATTTTGGAGGAAACTTGAAGATAATAATCCTTGCATTTGACGTAGCACCTTATCGCATCATTGAGATGTCTCAAAGCGCTTCACAGAATATATTGTAAAGTGGATTAACTGTGTATTTTGTGGGTGAAAAAGTGGGTCTTGAGTTGTGCCTTGAATGAGGCAAGAGAGTGAAGGAATTGTGGGATGGAGTTACATAGGGTGGGGGCAGAAATGGTGGGGCCAGAGAAAGAGCTGAAGGCCCGGCTCCCGATGGTAGGGCAGGTCAGGCGGGAGACATGGTGCAGGCTGGAGCCTACAGAACAGAGGAAGTGGACAGGTTGATAGCGGGTTAGCAGGTCAGAGATGAAGGAGGGGGCAAGGCTGTGGAAGGCCTTGAAAGTGGGGATGAGGATTTTGAATGCTATCCTCTGAGGGAGGGAGAGCCAGTGGAACTAGGCGAGGAGGGGGGTGATAGGTTGTGGAGTATGGTGGGTGTGGGAGAGGACACGAGCTGCAGAGTTCTGGATGATCTGTAGCTTGTGGAGGGAAGATTTGGGGAGGCCGACAAGGAGGGAGTTTTCGTAGTCAGATCTTGAGGTATTGAGGGTTTCGACAGCCTGAGGGGTGAGGCAGTGGCAGAGTCAGGCAATGTTGCGGAGGTGGGGATGGCAGAGCAGATCATGCCATGGATATGGGGAAGAACAACAACAACATTACATTTGTATAACGCCTTTCAGGAGGATGACCGAAGGCACTGTAAAAGGACAGCTGAAGGTCGGACAAGATGCCCAGGTTCCTGACTGGCTTGGTCAAGTGGAGTGTGCTTCCATTTATGCTGATGCTGCCAGTGCCTGAGGTATGGAGGTGCTGGCACTAGTCAATCAGGAGGGCCTCAGTCTTGCCGACATTCAGCTGTGGAAAGTTAGATCTCATCCAGGACTTGATATTTGAAAGACAATCTGTCAGGACATCAGTTGTGCTGGAATCGAGGGTGGAGGCAGAGATAAGAGTTGGGTGTCATCCACGTATGTGATCCCATGTCAGCAGATGATGTCACCAAGGGAGAGCACGTAGAGTTTGAAGAGGAGGAAACAGGACAGAGCCCTGAGGAACATGGCACAAGACTGTGCAGGAGCTGGAATGTTGGATGAGACAAATTGGAGACGGTGTGCGAGATAAGACTTGAACCATTCAAGGACAGAACATTGGAGGTTGAGGTGAGAGGAAAGGCGACGGAGGAGGATGGAGATTGATGGTGTCTGAGTAGAGGGGCGAGGAGGTGAAACTGGGAGGTAAGGAGGGGGGTGGGGATGGAAATAAGGGAGCAGGTTGTGTGCTTCATACTGAGCAGGAGGATGAGACAGGTTCGAAGATGGGGAGAGAGGGATGGGTAGGGGTCGCTTTGAGGGGATATATGGGGAGGGAGTGGCGGTTGCAAGGGCGGTGGAAGCTGAATGGATCCCCTCAATTTTGGACTCGAGGAAATCCAACATCTTGTCACAGTCAGAGTTTGAGGAGAGGATGGGCGAGGCATGGGAGGGTGGATGGAGGAGCCAGTTGGTGGTGGAGAATTGGAGGCATAGGACAACCCATCCTTATATCACAACTTGTCTGCTATTCTTTCTCTTCTTCCCTCCATCCCTGGCAGGCTGCTGAATTGCCTCGGTGCATGGCACTCCCTTGCCTGTCTCAGCCATCACTTGGGTTTCCATATCATCTCACTCCAGAGGAGAGAAACTTTTGGAGAGCACCAGGGATGCCCTCGCCTGCTCCATTAGCCACCACAATCCGCTGAAACTAACATCCAGGCTTGACGATGCAAACTCCCTGCTTGTTGACCTCCTCAGTTCCTCACTTGATAGGCTGCATATCATCCAGAACTCTGCAGCCCGTGTCCTCTCCCGCACCAGGCTCCATGAAACTATCATCCCCATCCTCGCCCAACTCCCCTGGCTTCCCATCACACAGGGGATACAGTTCAACATATGAAAGGCTCCATGGTCTTGCTCTGCTCCTTCACTCAGCAGGCTCCGGCCTGCTTCACATCCCCCCCCCTCGCCTGCCCCAGTATTGGTGAGCAGACCTTCATGCATCCTGTAGTCCTTCCACCTCGCCCCCCTCCCTCGCCTCCTTTAAGATCCATCTTAAGACCCTCCTCTTCAACTGTTCCTTCAATCACCCTCTTTCCCCCTGTCCTCCACCCTCCCCGATCTGGAATGGTTGAGAGGCGCTATACAAATGTAATATTGTTGTTGCAGCATCTTGACAGAAAGAATCCATACACATTGGCTCCTGTCAATGTCTACTCAACTGTGACTCCAATGTCCTCAACCTCCCAGCCTTTCCTTCCAACTTATCAAACCTGAAGGAAGTCACATACATCCTGGAAAATAAAAACCTAAATGGGGTAGAGGAGCAAAGGGATCTCGGGGTACACATACACAATTCACTAAAAGTAGCAACTCAGGTTAATAAGGCCATAAAAAAGGCAAAAAACAGGCATTGGGGTTGATTTCTAGAGGGATAGGGACAGAAATGAAAAGCAGGAAGTTATGGTAACCCTCTACAGAACCTCGGTTAGACCACACTTACAATACAGTGCAGTTCTGGTCCCCACGTTATAGAGGGGACTATAGGCACTGGAGAGAGTGCAAAGGAGATTCCCAACGATGATCCCAGAACTGAGAGGTTATAGCTATTAGGAAAGGCTGAAATACTTGGGCTCTTCTCTTGACGTGATAGAGGTCTTTAAATTCACTAAAACTTTGAAATAGATCAAATAGGGAAGTTGGAAGAAATTTCTTCAGAGTAGTGGGAATGTGGAACGTGCTGCCAACAACGTTGAGGCAAATAGCACAAATGTATTTAAGGGGAAGCTGGAGAGGTACATGAGGGAGAACAATAATAACAAGAACATTGCATTTATAGCGCCTTTCACGTCGGGAGGGCGTCTTAAGGCGCTGGACAGTTGGGTCAGGACCTGAGCAGGGGGGAAATGGTCAGGGTGAGGGGAGGGAAGCGAGGGAGCGAGGAGGGGGGAAATGGTCAGGGTGAGGGGAGGGAAGGGAGGGAGCGAGGAGGGGGGAAATGGTCAGGGTGAGGGGAGGGAAGGGAGGGAGCGAGGAGGGGGGAGAGTCGAGAGCGGAGCTGAAGGCTGAAGGTCAAAGAGAAAGGTCTTGAGACCGGCCCTGAAGGAGGAAAGGGAGGAAGCGGTGAAGGCACTGGGGATGGAGTTCCAGAGCCTCGGGGCTGAAGGCCCGACCACCGATGGTCGGGCGGTTGGGGCGGGGCATGTGGAGCAGACCGGAGCCAGAGGAACGGAGGGTACGGGCAGTAGGTAGGGGGATAGTAGGTCAGAGAGGTAGGAGGGAGCGAGGCCGTGAATGGCCTTGTAGGTGAGGATGAGGATTAGAGGAGGAGGTGATGCCTGAAGGCTTAGTTGAGGAAGTGCAGGAGAGGTCTCGCCCCACCTCTGTGACCTCCTCAAACCCCACCAAACCCCTCAGCGAGCACCACGTGCTTCACCTCCCCCACCATCATTGGCCTGGGGTGTCAGCCACTCGCCCCCTCCCCCCCCCCGTGACTCCAGCCCAGAGACCCTCAAATGTGTTCCCTCCCCACCTTCTAACATTTGATGCACGTTTTGTGAATGTGGCCGATGACGACGTTGTTGTGGTTGTTGTTGTTGTTGTGTGCAGACACAGGGCTGGGGAGGCCCTGCGGCAGTTACAGGTCTGGCTGGGACGGCACGAGGGGGAGACGGCTCACTTCCCGGTTGAGGTTCGTTTCGCCCGCGGTGACGACATCCTGCTCAGCCCCTGCTATAGGCAGGACAGCTGCTACATCAACATCATCGCCTACAGGTAGGTCCCCGCGGTGTGTGTGACGGTGTGTGTGTGTGTCTGCGGGCGTGTGTGTGTGTGTGTGTGCGTGTGTGTATGTGTGTGACACACACCTGGGGCGCGGTTGGCTGTTCGCTGACCTGTGTCTCTCTCTCAGGCCATATGGGAGGGAGCCGCAGCGCGAGAGATACTGGGCAGCGTACGAGGCCATCATGAGGGAGAACGGAGGCCGTCCCCACTGGGCAAAGGTGGGTCAAGAACCTGTCCCTACACTGTGACACCGTGAGTGTGTGACACACACTGTTGACTGTGCGCGTGTGACAGACTGAAACTGTGTCCGTGAGCAACTGTGATAAGTGTGTGTGTGTGTGAGCAACACCTTGACAAATGTGGGTGGGCATGACTGTGAGTGTGTCAGATTGAGTGTGTGTCAGACTGTGAGTGTGTCACATTGAGTGTGTGTCAGACTGTGAGTGTGTGAGCATGATTGTGAGTGTGCGTCAGACTGACAGTGTGTGTGACAGTGTGTGTGTCAGTGAGTGTGTCAGACTGTAGGTGTGAGCATGAGTGTGTATGACTGTGTGTGAGCATGAGTGTGTCAGACTGTGGGTGTGAGCATGAGTGTGTCAGACTAGGTGTGAGCATGAGTGTGTATGACTGTGTGTGAGCATGAGTGTGTGTGTGTCAGTGTGAGTGTGTGTCAGACTGTGACAGTGTCACTGTGAGTGAGTGTGAGGGAATGTGTGAGGCCACTCACACTCACGCTCACACTCACTGTGTTTGCTCGCACACTCAGGCTCACAGTTGTGTCCGCGAGGACTTTGAGAAGATGTACCCGGGTTTCCGCACGTTTTGCTCCATCCGAGAGAGGCTTGATCCCACCGGAATGTTCCTCAACGCGTACCTGGAGAGAACCTTCTTCTGATCAACTGTCCCCCCACCACCCCACACGCCCCCCCCCACCCCCCACACAGAGCAACAACCCTCCCCACCCCACACGCACACCCCCACCCCACACAGCCCCCCACACACCACACCGACCATCATACTGCCACTCTCCCCACACACAATCTCACTGTCCCCCGACACACACAGCAACAACCCCCCCCACCCCACACACCCCCACCCCCCACACACAGCAACAACCCCCCCCACCCCACACACCCCCCCACACACACACCCCCCCACCCCCCACACACAGCAACAACCCCCCCCACCCCACACGCACACCCCCCCCCCACACAGCAACAACCCCCCCCACCCCACCGCACACCCCACACACACCCCTCACACACATACCCCCCTCACACCCAACCCCCCCACACACCCCCCCACCCCACACCACACACACCCCCCCCACACCGAACATCATACTGCCCCTCGCCCCACACACAATCTCACTGTCCCCCCACACACACAGCAACAACCCCCTCCCACAGCAACAACCCCCCCCCCAGTGGCCATGGAGTTTAGTGGTTAGAGCACTCGACTCGCTGGCGAGAGGCCTCGGGTTGGATTCCCGGTCGGGGTTAACCTTAAGTAAGTTTCCTTACTCCAAGTGCCTCCGATTACCTCACTTGAAAGGCGCTGAATAAACCCAATTTATTGTGTTGTCTGTCTCCGCCGCTCAGTGTCTGTCTCCGCCACTCAATGTCTGTCTGCGCAGAGCTAAAATATGTGCAGGGCTATACTGTGCGCAGGGGTACACTGTGTGTAGAGCTACACTGTGTGCAGGGCTATGCTGTGTGCAGGGCTATGCTGTGTGCAGGGCTATGCTGTGTGCAGGGCTATGCTGTGTGCAGGGCTACACTGTGCTATACTGTGTGCAGGACTATGCTGTGTGCAGGACTATGCTGTGTGCAGGGCTATGCTGTGTACAGGGCTATACTGTGTGCAGGGCTATGCTGTGTGCAGGGCTATGCTGTGTGCAGGGCTACACTGTGCTATGCTGTGTGCAGGACTATGCTGTGTGCAGGACTATGCTGTGTGCAGGGCTATGCTGTGTACAGGGCTATACTGTGTGCAGGGCTATGCTGTGTGTAGAGCTACACTGTGTGCAGGGCTATGCTGTGTGCAGGGCTATACTGTGTACAGGGCTACACTGTGCTATACTGTGTGCAGGACTATACTGTGTGCAGGGCTATGCTGTGCTATGCTGTGTGCAGGGCTATGCTGTGTGCAGGGCTATACTGTGCTATACTGTGTGCAGGACTATACTGTGTGCAGGGCTATACTGTGCTATACTGTGTGCAGGGCTATGCTGTGCGCAGGGGTACACTGTGTGTAGAGCTACACTGTGTGCAGGGCTATACTGTGTACAGGGCTATGCTGTGTGCAGGGCTATGCTGTGTGCAGGGGTACACTGTGTGTAGAGCTACACTGTGTGCAGGGCTATGCTGTGCGCAGGGCTATACTGTGTGCAGGGCTATGCTGTGTGCAGGGCTATGCTGTGTGCAGGGCTATGCTGTGTGCAGGGCTATACTGTGCGCAGGGCTACACTGTGCTATACTGTGTGGACTATACTGTGTGCAGGGCTATACTGTGCTATACTGTGCGCAGGGCTACACTGTGCTATGCTGTGTGCAGGGCTATGCTGTGTGCAGGGCTATACTGTGCTATATGTGTGCAGGGCTACACTGTGCTATGCTGTGTGCAGGGCTATGCTGTGTGCAGGGCTATGCTGTGTGCAGGGCTATGCTGTGTGCAGGGCTATACTGTGCTATACTGTGTGCAGGACTATACTGTGTGCAGGGCTATACTGTGTGCAGGGCTATACTGTGCTATACTGTGCGCAGGGCTACACTGTGCTATGCTGTGTGCAGGGCTATGCTGTGTGCAGGGCTATACTGTGCTATATGTGTGCAGGGCTATACTGTGCTATATGTGTGCAGGGCTGTGCTGTGTGCAGGGCTATGCTGTGTGCAGGGCTATGCTGTGTGCAGGGCTATGCTGTGTGCAGGGCTATGCTGTGTGCAGGGCTATGCTGTGTGCAGGGCTATGCTGTGTGCAGGGCTACACTGTGCTATGCTGTGTGCAGGGCTATGCTGTGTGCAGGGCTATGCTGTGTACAGGGCTATACTGTGCGCAGGGCTACACTGTGCTATACTGTGTGCAGGACTATACTGTGTGCAGGGCTATACTGTGCTATACTGTGCGCAGGGCTACACTGTGCTATGCTGTGTGCAGGGCTGTGCTGTGTGCAGGGCTGTGCTGTGTGCAGGGCTATACTGTGCTATATGTGTGCAGGGCTGTGCTGTGTGCAGGGCTGTGCTGTGTGCAGGGCTATACTGTGCTATATGTGTGCAGGGCTGTGCTGTGTGCAGGGCTGTGCTGTGCGCAGGGCTATGCTGTGCTATATGTGCGCAGGGCTATGCTGTGTGCAGGGCTGTGCTGTGTGCAGGGCTGTGCTGTGCGCAGGGCTGTGCGCAGGGCTATGCTGTGTGCAGGGCTGTGCTGTGTGCAGGGCTGTGCTGTGCTATATGTGCGCAGGGCTGTGCTCTGTGCAGGCTATGCTGTGCTGTGCGCAGGGCTGTGCTGTGCAGGGCTATGCTGTGTGCAGAGCTATACTGTGTGCAGGGCTATGCTGTGTGCAGGGCTATGCTGTGTGCAGGGCTATGCTGTGTGCAGAGCTATACTGTGTGCAGAGCTATACTGTGTGCAGGGCTATGCTGTGTGCAGGGCTATGCTGTGTACAGGGCTATACTGTGCGCAGGGCTACACTGTGTGCAGGGCTATACTGTGTGCAGGACTATACTGTGTGCAGGGCTATACTGTGCTATACTGTGCGCAGGGCTACACTGTGCTATGCTGTGTGCAGGGCTGTGCTGTGTGCAGGGCTATGCTGTGCTATGCTGTGTGCAGGGCTATGCTGTGTGCAGGGCTATACTGTGCTATACTGTGTGCAGGACTATACTGTGTGCAGGGCTATACTGTGCTATACTGTGTGCAGGGCTATGCTGTGCGCAGGGGTACACTGTGTGTAGAGCTACACTGTGTGCAGGGCTATACTGTGTACAGGGCTATGCTGTGTGCAGGGCTATGCTGTGTGCAGGGGTACACTGTGTGTAGAGCTATACTGTGTGCAGGGCTATGCTGTGTGCAGGGCTATACTGTGTGCAGGGCTATGCTGTGTGCAGGGCTATGCTGTGTGCAGGCTATGCTGTGTGCAGGGCTATACTGTGCGCAGGGCTACACTGTGCTATACTGTGTGCAGGACTATACTGTGTGCAGGGCTATACTGTGCTATACTGTGCGCAGGGCTATGCTGTGTGCAGGGCTATGCTGTGTGCAGGGCTATACTGTGCTATATGTGTGCAGGGCTATACTGTGCTATATGTGTGCAGGGCTGTGCTGTGTGCAGGGCTGTGCTGTGTGCAGGGCTATGCTGTGTGCAGGGCTATGCTGTGTGCAGGGCTATGCTGTGTGCAGGGCTATACTGTGCTATACTGTGTGCAGGACTATACTGTGTGCAGGGCTATACTGTGTGCAGGGCTATACTGTGCTATACTGTGCGCAGGGCTACACTGTGCTATGCTGTGTGCAGGGCTATGCTGTGTGCAGGGCTATACTGTGCTATATGTGTGCAGGGCTATACTGTGCTATATGTGTGCAGGGCTGTGCTGTGTGCAGGGCTATGCTGTGTGCAGGGCTATGCTGTGTGCAGGGCTATGCTGTGTGCAGGGCTATGCTGTGTGCAGGGCTATGCTGTGTGCAGGGCTATGCTGTGTGCAGGGCTATACTGTGCGCAGGGCTACACTGTGCTATGCTGTGTGCAGGGCTATGCTGTGTGCAGGGCTATGCTGTGTACAGGGCTATACTGTGCGCAGGGCTACACTGTGCTATACTGTGTGCAGGACTATACTGTGTGCAGGGCTATACTGTGCTATACTGTGCGCAGGGCTACACTGTGCTATGCTGTGTGCAGGGCTATGCTGTGTGCAGGGCTATGCTATGTGCAGGGCTATACTGTGCTATATGTGTGCAGGGCTGTGCTGTGTGCAGGGCTGTGCTGTGTGCAGGGCTATACTGTGCTATATGTGTGCAGGGCTGTGCTGTGTGCAGGGCTGTGCTGTGCGCAGGGCTATGCTGTGCTATATGTGCGCAGGGCTATGCTGTGTGCAGGGCTGTGCTGTGTGCAGGGCTGTGCTGTGCGCAGGGCTGTGCGCAGGGCTATGCTGTGTGCAGGGCTGTGCTGTGTGCAGGGCTGTGCTGTGCGCAGGGCTGTGCGCAGGGCTATGCTGTGTGCAGGGCTGTGCTGTGTGCAGGGCTGTGCTGTGCTATATGTGCGCAGGGCTGTGCTCTGTGCAGGGCTATGCTGTGCTGTGCGCAGGGCTGTGCTGTGCGCAGGGCTATGCTGTGTGCAGAGCTATACTGTGTGCAGGGCTATGCTGTGTGCAGGGCTATGCTGTGTGCAGGGCTATGCTGTGTGCAGAGCTATACTGTGTGCAGAGCTATACTGTGTGCAGGGCTATGCTGTGTGCAGGGCTATGCTGTGTACAGGGCTATACTGTGCGCAGGGCTACACTGTGCTATACTGTGTGCAGGACTATACTGTGTGCAGGGCTATACTGTGCTATACTGTGCGCAGGGCTACACTGTGCTATGCTGTGTGCAGGGCTGTGCTGTGTGCAGGGCTATACTGTGCTATATGTGTGCAGGGCTATACTGTGCTATACTATGCTGTGCTGTGTGCAGGGCTGTGCTGTGTGCAGGGCTGTGCTGTGTGCAGGGCTATGCTGTGCTATATGTGCGCAGGGCTGTGCTGTGTGCAGGGCTGTGCTGTGCGCAGGGCTGTGCTGTGCGCAGGGCTGTGCTGTGCGCAGGGCTATGCTGTGTGCAGGGCTGTGCTCTGTGCAGGGCTGTGCTGTGCTATATGTGCGCAGGGCTGTGCTCTGTGCAGGGCTATGCTGTGCTGTGCGCAGGGCTGTGCTGTGCGCAGGGCTGTGCTGTGCGCAGGGCTGTGCTGTGTTTCGGGAGCTGTATAAATGTCCTGTAAGTCCTGTAAGAACCGTCTTTGGTATCACAAAGCCTCTGCAGCTGAGTCAGGGGCACAGAATCGCTTGAACCAGAGGATGGGGAAACTGTCTGTCCAGCGCCTTGGGACGTCCTCCCGATGTGAAAGGCGCTAAACAAATGTAATTTTGTTGTTGCTGTTGTTGAACCCACAACTCCGGGATATTGTTTTGATTGAAAATGATTCAAGCATCGGGGGGAGGCATATTAAATCCAGGTCGCTGGGGCGGGGAATCCTCCCACTCAGCTCCTGTTACCCTGCACGCCAAAGCTCTGACGGAGAGGGGAGTCCCAGCTCGACAAGCAGCGCGAAAGCTTGTCAACGGCAAAGTATGTTTTTAGCTGGTTAGTCTCCAGCGGTTACCCCAACGCACACTCCGGGGTCCCCAAGCCTTGGCTCCTGCCAACCTGCGCCTAATACTGTCCGGAATCAGGTAAGCAGTCCCTCCAGGGAGACGGTGTGCATTCCAGTCCAACAATCTACCTCTGGGATTGCAGGGATTCTTTTCAGTGCCAGAGACCAGGGAAGAATTGCGCAGACGCCAATGGTGGGGTGGGAAGAGCAAAGCACACAAACGAGACCATGTTTGCCGACACACGTGGCAAGATTTCTCTCAAACCTTGGGCAGGTTTTAGAAAAACACGACCTTGTATTTGTATTGCACCCTTTACATGGGGCAGTGTCTCAGAGCGCTTAAGCATTTTTATTAACAGTCTGCATTTGATCCCCTTAATCTTTTAACCAGAATTAGACAGGGATTTGGTGAAGAAATAGATTGAGAGAGGGAGAAGGTGGGTAAGTATCAGGTCATGTATTTCACTTGACACTTGACAGGTGTCTTTCCCGCCTCTACAATCCGTTCCGGGTTCGCTCTCAACATTATTTTCCATTAAGCAATTTATTGGGCTTCAGCAGAGATGTAACAACGTGCTGAGGGGATCTAAACGCAGCAGACCCACCAGCAGTGCCGACTGAATGGGAAGGATAACCAGCACGGCTCTGTGCTTAGTTGCTCGGAGCCGAGACTCAGTCACTGCTCAGAGGCCAGTGACAATCCAGTGATCAGAGGCTCTTGTCTGGGATCTCCCCCTGGGGTGTGGGGCTCCCTCGCTCACTCTGCCTCCCGGGACCTGACCAAGTGTACCTGCCGCTCTGTGTGGTACAGGAAGTCACCACGGCTGTGCCCGCTCGCTGCCCAGGCTCCCTCACTGAACTCCGGGAAGAAGGTGGCCAACTCCCTCGAGGCTGATTCAGGGCAGTCTGCAAAGAGGACCAGAGGCATGGGGTGGGGCAGAGAGGAGTGGTGGCAGAGTGGAGGGGGGGTGGGGCAGAACAGAATGGGGGTGGGGCAGAGAGGAGTGGTGGCAGAGTGGAGTGGGGGTGGGCCGGAGTGAGGGTGGGGCAGAGAGGAGTGGAGGTGGCAGAGAGGAGGGGAGGTGGGGCAGAACAGAATGGGGGTGGGGTAGAGAGGAGTGGAGGTGACAGAGAGGAGTGGGAGCGGGGTAGAGCGGAGGTGGCAGAGAGGCATGGAGGTGGCAGAGGAGTGGGGGGGCAGGGCAGAGAGGAGGGGGAGCGGAGCGGAGACTGCTTTGTAATAATCCTGGATAAAGTGCCAGTTGTTGTTTGTGCAGATGGTGAACGGGAGCTGGGTTCAGTCCAGATTGAAACTTACCTGAGCCGTGTGTGCTGTTCCTGGTGTCTGTCAGGCCGTATGACCCCCGGATGGTGTGTGGAGCTGTGTATCGTGCGCGGCAAACCTGAGTGGGGCCCATTATTTTCCTCCAGTGTCTGATTGCATCCTCGTGGGCCAGGATGTAGGCACGTAAAGGACCACTGGTCAGCAAGGAACACAGGCCACTGTGTGAGAAGGGCTCACAGGGGGGAGTGTGTGAGAGGGGCTGAAAGGGGGTGGGTGGGGGGGGGGAGAGAAAGTGTGTGAAAGCTTCCTCACAGGGGAGAGAGAGAGGCGGGGGTGAACGAATTTACAGGGAGAGAGACAGAACGCTCACATGGGGAGAAAGAGTGAAAGAGAGAGCAAGCACAGGGAGAGGGAGGCAGAGAGAGCGCTCACAGCGAGAGAGAGAGCGCTCGCAGGGAGAGAAAGAGGGAGAGAGTGTGTGTGAGAGAGCACGCAAAGGGGGGGACAGAGCGAAAGCACGCTCAAAGCGAGAGTGATAGAGAAAGCTCATGGAGACCAATGAAGGGGAGGGGGTAGGACAGAGAACATGCCACAGAGTTGACCTTCACAGCAAACTCACCTGGACATGAACTCGACCAGTCTCTGGTAGAAAAACCTGCCTGAAAACAGAGCAGAGCAGTAACAGTCACAAACCATCCTCCATCGCTCCCCACTGGAGCTCTCTACTCTAACCCCAGTCCCTGCTCTCTCCACATCTTGTCTGTGCTGGTGCTCAATCCACACTGGAGCTCTCAAAGGTTTCTTTTGGGAGGAGCGTGTGTTCTGGGTCTGAGTATTGGGGGGGTGTTGATGGGGAGGGTGTTGGGCGGAGGGTGTTGGTGGGGAGGGTGTTGGTGGGGAGGGTGTTGGGGTGTTGGTGGGCAGAATGTTGGGGGGCGATCGTGTTGGGGGGGCGATCGTGTTGGGGGGCGATCGTGTTGGTGGGGGCGATCGTATTGGGGGGGCGATCGTGTTGGGGGGCGATCGTGTTGGGGGGCGATCGTGTTGGGGGTGATCGTGTTGGGGGGGCGATCGTGTTGGGGGGCGATCGTGTTGGGGGGCGATCGTGTTGGGGGCGATCGTGTTGGGGGGCGATCGTGTTGGGGGCGATCGTGTTGGGGGGGAGGAATCGTGTTGGGGGAAGAGTCTCTCACCTGAATGCTGTGAGTAAAAGGTTTGGGAAGCCTCGCGGCTCCACGTCAGGTCCCGGTTTGTCACGATGATGAAGTTATTTTCCAGAATTTTCTGATGAATGGCCTAGGGAAGGGAGCTAGCGTTATACAAGCACAGCAACCCCCAGCACCACCTCAACCCAACAAACCCTCCCCACCCAGCCTGGGCCCCCACCCAATCCTGAGGTTTCATGCCTGACAATGCAACTCTGTGACGGTCCTGGTGGTTTGTTCCTGAGCCTGGGGTCCGCAGGGCACGTTTGATGGCAGCACAGGCAGCCTGACTCACCGGCAGGACCTGGAAGGGCAGACCAGTGCCTGGGGGCAGAGTCATCCCAACCTCTGTTAACCCTGCAAGCCAAAGCCCTAATGGGTAGGGTGGTCCTAGCTGGACAAACAGTGGGATAGCTTGCCAGACAGCGATATCAATGGCTAGCGACAACAACAACATTACATTTGTATAGCACCTTTCACCTTTCCCTGTCCCAAGGCCCTGGACAGAGTTTCGGACCTGAGCTGGGGGTCAGGGAGGGTGGAGGGCGGGGGGGAAGCAGGGAGATTGAAAACATAATTGAGGGTCTTGAGATGGTCTTGAAGGAGGCAAGGGAGGGGATGAGGAGGGACTGCAGGATGGAGTTCCAGAGGGTGGGGGCAGTGGCAGAAGGCCCACCCGCCAATAGTGGGGCAAGGCAGGGTACGTGAAGCAGGCCGGAGCCCACTGAGCGGAGGGATTGAGCAGGGTGGTAGGGGGTTAGGAGGTGGCAGAGGTCGGGGGGAGTGAGACCGTGGAGGGCTTTGAAGGTGAGGACCAGGTTCTTGAACTGTATCCTCTGTGTGATGAGAAGTCAGTGGAGTTGGGTGAGGATGGGGGTGATAGGGTCACGGAGCCGGTGCGGGAGAGGACACGGGCTGCAGAGTTCTGGATAATCCAGAGTTGGGAGGAGTTGGGGAGGTCGACAAGCAGTGAGTTTGCAGAGGCGACCCTCGAGGTAATGAAGCCGTCTATGAAAGTTTTAGTGACCTGTGGTGTGAGACAAAGGCAGAGGCGGGCGATGGTGCGGAGGGGGGGGAAGGCAAAGCAGGTTATGGCACAGATGTGGGGTAGAAAGGTAGAAGATGTGGGGTAGCTAGGGGTATTAGCTGGTTAGCTAGACTGAACCCCCCCCCCACCTCCACACACACACACACAGACTGACCCCCCCCCCCACACACACACAGACTGAACCCCCACCTCCACACACACACAGACTGACCCCCTTCCACACACACAAACTGATTCTGCTCAAACATGCACTGATACCCCCCCACACAGATCACATACTCCCCCCAAATACACACACTGCCCCCCCTCAAACACACACACAGACTGACTTCCTCCACACCCACACACTGCACATCGCACTCCCCACCCCATTAGTCGATTGATGGAAAAGCAATCGGTTTCCTACTGACGGCCGGTAACTTGGCTGAGGTCTCGCTCCGCCCGGGAGCCAAACCCGGGGCCGCTCACTTGTGGGGCGGATGCTCTAACCACAACACAACAGGACTCCAAATATGTGGCCCTCTCAGTCCGGTTTGGATACCCTTAAACACGTTGATGGGTTTTGTTGTGTCGGACACTCTTCCCACCAAAAAAGCACCACCGTGTGTACCTGCAGGATCAGGGGGTGAGCCACCGCGTCGGGCTTGACCAGAGCCAGAGTCAGCTGTAACACCGGCCTGGACAACCGGACTGTAGCCTCCATCCTGCCAACACACACACACAGCCTGACACACACACACACACACACACACGCACAGCCTGACACACACACAGCCTGACACACACACAGCCTGACACACACACACACACAGCCTGACACACACACACACACACACACCACACAGCCTGACACACACACAGCCTGACACACACACACACACACACACACACGCACAGCCTGACACACACACACACACAGCCTGACACACACACACACACACACACACACGCACAGCCTGACACACACACACACACACACACACACACGCACAGCCTGTCTCACACACACACACACACAGCCTGTCACACACACACACACACACACAGCCTGACACACACACACACACACACAGCCTGACACACACACACACACACACAGCCTGACACACACACACACAGCCTGACACACACACACACACACACACAGCCTGACACACACACACACACACACAGCCTGACACACACACACACACACACAGCCTGACACACACACACACACAGCCTGACACACACACACACACACACACACACACAGCCTGACACACACACACACAGCCTGACACACACACACACACACACACAGCCTGACACACACACACACACACACACACACACACACACAGCCTGACACACACACACACACACACACACAGCCTGACACACACACACACACACAGCCTGACACACACACACACACACACACAGCCTGACACACACACACACACACACAGCCTGACACACACACACACACACACAGCCTGACACACACACACACACAGCCTGACACACACACACACACAGCCTAACACACACACACACAGCCTGACACACACACACACACAGCCTGACACACACACACACACAGCCTAACACACACACACACAGCCTGACACACACACACACACAGCCTGACACACAGGCTGCGGTGTGTGTGGGGCGGTGGTGGGGGGGGCGGTGTGTGGGGGCGGTGTGGGGGGCGGTGTGGGGGGGGCGGTGTGGGGCGGTGGGGGGGGCGGTGTGGGGGGGGTGGGGGCGGTGGGGGCGGCGGTGGGGGGGGTGTGGGGGGCGGTGTGCGGGGGGCGGTGTGTGGGGGCGGTGTGTGGGGGGGGCGGTGGGGGGGCGGTGGGGGGGGTGTGTGGGGGCGGTGTGTGGGGGTCTCACTGTGGGGTCTCTGAGCGCCGCCATAGAAACCAACCGGAAGTCAGTCCGTCAACAGTATCCGTCCCTTCAGCAGCACCGGAGCAAAGCCCCGCCCCCCCACAGCCCCGCCCACATCCCCCACAGCCCCGCCCACAGCCCCCACAGCCCCGCCCACAGCCCCCACAGCCCCGCCCACAGCCCCGCCCCCACAGCCCCGCCCACAGCCCCCACAGCCCCGCCTCCAGCCCCACAGCCCGGCCCCCAGCCCCCACAGCCCGGCCCCCACAGCCCCGCCCACAGCCCCCACAGCCCCGCCTCCAGCCCCACAGCCCCGCCCACAGCCCCCACAGCCCCGCCCCAGTCCCCACAGCCCCGCCCCCAGTCCCACAGCCCCGCCTCCACCCCCACAGCCCGCCCCCAGCCCCCACAGCCCCGCCACAGCCCCCACAGCCCCGCCTCCAGCCCCACAGCCCCCCCCCCCCACAGCCCCGCCCCCACAGCCCCGCCACAGCCCCACAGCCCCGCCTCCAGCCCCACAGCCCCGCCCACAGCCCCCACAGCCCGCCCCCAGTCCCACAGCCCCGCCCCCAGTCCCCACAGCCCCGCCTCCAGCCCCCACAGCCTCGCCCCCAGCCCCCACAGCCCCGCCCACAGCCCCCACAGCCCCGCTCCAGCCCCACAGCCCGCCCACAGCCCCCACAGCCCCGCCCCACCCCACAGCCCGCCCCAGTCCCCACAGCCCGCCTCCAGCCCCACAGCCTCGCCCCCAGCCCCCACAGCCCCGCCCACAGCCCCCACAGCCCCGCCCCCACAGCCCCGCCCCCCTCTTGGCCGAGGCCGCAGTGGAGCGGTAGGTGGGAGGAGCTACGGACAGATTTGTCGGTGGACCGTGAGGCCAGATTTGACACAGGTGCCTTCAGCCGCTCTTCAGTGAGCGGAGGTGGGTGGTGTACCGGGGGGAGGAGCGGGAGTAGGAGACAGTGCGGGAAGTGATGGGGGCAGAGTATCGAGTGTGGAGGAGAGGATATTGTGGAGGAGGGAGAGAGGAGAAGAGGGGTCGGTGAGGGTTGAAGGCCAGAGGGAGAGGAGTTCAGAGGACTCCAAGGCATCGGTTAGGGATTGTGGGGGTAACTTCTTCCAAGGGCGGTAGAAGATGGTGGTGGGTCTGGTGGAGGTGGGGAGGGGGGTGGAGGTGGTGAAGGAGATGAAGTAGTGGTCGGAGATGGCCTTGTCGGTAATAGTGACATCCGAGACACTGAGGCCCCGGGTGATCACCAAATCGAGTGGGTGGCCGTGACTGTGAGTGGGGGAGTTTATGTGAAGGGAGAGGTTGAGTGAGGAGAGCAGGGAAGAGAAGTCTGTGGAGATGGAGCAGGAGGGGGTGAAGTGTAGGTTAAAGTCGCCCAGGATGATGAGGCGATCAGAGGAGAGGCAAAGAGATGTGAGGAGTGTTGAAATGTCAGAGATGAAGGTGGGAGAGGTTTTAGGGGCCGGTAGAGGAGGAGGATTTTAAGGGAGAGGAATGAGGGGTGGGAGAGGGTGAGGTGCTCAAAGGAGGGGAAAGAGCCAGTGGAGTAGGGGGATAGGGCAAGTGGTGTCCTTGAGATAAGGGCAACACCACCGCCACGGCGGTTGGGGCGGGGGATGTGGTGGGAGGTGTAGCCGGGTGGCGTGGCCTCCGTGAGGGGGAAGGTGTCGCCTGGGGTGAGCCCGGTTTCTGTTAAGGCCATAATATCAACGTTCTCATCAAGGATGAGATCGTTGATGACCAGGGCCTTGTTGCAGAGGGAGCGGACATTTTGCAGTCCGATGTGGAGGGAGCGGTTGACAGAAGGGTGTGTGGGAGGGGAGGGGGGTCCAGGTTGTGAGGCAGGGGTGGGGGGAATGGGGATGAGGGAGGAGAGGTTGACTCCCCGGGTCTGTGCCCGGGGTGGGTGGCGAGTGTGGTGGGGAATGGGGCAGTCGGTGTGGCTGCTGCTGGACAGCCAACGCCGAGTGCCGCGGTGAGCCCGGCGGAGGGTTCCCAGGCTGGAGCAGAGGGAGGGGGTGGGGGGGTCAAGTGGGGATAGAGGGACGGAGAGAGAGGAGGAGAGAGCGGGAGAGAGGGTTTTGGGGGAGAGAGGAGGGAGGAGAGAGAGAGGGGGTGAGGGAGCTCGGGTCATAGTGGCAGCCATAGTGCGCACGCGGGGACCGGGAGCGAGCGGTCAGGTGGATGGACACATTATCCCATAGGCCGGGGCTGGGGCAGCCAACCCAACAGGACCATGGTGGGCTCTGATGTGAGCCCTGGGGAGGGGGGGGGGGGCAGAGGATTTTTTTTTTTTTTTTTTTGCGCGCGCACACTTCTGAAAACTACAACTATGATGTCAGCGGTTCCCCCGCTCCGCCCCCACCCGTTCCCTCCTCAGACCCACACCCCCCCACTGGCTGCACTCCCTGCCGTGTCGAGCTTAAGTACCTGAGAGGTTGGCCCAGCTCCTCCCCGCGCTGTCCTGCCACCGCTCCCTGTCAGGGACTGGATGTGGGACTTCTCTTTGACCGAGCCTTCAGCTCCCCTCTCGACTGTCTACCCCCTCCTCGCTCCCTCCCTTCCCTCCCCTCACCCTGACCACTTCCCCACTGCTCGGGTCCTGACCCAACTGTACAGTGCCTTGGGACGTCCTCCCGACGTGAAAGGCGCTCTATAAATGGAATCTTGTTGTTGTTGTTGTGGGGGAGTAAGGACAGCTGGAGGTCGAATCAGATACCGAGGTTGCACACTGGTTCGGTGAGTCTGAGGGAGAGCCCAGGGAGGTTGAGGAGTTCAGAGCCAAGGAAAATGGCTTTGGTCTTGTCCACATTCAGCTGCAGGAAGTTTACACTCATCCAGGCCCTGATGTCCACCAGACATATGCTGATAGAGCATCGGGGGACCTGGGGTTGGTGCTGGAGGAGGCAAAGTAGATTTGTGTAGATCCCGCAAACATGTGGAAGCTTAGGCTGTGTCTGCGAATGACATCACCCAGTGAGAGCTTATAGATAAAGAAAAGAAGAGACCAAGGATGGAGGCCTGGGTCACCCCACAGGTGACCGGGTGGATGTGGGAGGAAAAACCATTTGCTGAGATGAAATGGCGGCAGTTGGTTAAATAGGACTCGCACCACGTGAGTGCGATCCCACGAAGGTGGATGAGTGAGGAGAGCCAATGGATGAGGATGGTGGACTGTGTCGAAGTGGCAGAGAGATCCAGGAGGACGAGGAGGCAGAGGGAGCCCCGGGCACCGATGGAGAGAATGTCATTTGTGACTTTGACAAGAGCTGTCTCTGCGCTGTGGGCAGTCGGGGCAACAACCAGACTGCAGGGGCTCGAGGAGGGAGTGGAGGGAGAGGTGTGACCCAAGTTGACCTGCAACAATGTGTTCTAGGACTTTGGCAATGAAGGGCAGGTTGGAGATGGGACAGTAGTGTGAGAGATTAGAGGGATGAAGGTGGTTTTTTTGGAGGGTGTGATGACAGTGGTTTGCAGGGGGAGTGGAGCCGAGCCTGAGGAGAGAGTCTGGTTGACCGTGTCGGCCGGCAGGGGGAGAGGAGGGGGAGTTGAGTGACCAGCAGCTGGGTGGGGAGGGGGTCAAGGCAGCAGGTAGTGAACTGTATAGCTCTGTACACAGCGTTGCCCTGCACACAGTATAGCACAGCATAGCCCTGTACACAGTATAGCACAGCATAGCCCTGTACATAGTGTACCCCTGCACACAGCGTAGCCCTGCACACAGCGTAGCCCTGCACACAGTATAGCTCTGCACACAGTATAGCACAGTATAGCCCTGTACACAGTATAGCACAGCATAGCCCTGTACATAGTGTACCCCTGCACACAGCGTAGCCCTGCACACAGTATAGCCCTGCACACAGTATAGCTCTGCACACAGTATAGCTCTGCACACAGTATAGCACAGTATAGCCCTGTACACAGTATAGCACAGTGTAGCCCTGCACATAGTATAGCTCTGCACACAGTGTACCCCTGCACACAGTATAGCTGTACACACAGTATAGCTCTGCACACAGTATAGCTCTGCACACAGTATAGCTGTACACACAGTATAGCCCTGCACACAGTATAGCCCTGCACACAGTATAGCCCTGCACACAGTATAGCTCTGCACACAGTATAGCTCTGCACACAGTATAGCTCTGCACACAGTATAGCTCTGCACACAGTATAGCTGTACACACAGTATAGCTCTGCACACAGTATAGCTGTACACACAGTATAGCTCTGCACACAGTATAGCTGTACACACAGTATAGCTCTGCACACGGTATAGCTGTACACACAGTATAGCTCTGCACACGGTATAGCTGTACACACGGTATAGCCCTGCACACAGGCTCCACCGTGGAGAACACATGAGCAGTTCTCCTGACTCAGCCTTCGGTGGAGAAACGTGATTTAATCTACTGATTTTGCCATTTCCCCATGAGGAGCGACACCCAGTGTGAGAGTGAGAGCAGAGACACGTGCACTGTGAGTGTGAGCAGGGAGACAGACACCGAGTGTGACAGACACACTAAGTGTGAGCAGGGAGACAGACACTGTGTCACAGGGAGACAGACATCGAGCAGCGGAGACAATATTGAGTGGCGGAGACAGACTCTGAGTGGCGGAGACGGACACTGAGTGGCGGAGACGGACACTGAGTGGCGGAGACGGACACTGAGTGGCGGAGACGGACACTGAGTGGCGGAGACGGACACTGAGTGGCGGAGACGGACACTGAGTGGCGGAGACAGACACTGAGTGGCGGAGACGGACACTGAGTGGCGGAGACGGACACTGAGTGGCGGAGACAGACAACGCAATAAATTGGGTTTATTCAGCGCCTTTCAAGTGAGAGGATCAGACAGACATTGGGAATGTCAGACAGACACTGTGTCGGTGATTGGTGAGTGAGTGACCCCACGAGTGATCGTAGGAGTGGGCGGACAGTCACCGTTAGTGTGAGCAAAGGCAGACAATGAGGTTGTTGCTGTGGGGGGGGGGGGGGGTTGTTGCTGTGTGTGGTGGGGGGGGGTTGTTGCTGTGTGTGTGGGGGGGGGTTGTTGCTGTGTGTGGGGGGGGGGTTGTTGCTGTGTGTGGGGGGGGGGTTGTTGCTGTGTGTGGGGGGGGGGGTTGTTGCTGTGTGTGGGGGGGGGGGTTGTTGCTGTGTGTGTGTGGGGGGGGTTGTTGCTGTGTGTGTGGGGGGGGGTTGTTGCTGTGTGTGGGGGGGGGTTGTTGCTGTGTGTGGGGGGGGGTTGTTGCTGTGTGGGGGGGGGGTTGTTGCTGTGTGTGGGGGGGGGGGTTGTTGCTGTGTGGGGGGGGTTGTTGCTGTGTGTGGGGGGGGGGTTGTTGCTGTGTGGGGGGGGGGGGGTTGTTGCTGTGTGTGGGGGGGGGGGGTTGTTGCTGTGTGTGGGGGGGGGGGGTTGTTGCTGTGTGTGTGTGTGTGGGGGGGTTGTTGCTGTGTGTGTGGGGGTGTTGCTGTGTGTGTGGGGGTGTTGCTGTGTGGGGGTGTTGCTGTGTGTGGGGGGGGGGTGTTGCTGTGTGTGGGGGGTGTTGCTGTGTGGGGGTGTTGCTGTGTGGGGGGTGTTGCTGTGTGTGGGGGTGTTGCTGTGTGTGGGGGTGTTGCTGTGTGGGGGGGTTGCTGTGTGTGGGGGGGGGTTGTTGCTGTGTGTGGTGGGGGGGGGTTGTTGCTGTGTGGGGGGGGGGGTTGTTGCTGTGTGTGTGGGGGGGGGTTGTTGCTGTGTGTGTGGGGGGGGTTGTTGCTGTGTGGGGGGGGGGGGTTGTTGCTGTGTGTGTGGGGGGGGGGTTGTTGCTGTGTGTGTGGGGGGGGGGTTGTTGCTGTGTGTGTGGGGGGGGGTTGTTGCTGTGTGTGTGGGGGGGGGTTGTTGCTGTGTGTGGGGGGGGTTGTTGCTGGGGGGGGGGTTGTTGCTGTGTGGGGGGGTTGTTGCTGTGTGTGGGGGGGTTGTTGCTGTGTGTGGGGGGGGTTGTTGCTGTGTGGGGGGGGGTTGTTGCTGTGTGTGGGGGGGGGGTTGTTGCTGTGTGTGTGTGGGGGGGGTTGTTGCTGTGTGGGGGGGGGGTTGTTGCTGTGTGTGTGGGGGGGGGGTTGTTGCTGTGTGGGTGGGGGGGGGGTTGTTGCTGTGTGGGGGGGGGTTGTTGCTGTGTGGGTGGGGGGGTTGTTGCTGTGTGTGTGGGGGGGTTGTTGCTGTGTGGGGGGGGGTGAAGGTGAGAGATGGTCAGTGTGTGCGTCTGGGGGAGATTGTCACGGGGGGGTGGGGGTGGGGGGAGTGTGCAGTGAGATGATGGCTGTGGTAATCGGAGGCACTTGGAGTCAGGAAACTTACTTAAGGTTTCCCCCGACCGGGAATCCAACCCGAGGCCTCTAACCACTAAACTCCATGGCCACTGAGGGGGGGGGGGGGGGTTGTTGCTGTGTGGGGGGGGACAGTGAGATTGTGTGTGGGGAGAGGGGCAGTATATGATGGTCGGTGTGGGGGGGGGTGTGGGGGGGTTGTGTGGGTGGGGTGGGGGGTGTGTGGGGGGGGAATCCAACCTGAGGCCTCTAACCACTAAACTCCATGGCCACTGAGGGGGTGGGGGGGTTGTGTGTGTGGGGGTGGGGGTGGGTTGTTGCTGTGTGGGGGGTGGGGGGTGGGTTGTTGCTGTGTGTGGGGTGGGGGGTTGTTGCTGTGTGTGGGGGGTGGGGGTGTGTGTGGGTGGGGTGTGGGGGGGGGGGTTGTTGCTGTGTGTGGGTGTGTGGGGGTGTGTGTGGGGTGGGGTTGTGCGTGTGGGGTGGGGGGGTTGTTCCTGTGTGTGGGGGGTGTGTGGGGGTGCGTGTGGGGTGGGGGGGTTGTTGTGTGTGGGGGGTGGGGTGTGTGTGTGGGTGGGGTGTGGGGGGGGGGGTTGTTGCTGTGTGTGGGTGTGTGGGGGTGTGTGTGGGGTGGGGGTGTGCGTGTGGGGTGGGGGGGTTGTTGCTGTGTGTGGGGGGTGGGGGTGTGTGTGTGGGGGGGTGTGTGGGGTGGGGGGGGTTGTTGCTGTGTGTGGGGGGTGGGGGTGTGTGGGGTGGGGGGGGTTGTTGCTGTGTGTGGGGGTGGGGTGTGTGGGTGGGGTGGGTTGTTGCTGTGTGTGTCGGGGGACAGTGAGATTGTGTGTGGGGAGAGTGGCAGTATGATGGTCGGTGTGGTGTGTGGGGGCTGTGTGGGGTGGGGGTGTGGGTGGGGGGGGGTTGTTGCTGTGTGGGGGTGGGGGTGTGGGGTGGGGGAGGTTGTTGCTGTGTGTGGGGGGTGGGGGTGTGCGTGTGGGGTGGGGGGGGTTGTTGCTGTGTGTGTCGGGGGACAGTGAGATTGTGTGTGGGAGAGTGGCAGTATGATGGTCGGTGTGGTGTGTGGGGGCTGTGTGGGGTGGGGGTGTGCGTGTGGGGTGGGGGGGGTTGTTGCTGTGTGTGGGGGTGGGGGGGGGCGTGTGGGGTGGTGGGGGGACAGTTGATCAGAAGAAGGTTCTCTCCAGGTACGCGTTGAGGAACATTCCGGTGGGATCAAGCCTCTCTCGGATGGAGCAAAACGTGCGGAAACCCGGGTACATCTTCTCAAAGTCCTCGCGGACACAACTGTGAGCCTGAGTGTGCGAGCAAACACAGTGAGTGTGAGCGTGAGTGTGAGTGGCCTCACACATTCCCTCACACTCACTCACAGTGACACTGTCACAGTCTGACACACACTCACACTGACACACACACACTCATGCTCACACACAGTCATACACACTCATGCTCACACCTACAGTCTGACACACTCACTGTCACACACACTGTCAGTCTGACGCACACTCACAGTCATGCTCACACTCTCACAGTCTGACACACACTCAATGTGACACACTCACAGTCTGACACACTCAATGTGACACACTCACAGTCTGACACACACTCAATGTGACACACTCACAGTCTGACACACACTCAGTGATGCACACTCACAGTCTGACACACACTCAATGTGACACACTCACAGTCTGACACACACTCAATGTGACACACTCACAGTCTGACACACACTCAATGTGACACACTCACAGTCTGACACACACTCAATGTGACACACTCACAGTCATGCCCACACACATTTGTCAAGGTGTTGCTCACACACACACACACTTATCACAGTTGCTCACGGACACAGTTTCAGTCTGTCACACGCGCACAGTCAACAGTGTGTGTCACACACTCACGGTGTCACAGTGTAGGGACAGGTTCTTGACCCACCTTTGCCCAGTGGGGACGGCCTCCGTTCTCCCTCATGATGGCCTCGTACGCTGCCCAGTATCTCTCGCGCTGCGGCTCCCTCCCATATGGCCTGAGAGAGAGACACAGGTCAGCGAACAGCCAACCGCGCCCCTGGTGTGTGTCACACACATACACACATACACACACACACACACGCCCGCCCGCAGACACACACACACACCGTCACACACACCGCGGGGACCTACCTGTAGGCGATGATGTTGATGTAGCAGCTGTCCTGCCTATAGCAGGGGCTGAGCAGGATGTCGTCACCGCGGGCGAAACGCACCTCAACCGGGAAGTGAGCCGTCTCCCCCTCGTGCCGTCCCAGCCAGACCTGTAACTGCCGCAGGGCCTCCCCAGCCCTGTGTCTGCACACAACAACAACAACAACCACAACAACGTCGTCATCGGCCACATTCACAAAACGTGCATCAAATGTTAGAAGGTGGGGAGGGAACACATTTGAGGGTCTCTGGGCTGGAGTCACGGGGGGGGGGGATGGCGAGTGGCTGACACCCCAGGCCAATGATGGTGGGGGGGAGAGTGGGGGAGGTGAAGCACGTGGTGCTCGCTGAGGGGTTTGGTGGGGTTTGAGGAGGTCACAGAGGTGGGGCGAGACCATGGAGGGATTTAACAACAACGTAACATTTGTATTGCGCCTTTCACGTTGGAGGGTGAGAATGAGGATGTGACGGCAAACCAGTGGGACCGGGCGAGTGAGGGCAAGAGGTTACCCGGGGGGGGGGGGGAGTGGGAGCTTACAGGGAGGAGGGGAGGAGGGCAAAAGTATTACATTAGAATAGATTGCATTAGAGTATACAGCACAGAATCAGCCATTCGGCCCAACTGGTCTTTGCCGGTGTTTCAGCTCCACATGAGCCTCTCCGGCCCTTCCCCAACAGCCTTCAGACATCACCTTCTACTCCTTTCTCCCTCATGTACCTCTCCGGCTTCCCCTGAAATACATCTGTGCTGTTTGCCTCCACAACTCCGCGTGGCAGCACGTTCCACATTCCCACTACCGTGTGTGTGAAGAGGTTTCCTCCAACTTCCCTGTTTGATCTATTTGGGACTATTTGATGTTGATGGCCCTGGTTTTGGTCTCCCCCACAAGTGGAAACATCTTCCCTATGTCTACCCCATCCAAACCTTTCATCATTTTAAAGACCTCTGTCAGGTCAGCCTTACCCTCCACTTTTCAAGAGAGAAGAGCCCAAGCACGCTCAGCCTTTCCTGATAGCTATAACCTCTCAGTTCTGGGATCATCGTTGGGAATCTCCTTTGCACTCTCTCCAGTGCCTATAGTCCCCTCTATAACGTGGGGACCAGAACTGCACTGTATTGTAAGTGTGGTCTAACCGAGGTTCTGTAGAGGGTTACCATAACTTCCTGCTTTTCATTTCTGTCCCTATCCCTCTAGAAATCAACCCCAATGCCTGGTTTTTTGCCTTTTTTATGGCCTTATTAACCTGAGTTGCTACTTTTAGTGAATTGTGTATGTGTACCCCGAGATCCCTTTGCTCCTCTACCCCATTTAGGCTTTTATTTTCCAGGATGTATGTGACTTCCTTATTCCTTCTACCAAAATGTACCACCTCACACTTTTCTACATTGGAATAATTTTGCCATTTAAATGCCCACTCAGCAACATTATCAATGTCTTGCTGTAATTTGTTGCCGTTCTCCTCTGGATTAACCATTCCCCCCAACTTGATGTCATCTGCAAATTTTGAAATTGTACTACTGATTCCTGAGTCCAAATCATTAATGTATATTGTGAACAATCGTGGTCCCAATAATGATCATTGTGGAACACCACTGCCCACCCTCTACCAGTCCGAGTAGCTACCCTTCACCCCTACTCTCTGATTTCTGCTTCGTACCAGCTTGCTATCCATTATTTCCCCCCCATCTCCACACGCTCTTGTAAGGTACTCACGCAAGGTACTTACATGGGAATGGCCCAGTCAGACACATACTGTTTGAAGAGACATTCACAGCTGAAAGCTCGGTCACTGCGCTGGACCTGCTCCTGTCTCACGGAGTAAATGGCCCAGAAATAGGCCCGAGTGATCCAGGTGGTCAACCACGGGAGGAAGAAACTGCAGAGAGTCAGAGACACCATTCAGTACCTCCTCCACCTACCTCACCCCCTCGCACACTGACCCCCGGACACAGTGTCTCACACACTGACCCCCGGACACAGTGTCACACACTGACCCCCGGTCACAACGTTGCACACACTGACCCCCGGACACAGTGTCTCACACACTGACCCCCGGTCACAGCGTTGCACACACTGACTCTTGTGTGTGTGGGGGGGGTGGGGGGTACAGTAAGGGGGGAAATGAAGGGAGGGAGGAGTGGATGGGTAGGGGGGGGAGTGAGAGGGGATGGAGATTGTGAGATGGGATGTCAGTGGGAGGACCAACCTGACCCACAGTAACAGTTCCAGGAGGTAATAACCGACAGCGTAATCACGGAACCAGTTCGAGCTGCATTTCAGTGGCTGCAAAACAGAAAGATAATTACCCCCCATCTGGCCTCTTAACCCCTGTTTGGCCCCCATCTGTCTTCATTACTCCCGTCTGCCCTCTTCTGCCTTCGTTACCACATCCCGGCTTGACTACGCCAACTACGCTGGACTTCCCTCCACAAGCAGCAGATTATTCAGAGCTGCAGCTCATGTTCATTCCCCGCACCAGGCTCCGGGAGCCTCTCACCCCCGCTCTTGCCCGGCTTCACTGGCTCCACATCCCTCAGAGAAGGGTACATAACCCTCACCTTCAAAGTCCTCTACGGTTTTGCTCTCCCCACTTCTCCGACCTACTAACCCCATATCAGCCGGTCCGCTCCCTCCGCTCAGCGGACACCGCCTGCTTTGGGTCCCCCGCACTTTCCGCCCCATCGTTGCCAGTCGGGCATTCAGCATCTCTGCCCCCACATTCTGGAACTCTATCCTACAATCCCTTTGCCTCACGTCCTCTTTTGCCTCCTTTATGTCCGCTCTAAAGATCTTCCTCTTCTACTGTGCCTTCGGACACACCCCACCCCCGTCTTCTACCCCATCTAACCCCAACTCCAGTTTGGATCCAAGAAGCCCTGACTCTCCATCGCCCTGGGATGCCTTTTTGAAGTGAAGGGCGCTGTACAAGTTTAATTTGTTGTTACCCCTCGTCTGCTCTCGTTATCCCCATCTGCTCTCATTACCCCCGTCTGCTCTCATTACCCCCGTCTGCTCTCGTTACCCCCATCTGCTATCGTTACCCCCGTCTGCTCTCGTTACCCCCGTCTGCTCTCGTTACCCCTGTCTGCTCTCGTTACCCACTGTCTGCTCTCGTTATCCCTGTCTGCTTTCGTTACCCCCCGTCTGCTCTCGTTACCCCCCGTCTGCTCTCGTTACCCCCGTCTGCTCTCGTTACCCCCATCTGCTCTCGTTCCCCCCCGTCTGCTCTCGTTCCCCCCCGTCTGCTCTCGTTCCCCCCCGTCTGCTCTTGTTCCCCCTGCCTGCCCCTGTTCGTCCAGTGTCTCCTTCGTTTTTCTCCACCCGACGCTTCTCACTATCAGTCTCTAATAATAATCCTTGCATTTGTTACAGCGCCTTCTCATGTCTTCGAGCCGTCCCAAAGGGCTTCACAGAATATACTGTAAAGTGGATTAACTGTGTATTTTGTGTGCAAAAAGCAGCAGCCAATTGCGTACAGCAATGTCCCACAAACAGTCGTGGATTCAGTGACCAAACTAATCGTCTCTCACACTCAGGATGTCTCTCACACTTCCGGATCTCACACTCACGTGTCTCACACACTCACACGCCTCTCACGCGTCTCACACTCACATGTCTCTCATTCAAGACGTCTCACTTTCAGGACGTCTCCTACACTTACACGTCTGTCTCGTGACGCAGCAATACCTTGTCGGTGCGATCGCTGTAGTAGACGTTGACGTTGTCGGTGTGCGGGAACCACAGGAAACGGAAATACTCAGAACGCTGGAGGTGATCATCCAACTCGGTCAGAACCTGCCAGAGAGAGACGGTGGTGGGGGTGTGTGTGTGTTATGAGAGCGAGAGTGGGGTGAGAGAGAGAGGAGATGACAGAGAGGGTGGGGTGTGAGGGTGACGGGGGGTGTGAGTGAGTGGGGTCTATGAGAGTGGGAGGGTTGTGAGAGAGAAAGGGTGGCTGTAAGAGAGAGAGTGGGAGCTTGAGAAAGGGGGAGGGGGGGTGTGGGCTGTGAAAGAGAGGGGTCTGTGAGAGACGGGGAGTGTGTGAGGTTGACTAACCTTTGACTAACCTTTTTTCTTGATATGCTTGTAAAATACTTTAGGATTCCCTTTAATGTTACCTGCTAACTTTTTTTGTATAATCTTTTTGCGCCTCTTATTTCCTTTTTCAGTTCTCCTCTGTACTTCCTATATTCGATTTGGTTGTCTTCTGTATCTTGGGTTTGACATTTGTCATACGCCTCCTTTTTCTGCTTCATTCCAGATACAATTACCTTCGTTATTCAGGAAGGTTTGGATTCTCTACTTTTCCCTTTTGTCAGAATGTATTTGTTCTGTCCCCGACCTATCTCATCCTTGAAGACTTCCCACTGCTCTTTAGTTGTTTTACCTGCCAATCTTTCTTTCCAGTCCACCTTGGCCAGGTCCCTTTTTAACTCACTGAAATTTGCCCTCTTCCCCTTAGATGGTTCCTTGTCTGTTTCCATATGCACTCTGAATCTAATGATGTTGTGATCGCTATTGCCCAGATGCTCTCCCACTGAAACCTGCTCCACTTGCCCTACTTCATTCCCCAGAACTAGATCCAGCACTGCTTCCTTCCTCATTGGGCTGGAAACGTACTGATCAAGAAAGTTGCCCTGTACACATTTTAGGAATTTTTCCCCCTCCTTGCCCTTTGCGCTGTTGTTTTGCCAGTCTATGTTGGGATAATTAAAGTCCCCCATTATCACGACTCTATTGGCCTTCATCTGTCTGAGATCTGCTTGCAGATCTGCTCATCTATTTCCTTCCCACTATTTAGTGGTCTATAGTATACCCCTTCCAGAGTAACAGCTCCTTTTTTGTTCCTTAACTCTAACCAGATAGATTCCGTTTTGGGGCCCTCCAGCATCTCGACCCTTTCCACAGCTATAACCATATCCTTGATTAACAATGCCACACCCCCTCCTTTATTTCCTTCCCTATCCCTCCTGAATACATTATAGCCAGGAATATTCAGCTCCCATTCCGGTCCTTGCTTGAGCCAAGTCTCTGTTACTGCTACTACATCATATCCCCCTATGACCACTTTAGGCACACGCACTCCAAGACCGACTTGACCTGTTCTGCACTTCCCCCCTGTTTTATTTCTCCATTTTTTAACTCCTCGTTTTTTGCATTCCCTTCCCCCCTCAAAGCTGGTTAGCCTGTCTGCTACACATTGGCCCCAACCCTGTTTAGGTGTAACCCATCCATATGATACAGGTCCCACCTGCCCCAGAACTGGTCCCAATGATCCAGAAACCTGAAGCCCTCTTTTCTGGACCATATTTCCAGCCAAGCATTCATATGTTTGATCCTGTGACTGTGGTACTTATTTGCCCGAGTCACAGGGAGTAATCCAGAGATCACCACCTTGGATGTTCGATTCTTTAGTGCGTTCCCCAGCTTTTGATATTGACCCTATACTGTTCCCACCCCATCAAAAACACTGTCATAACTCCTTAAAAAACCGTCCCTTAACCCATCCCTGCTCTCAATCCACCACCCCATCTCCAACCTCCCTTTCCTCTCCAAAGTCCTGCAATGAGTAGTTGCTTCCAATTTCACTCCTTCCTCTCCGCCACTCCCTTCTCGAACCCCTACAATCGGGTTTCCGTGCCACCGAGTTATAGCACGAGGTGGGGGGGCTTTGAGAGCGAAAGGTGGGTGTGAGAGAGAGGGGAGAGTTGTCGGAGTGAAAAGAGGCCTGAGAGAGGGGTGGGGGATTGTGAGTGGGGAGGGGGGGGCCGGGCGAGGGCACCGATTTAAAACAGTTGTTGAAAGAAATGAGAGGTGAGGAGAAAGTTTTCAACACAGCGAGTTGTGTGAGCGAGGCTGGGGCTGGGGGGAATGTGTACCTGTGTGAGCGAGGCTGGGGGTGGGGGGAGTGTGTACCTGTGTGAGCAAGGCTGGGGGTGGGGGGAGTGTGTACCTGTGTGAGCAATGCAAGGCTGGGGCTGGGGGTGGGGGGAATGTGTACCTGTGTGAGCGAGGCTGGGATTTGGAGTGTGTACCTGTGTGTGCGAGGCTGGGGGTGGGGGTGGGGGGAGTGTGTACCTGTGTGTGCGAGGCTGTGGGGGGTGGGGGGAGTGTGTACCTGTGTGAGCGAGGCTGGGGGTGGGGGGAGTGTATGCCTGTGTGAGCGAGGCTGGGGGGAGTGTGTATCTGTGTGTGCGAGGCTGGGGGTGGGGGGAGTGTGTACCTGTGTGAGCGAGGCTGGGGGTGGGGGGAGTGTGTACCTGTGTGAGTGAGGGTGGGGGTGGGGGGAGTGTGTACCTGTGTGAGTGAGGCTGGGGGTAGGGGGAGTGTGTACCTGTGTGAGTGAGGCTGGGGGTGGGGGTGGGGGGAGTGTGTACCTGTGTGAGTGAGGCTGGGAAGCGGCGCTGGTGGATGAGGAACGCGGGCTGGCACTGGATGGTCAGGGTAAGGACCACCCCCAGGCAGCCCAAGTGCAGCGAGGCCGCCCGGAACACCTCCTGGTTCTGCTGCTCGGAGCACTCCAGCACCTCACCCGCAGCCGTCATCAGGCACAGAGACACCACCTGTCCACCAGGGGAGACACAACCAGTCACAGAGCTTCCCCGCCAGTCACTGTGGGCCACACAGCAATGTCACCCATGACTAGTAGGTGAATGACCATTGTGTGGGATTGTTGGGCAGATCGGGGAGAAACTCAGAGACTTAATGGCTTGAACCCACAACCTTCTGACCCAAAGGCAAGAGCGCTGCCACTGATGAAGGGTTGTTTCGCTCATTGTTAATTCAGGTTTGGCACAAGGCTGACCCTCCAATGTCCTGGAGAGCGTGTGGGGGGAGGAGGGGGTGAGGGAGCACTGCATTAATTGTCAGAGGTGCCATCCTTCAGATGAGACATTAAACCGAGGTCCCACCTGCCTGGCCGGGTGGATGCTAAAATGCCAATGGCACGATTCAAAAAGAGAAGGGCGTTTATCCCTCCCACTGGCCTGGCCAACAATCCTCCAGTCACTTAATGGTTGTTTGTGGGATGTTTTTCTGTCTGCCTAATGGCTGCCATGATCAAATACAAGATACACAGTCACTACACCTTCCAGTATATCCTGTGAAGTGCTTTGGACAACAACAAAATTGCATTTATATTGTACCTTTCATGTCAGGATAATACTAAATATTGATATAGCCCCTCATCACTTTTTCGAGACATCTCAAAGCGCTTCACAGTATATACTGTAAAGTGTAGTGACTGTATATATTGTGGGTGAACCGGGTCAGCCAATTGCACACAGCAATGTTCCACAAACAGTTGTAGATTGAGTGACCAAATTATTATTTTAATTTTTTTTTGATGTGGCTATTACCCCTGAAAAAGCGATCCCCCAATCGCCTAACAACCAGGTTCCTAATTATTGCTGAATAAACAGAAGGTGTGGAGTAAGGAAACTTACCTAACGCTTCGCACTGCCCCCGGAATAGAACCTGGGTCCTCTCGCTTGGGATCAGGTCATTTCCAGTGAACAGTGAGAACAGCGAGTGTGGGGGGGCAAGGCTACTGCAGTGAGAGAGCGGCGTTTACGGGGAGAGCAGTGTGGGCGGGTGTGTACCTGTGTGGTGCTGTGGGCGGGTGTGTACCTGTGTGGTGCTGTGGGCGGGTGTGTACCTGTGTGGTGCTGTGGGCGGGTGTGTACCTGTGTGGTGCTGTGAGCGGGTGTGTACCTGTGTGGTGCTGTGGGTGGGTGTGTACCTGTGTGGTGCTGTGAGCGGGTGTGTACCTGTGTGGTGCTGTGGGCGGGTGTGTACCTGTGTGGTGCTGTGGGTGGGTGTGTACCTGTGTGGTGCTGTGGGTGGGTGTGTACCTGTGTGGTGCTGTGAGCGGGTGTGTACCTGTGTGGTGCTGTGGGTGGGTGTGTACCTGTGGTGCGGTGTGTACCTGTGTGGTGCTGTGAGCGGGTGTGTACCTGTGTGGTGCTGTGGGTGGGTGTGTACCTGTGTGGTGCTGTGGGCGGGTGTGTACCTGGTTGGTGCTGTGAGCGGGTGTGTACCTGTGTGGTGCTGTGGGTGGGTGTGTACCTGTGGTGCGGTGTGTACCTGTGTGGTGCTGTGAGCGGGTGTGTACCTGTGTGGTGCTGTGAGCGGGTGTATACCTGTGTGGTGCTGTGGGTGGGTGTGTACCTGTGGTGCGGTGTGTACCTGTGTGGTGCTGTGAGCGGGTGTGTACCTGTGTGGTGCTGTGAGCGGGTGTGTACCTGTGTGGTGCTGTGAGCGGGTGTGTACCTGTGTGGTGCTGTGGGTGTGTACCTGTGTGGTGCTGTGAGCGGGTGTGTACCTGTGTGGTGCTGTGGGCGGGTGTGTACCTGGTTGGTGCTGTGAGCGGGTGTGTACCTGTGTGGTGCTGTGGGTGTGTACCTGTGTGGTGCTGTGGGTGGGTGTGTACCTGTGTGGTGCTGTGGGCGGGTGTGTACCTGTGTGGTGCGGTGTGTACCTGTGTGGTGCGGTGTGTACCTGTGTGGTGCTGTGGGTGTGTACCTGTGTGGTGCTGTGGGTGTGTGTGTACCTGTGTGGTGCGGTGTGTACCTGTGTGGTGCGGTGTGTACCTGTGTGGTGCTGTGGGTGGGTGTGTACCTGTGTGGTGCGGTGTGTACCTGTGTGGTGCGGTGTGTACCTGTGTGGTGCTGTGGGTGGGTGTGTACCTGTGTGGTGCTGTGGGTGGGTGTGTACCTGGTTGGTGCTGTGGGTGGGTGTGTACCTGTGGTGCGGTGTGTACCTGTGTGGTGCTGTGGGTGGGTGTGTACCTGTGGTGCGGTGTGTACCTGTGTGGTGCTGTGAGCGGGTGTGTACCTGTGTGGTGCTGTGGGTGGGTGTGTACCTGGTTGGTGCTGTGCGTGGGTGTGTACCTGTGTGGTGCGGTGTGTACCTGTGTGGTGCGGTGTGTACCTGTGTGGTGCTGTGGGTGTGTACCTGTGTGGTGCTGTGGGTGTGTACCTGTGTGGTGCTGTGGGTGTGTACCTGTGTGGTGCTGTGGGTGGGTGTGTACCTGTGTGGTGCTGTGGGCGGGTGTGTACCTGTGTGGTGCGGTGTGTACCTGTGTGGTGCGGTGTGTACCTGTGTGGTGCTGTGGGTGTGTACCTGTGTGGTGCTGTGGGTGTGTGTGTACCTGTGTGGTGCGGTGTGTACCTGTGTGGTGCGGTGTGCACCTGTGTGGTGCTGTGGGTGGGTGTGTACCTGTGTGGTGCGGTGTGTACCTGTGTGGTGCGGTGTGTAACTGTGTGGTGCTCTGGGTGGGTGTGTACCTGTGTGGTGCGGTGTGTACCTGTGTGGTGCTGTGGGTGGGTGTGTACCTGTGTGGTGCTGTGGGTGGGTGTGTACCTGGTTGGTGCTGTGCGTGGGTGTGTACCTGTGTGGTGCGGTGTGTACCTGTGTGGTGCTGTGGGTGGGTGTGTACCTGTGGTGCGGTGTGTACCTGTGTGGTGCTGTGAGCGGGTGTGTACCTGTGTGGTGCTGTGGGTGGGTGTGTACCTGGTTGGTGCTGTGCGTGGGTGTGTACCTGTGTGGTGCGGTGTGTACCTGTGTGGTGCGGTGTGTACCTGTGTGGTGCTGTGGGTGTGTACCTGTGTGGTGCTGTGGGTGTGTACCTGTGTGGTGCTGTGGGTGTGTACCTGTGTGGTGCTGTGGGTGTGTACCTGTGTGGTGCTGTGGGTGTGTACCTGTGTGGTGCTGTGGGCGGATGTGTACCCGTGTGGTGCGGTGTGTACCTGTGTGGTGCGGTGTGTACCTGTGTGGTGCGGTGTGTACCTGTGTGGTGCTGTGAGCGGGTGTGTACCTGTGTGGTGCTGTGGGTGGGTGTGTACCTGGTTGGTGCTGTGCGTGGGTGTGTACCTGTGTGGTGCGGTGTGTACCTGTGTGGTGCTGTGGGTGGGTGTGTACCTGTGTGGTGCGGTGTGTACCTGTGTGGTGCTGTGGGTGTGTACCTGTGTGGTGCTGTGGGTGTGTACCTGTGTGGTGCGGTGTGTACCTGTGTGGTGCGGTGTGTACCTGTGTGGTGCGGTGTGTACCTGTGTGGTGCGGTGTGTACCTGTGTGGCCAGGATACCGTGCCGGATGCCTGTGTTGTGGGTGCCGGTGGCGATCACTCCTCCAGCGGTGACGTCAGACACAGCGCCCATACTGCAGACAGACAGACAGACACACAGTCAGACACACAGACACACACTGACACACAAACACACACTGACACACAAACACACACTGACACACAGTCAGACACACAAACACACACTGACACACAAACACACACTGACACACAAACACACACTGACACACAAACACACACTGACACACAGTCAGACACACAAACACACACTGACACACAAACACACACTGACACACAAACACACACTGACACACAAACACACACTGACACACAGTCAGACACACAAACACACACTGACACACAAACACACACTGACACACAAACACACACTGACACACAAACACACACTGACACACAGTCAGACACACAAACACACACTGACACACAGTCAGACACACAAACACACACTGACACACAAACACACACTGACACACAAACACACACTGACACACAGTCAGACACACAAACACACACTGACACACAAACACACACTGACACACAAACACACACTGACACACAGTCAGACACACAAACACACACTGACACACAAACACACACTGACACACAGTCAGACACACAAACACACACTGACACACAGTCAGACACACAAACACACACTGACACACAAACACACACTGACACACAGTCAGACACACAAACACACACTGACACACAAACACACACTGACACACAAACACACACTGACACACAAACACACACTGACAGACACACAGACACACAAATAGACAATCAGACACACAGTCAGACACAGACACCCTGTGTGGTGGGTGAGTGTCAGGACAGTGTGTGCATGTGTTTATATGTAGGTGTGTGTATGTATGTATACAAATGTAATTGTGTTGTTGTTGTATGTATGTGTGCGCGCGTGTGTATGTGTGTTTGTGTGTGTGTATATGTGTATGGTTGTATGTGTGCTGTGTGCGCGCGTGTGTATATGTTTGTGTGTGTGTATATGTGTATGGTTGTATGTGTGCTGTGTGTGTGCATGTGTATATGTATGTGTGTTTGTGTGTGTGTATATGTGTATGGTTGTATGTGTGCTGTGTGTGTGCATGTGTATATGTATGTGTGTGCGGGGGGTGGGGGTAGTGGGGGGTCTCACTTGGAGAGTGCCAATCCGTGTTGTGTGAGGTCCTCGTTCAACTCCGTGAGGAGGATTCCCGCCTCCACCGTCACCTGCTGCTTCATCACATCCACCTGCACAGGGCGAGCGAGTGCTGGTCAGTGCCACCCACTGCCCATCAGCCCCCACCCCACCCTGCCCTCACCACCCACTGCCCATCAGCCCCCACCCCACCCTGCCCTCACCACCCACTGCCCATCAGCCCCCACCCTGCCCTCACCACCCACTGCCCATCAGCCCCCACCCTGCCCTCAGCACCCACTGCCCATCAGCCCCCCCCTGCCCTCACCACCCACTGCCCATCAGCCCCCACCCCACCCTGCCCTCACCACCCACTGCCCATCAGCCCCCACCCCACCCTGCCCTCACCACCCACTGCCCATCAGCCCCCACCCCACCCTGCCCTCACCACCCACTGCCCATCAGCCCCCACCCCACCCTGCCCTCACCACCCACTGCCCATCAGCCCCCACCCTGCCCTCACCACCCACTGCCCATCAGCCCCCACCCCACCCTGCCCTCACCACCCACTGCCCATCAGCCCCCACCCCTGCCCTCACCACCCACTGCCCATCAGCCCCCACCCCACCCTGCCCTCACCACCCACTGCCCATCAGCCCCCACCCCACCCTGCCCTCACCACCCACTGCCCATCAGCCCCCACCCTGCCCTCACCACCCACTGCCCATCAGCCCCCACCCCACCCTGCCCTCACCACCCACTGCCCATCAGCCCCCCCCACCCTGCCCTCACCACCCACTGCCCATCAGCCCCACCCTGCCCTCACCACCCACTGCCCATCAGCCCCCACCCCACCCTGCCCTCACCACCCACTGCCCATCAGCCCCCACCCTGCCCTCACCACCCACTGCCCATCAGCCCCCACCCCCCCTGCCCTCACCACCCACTGCCCATCAGCCCCCACCCCACCCTGCCCTCACCACCCACTGCCCATCAGCCCCCCACCCTGCCCTCACCACCCACTGCCCATCAGCCCCCACCCTGCCCTCACCACCCACTGCCCATCAGCCCCCACCCCACCCTGCCCTCACCACCCACTGCCCATCAGCCCCCCACCCTGCCCTCACCACCCACTGCCCATCAGCCCCCACCCCACCCTGCCCTCACCACCCACTGCCCATCAGCCCCCACCCTGCCCTCACCACCCACTGCCCATCAGCCCCCACCCTGCCCTCACCACCCACTGCCCATCAGCCCCCACCCCACCCTGCCCTCACCACCCACTGCCCATCAGCCCCCACCCTGCCCTCACCACCCACTGCCCATCAGCCCCACCCCACCCTGCCCTCACCACCCACTGCCCATCAGCCCCCACCCCACCCTGACCACTCACCACCCACTGCCCATCAGCCCCCACCCTGCCCTCACCACCCACTGCCCATCAGCCCCCACCCTGCCCACTCACCACCCGCTGACCAGCAGCTCGCACTGTGCCCACTCATCACCCACTGACCATCAGCCCCCACTGTGCCCACTCACCACCCACTGCTCTGCCCCTGTCAGTCCCCACTGTCTGACCAGTCACCGACCGCTCACCAGCCGGTCAGTACCCACTCACAGTTGGTGGACAAAGAGAGCATCTGAAGAAAGTAGACATATCTCCAAGACTGGATATATCTCAAACCAGAGCAGTGCAAAGCAACGTTGACCTCAGGGTGGTCCTAGTTTTTGGCTGTTGTTGGCCGGATTCCCTGCTGTGCCTTTCCCTTCCACAACAACTTTTCACGTTGGAGGGACATCTCAAATCGCTGGACACTGTAGCTGGCACAGAGCTGGGGGTGGGCCGAGAGGGTGGTGGGGAGGGGAAAAGATGACTGAAAGAGCTGTCAAGGCGTTGATGTGTCTTGAACAACGGGAGAGAGTGAGTCAGAGGGACTCCGGGAATGGAGCTCCAGAGAGTGGGGGCAAACAGGTGACAGTGGGGCAGGTGTGCAGGGGAGGACATGCTGTTAGCCACTGATTACTGAGCAAATGAAACATCCAAGTTGGGAGGTCATAGAGGTGGGGAGGGTTTGGGGCTGAACACTGGAGAGGAATTTCTCATTGGGGAAGAGCTTTTGGTGAGGAAGCTGCTGGGGGTTAGTGTGTATATGTGGGTTTCTGTGGGTGGGGGCTGTGTGTGGTGGTGGGGGGTAGTGTATGTGGGGGGTGCAGTGTGTATGGGGGAGTAATGTATGTGTAAGGGGGGCAGTATGTGTGAGGAGTGTGGGGCTGTGTGTGGTGGTGGGGGTTGGTGTGTATTTGGGGATGGGAAGTGTGTGTATATGGGGGGCGGTGTGTGTGTAAGGGAGGCAGTGTGTGTGTGTGGGGGGGGCAGTGTAGGGGGAGTGTGTGTGGGGGGGCAGTGTAGGGGGAGTGTGTGTGGGGGAGGCAGGCAGTGTGTGGTGGGGCAGTGTGTGTGTGGGGGGGGGGGGCAGTGTGTGTGGGGGGGGGCAGTGTAGGGGGAGTGTGTGTGGGGGAGGCAGGAAGTGTGTGGTGGGGCAGTGTGTGTGGGGGGCAGTGTAGAGGGAGTGTGTGTGTGGGGGGCAGTGGGAATGGGGCAGTGTGTGTGGGGTGGCAGTGTAAGGGGAGTGTGTGTGGGGGGGCAGTGTAGGGGGAGTGTGTGTGGGGGGGCAGTGTAGGGGGCGTGTGTGTGTGGGGGGGGGCAGTGTAAGGGGAGTGTGTGTGGGGGGGCAGTGTAGGGGGAGTGTGTGTGGGGGGGCAGTGTAAGGGGAGTGTGTGTGGGGGGGCAGTGTAGGGGGAGTGTGTGTGGGGGGGCAGTGTAGGGGGCGTGTGTGTGTGGGGGGGGGCAGTGTAAGGGGAGTGTGTGTGGGGGGGCAGTGTAAGGGGAGTGTGTGTGGGGGGTGCAGGCAGTGTGTGGTGGGGCAGTGTGTGTGGGGGGGCAGTGTAGGGGGAGTGTGTGTGGGGGAGGCAGGAAGTGTGTGGGGGGGGCAGTGTGTGTGGGGGGGGCAGTGTAGGGGGAGTGTGTGTGTGGGGGCAGTGTGTGTGGGGTGGGGGGGGGGCAGTGTAGGGGCAGTGTGTGTGGTGGGGCAGTGTGTGTGACAGGGCAGTGTGGGGGTGGGGGGGGGGGGGTGCGCAGGCAGAGTAAGTATGTGGGAGGGGGTATCATATGCGTCTTCCCCAAGTGGGAAAAAGCAATTTCTCACGAGAGAGAGACTGAGGGAAAGATGCCCCAAACCGTTCCCCTATTGGACGATCTCAGGAGATCAGGAGGACCTCGTTTGAACCCACCGGTGACTTACTATTGCCATCACTATCTGGTAAGTGACTAATCGTGACTGGCGGCTCACTATGTGGCAGTGGGAATGGCCGCGCTCCCAGCCCCGCACGCTGTGTGGCTCACTAAGCGGCAGTGGCAGGACACAAGCTTGGCTTCCCCTCAACTCCACAGGGACTTCAGTGCTGACACATAGCAGTAACGGCCACTCTTGTCTCCACTCCCCGTGCAGTGAGCTGCTGTGATGAGAGGACGGTTTGCTGGGTGGGGTGGGGGGGTATGTGTGTGTGAAGCCAAAGCTGGAAATGGTTCTTTCTTGGATCATCGTGTTTTAACCAGTTAAACTCCAGTAGTCGCTCCCCCCAACACTCTGGGGAACCCACCAAGCCTTAGTTCTTGCCAACCTTCGCCTAATACTCTCTAGCTTTAGGGAAGCAGGATGTGTCCCTCCAGGGACACGTGAATTCTCAGGTGTAGGTGGGATTCATGGAATTCTCAATTTGGTTTGGATTCTCTTCAGCACAGTCATGGGTTTCCACGTGTGACCAAAACAGTAGAAGCCGAGGCCTCGCTGTAGGTCTGATGGCTAATGTCACTGTTTGGGGTACAGGCTGATCACTGACTGAAGGACAGCACCTCTGACACTACAGCCCTGCTCTGGAGTGTCAGCTTGGACTGTGACCTCAAAGCCACTACATGGGGCTCGAACCCACAACTTCCTGCCCTGGAAGCGAGAGTGAGAGTGGTTATAAACAGCGGAGGGGAGGGGGTGGGTATCATGCTGTACCTTGAGGAGCCGGTTGAGTTTATTGAGCTTGATCAGGTAGCCCTCCGTGCATGCGATGTCCGACGGGGAATGGCCTTCCCCGACCACCTTCACCCTCTTACAGCGCTGCTTGGCCAGCAACAGGATCTGGACCAGGGACAGAAATATACTTTATACTCTACCCCAGAGCTGGAACCTCAGGCTGAGTGGGCAGAGATTCCTGCCTGGCTGCTCAGGCCCTGGTAACTTCCAGTTAGGAGGGGTGGTAAATTAGGGCATTCAGCCCAACCAGTTATACTCCACTTGAGTTTCTACTCTTCCTGTTCCCTCTCCCACACCCCTCTATACCCCTCTCCCACACCCATCTATTCCCCTATTCCCCTCTCCCACACCCCTCTATTCCCCTCTCCCACACCCCTCTATACCCCTCTCCCACACCCCTCTATTCCCCTATTCCACTCTCCCACACCCCTCTATTCCCCTATTCCCCTCTCCCACACCCCTCTATTCCCCTATTCCCCTCTCCCATACCCCTCTATTCCCTGAGCGTCAGCGGCCCTTTGGGGTGGTGAGTTCCATACATTCACTGCCCTTTGAGTGAAGAAGTTCTTCCTCAACTCAGTGCGAAAGGGCTGCCTCTGATTTTAAGGTTGTGACCCCTGGTTTTAGTTTCTCCAACCGGGGGACGCAATCTCCCACTATCCACTCTATCATGGCCTTTGATGATCTTATAGGTTTCTATAAGATCCCTCTAATTCTTCTATATTCTAGAGAATATAGCCCCAAATTGATCAGCCGCTCCTCGTAACTCATCCCCTTCATCCCTACACCATCTCCCACACCCCTCTATTCCCCTCTCCCTTAAGTATGCATCGTTTCCTCTTAAACACATTGACACTTTCTACTTGAACCACAGCTTCCGGTGGGAGTACCACATTCTCATAACCAGGGGATTGGCTATTTCTGGGAAATATGGGGAATTTCCCGAGTGTCCCCTGATTGATTCCCGCTGCTCTCCACCCCAGAATCAGATGTCCCGGTGAGTGACAGCTCAGACCGGCCATTCATCACCAAGATCCTAAACAAAATCAGAAGTCGCTGGGAACCCCCCTTCATCACGATCCTTCATCGCTGGGAACACTCAGCAGATCAGGCAGCATCGATGGGGAAAGGAAAGCGAGTCAACATTTCAGGTCCACTACCCTTCTGATGAAGTATTGATTGTGGACCTGAAACGTTGACTCACTTTCCTTTCTCCATAGATGCTGCCTGACCTGCTGAGAGTTCTCAGTGACTTTTGTTTTTGTTTCAGAGTTCCAGCATCTGCAGTATTTTGTGTTTTATTTGTCACCAAGATCTGCCTTCCCTGGGGACTGACAGCTATGATGACCACTCACCCCCTACCTTTAAGCCCCTTTGAGACTCGATAAAGTTTTTGAATACGAGAATCGATGGTCCCTGGGAATGGGGTTAGAATAGAGAGCTCCAGTGGGGGAGCGAGCACCAGCACAGACACGATAGGGAGAGAGAGAGAGAGAGCAGGGAATGGGGTTACAGTAGAGAGCTCCAGTGGGGAGTGAGCACCAGCACTGATACGATGGGGGAGAGAGGAGGGAAAGGGGTTACAGTTGAGCTCCAGTGGGGAGTGGGCACCAGCACAGACATAATGGGGGAGAGAGCAGGGAATGGGGTAAAACTCCAGTGGGGAGTGGGCACCAGCACAGATATAATGGGGGAGAGAGCAGGGAATGTGAGAATGTGAATCTGTCTCAGAGCCCAGCCCTCCCCATGCCCAGTACCTCAGGGTATGTGAGAGGGAGAACACACCTCACTGTTCATTGCTGTGCATAGTCCTTACTTCACAGTGTCTGACTTGTTACCAGAAGGCAGCGAAACCTCTCTCCACACCCCACTCCCCCTACCCCACCCCTGGCACCCCACATACACTTACCTGTCTCACCTCTTCCACTGAGGTGGGCTCAAAATACAGCTCAGGCTCACAGCTGTAGGTTTTTGCCCAGTTCAGGAACCGGTGACCTTCCATCCCTCCGAGCTGGGCCTGGAGACCAGAGAGAGTCAGTGGGAGAGAGTGAGCTAACCTCTGATCATTGACGTGGGACTTCAAACTACAACCTTCTGCCCCAGAGACAAGAGCTACTAAGTTCAGAGTTGAGATGATAAATACATATATACATTTATATCGCGGCTTTCATGTCAGGAAGGTATCCCAAGACGATTGGGAGGTGTTTTAAGAGTGTGAAAAGATTGAGCAAAGTGGATGTTAACAGGTTGTTTCCGTTTGTTTGTGAGTCCACAATGATAATAATTCTAATATTAACAGTCGTGGATTGAGTGACCAATTTATTATTATATTTTGAAGGTATTATTATTACCCCCAGAAAAGCGATCCGCCAATTGACTAAAAATCAGATTCCTACTTACCGCTAGTAAACAGAGGTGTGTGGAGTAAAGACACTTGGCCAACATTTTGCCCTGATGGGAATCGAACCCAGGTCTCTTGCTTGCAAGGCGGCTGCTCTAACCATTGAGCTACAGGATTCCACAAGATAATCATGAACAGATCCAATGATAATAATAATATTTATTGTATTATATATAAGCATACTTACATTAGATACAAAGCCTGATAAGCTCTCTTGTATTAGTTTCCAGCCTGTAACTCACTCCTGAGGGTACATTTTACCCTATATACCCCTCAATCCCCACACCACCCCACAACTCTGAATTAGATTCCAGCCTGTAACTCATTCCCATGAGCTGTTATTCTACATATATGTAACCCTTCCATCCCTCCCCACTAAACCCCTTGATTAAGTTCTGGGCTGCAACATAATCTGGGAGTGTGTCGGGCACTAATGTAGCAGAGACAGAGGTGAAGTAGAAACTCTCAATTCTTACCATGTTGGAGTTGCTGATGTCTGTGAGGTGTGTTACAGTCTGGCTCTGACTGATTGCTCGCTGTGTCCTGTCCCAGGACCGACTGACTGGACAGGAATGAAAGGTGAAAGGGAAGCCCTGTACTTTGGAGCGGCTGATGTATTAATGGAAAATTTCAGTCACTCATTTGGGCAATGAGTAAACCACTTGAGACAAAAGCCTCAGTGAGGGTCAAAGGAGGAATGGGATTGGGTGTCGGGTGGGGACCCAGCTCACACTGGGTCTGTAAATACCCAAGATTTTTTAACAAAGGAACTACATTTTTATACTGTCAGAATGTCTCAAAACAATTTACATTATTTACTGTCAATTATAGTGGCTGTTTTACTGTGGGTAAATGCGGCAGCCATTGTTGGCGAGGGCACCACAAACTCCCTTCTCTTGCTTCCAATAGCGCCGTGAGATCTTTAACGCCACCTGAACGGGCATAGGCGGGACCTCGACTTTATGTCTCATCCAAAGGATGACGCGTCCAACAATGCAATCCTCGCTCAGCGCTGCACTGAAGCATCAGCCTGGACTGGTTCAAGGTGCTCGCATGGGGTTTCACCCCACAACCCAGCAATGAGCCAGGTTGGCTGTCTGGACCCCAGTTCAATGAAGACTGCAAATGGGAGGCAACACCATAAAACAGGTCAAGATAACGCAATTCAATATAATTTTATTTGGATCAGCTAAGTGTCTGACGTATGCATAAATCCATGCTTAAGAGTATCCAAACCAAATTAAGAGTCCTATCCATCCCACCTACACATGAAAATCCCAGAGGTAGATTGTTGGAATCGAATGCGCACTCTCTCCCTGGAGGGACTCATCCTGGTCATCTAATTCCGGAAAGCACTAGGTGCAGGTTGGCAAGAGCCAAGGCTTGGGGGCCCTAGAGTGTGCATTGGGGTAACCACTGGATTTTAACCCACTAAAACCACAAAGCTGGCCATTGATATCACTGTCTGGCAAGCTTTCCCGATGCTGATCTTGCTAGGACCACCCTACCTGTTAGGGCTTTGGCTTGTAGGTGTTAATGGGAGCTGAGTAGGAAAAATCCCTGAACGCAGTGACTGGACTACCCCTCCAAGTCCTGCCGATGAGTCAGGCTGGCTGTGCTGTCATCAGCAGTTTCCTGGAATAATTTGGACCCGCCTGACTCGAACTGGACTACCAAGATTGCTGCAGAGCATGGGCACGATTCTGACTTTCCATTGCCAAACATGTCACCTTGGAGCCAGTTCAGCTTGAAGGAAACCCCACTTACCTTCCCCCAAAGAGAATAGTCATTGGTTGGTCATTTGATATCCGACAAGGGATTGATGACAAGGGATTGAGCCCTCACTACATGGATGGCAACAACAACAAGAAATTACATTTATATAATATAGCACATTTCACATTGGAAAGATGTCCCAAGGTGCTGGCCAGTAAAGGGTTTGCACCTGAACTAGGATTTGAATCAAGCGGGATGGAGGGTAGTAGGCTGGCGGTCGGAGGGTGGCTAAAGGCAAGTTCAAGGAGGTGAGACAGGCCTTTGAAGGAGGCAAGTGAGGAAGAGTTGGAAGGATTCCTGGATGGCGTTATAGAGGGTAGGGGCAGAAAAGCTGAGAGCTGACAAAACAACTCCAAAATGTCCCAAGGTGCTGGGCAGTTGAGAGTTTGTATCTGAGCTGGGGCTTGGATTCAGGAAGGCTGGGGTCCAAGAGGGTGGGTAGATGACTGAATGCTTGATCAAAGATGAAGGTCTTGTGAAGGACTTTGAAGGAGGTGATGGAAGCGAGCAAGGTAAAGATAGTCCTGGAAGGAGTTCTAGAGGAAGGAGCAGAAAGGCTGAAGGCCCGACTGCTGATAGTGGGGCAGGCGGGCAGGGCGGGGGTCATGAAGCCTATTTAACAAAGGAATCGGTCGGGCTGGTAGGTTTAAAAGGTCACAGACATAGGGTGGAGCAAGACCGTGAGGGCTTTAAAACCTAGGAAGCGGATCTTGAAATTGATCCATGGGGGGGATAGGGAACCAGTGAAGCCATATGAGGATTGGGGTTAATAGTCTCACGGAGCCTGGTGTGGGATAGGACATGAGCTCCAGAGTTCTGGATAGGAGGGAAGAGGGAGTATTCCACCGAGCAGAGAGTTGGCAGCTCTTGAGCTCTGATTGAAATAAACCACTTCCCCGGAGATGTTCCTGAAGTTCCTCAAATAAGGAAGAAAATAATTATACAACAATAAAAAATCTTTGCATTTGCTATCACTCCTATCGCATTGTCGACCCGTGTCAAACCGCCTCACAGTTTTTGTTTAAAGTGCAGTGACTGTGTATAGTGTAGTAGCCCATTTCTCCGCAAGGCAGATTCCCACAAACAGCCATGACCAACTTTATCTGCGGGATTATTGTCCAGGTCACTGGGAGAGAGAAACTCTTCTCTTTTCGAATAATGCTTCGGGATCTGTAACATCCACCTGAACAGACAGACAGACCTCAGTTTAACATCTCATCGGAAGCATTTGGAATGTCTTCAGGAATCCAACAGCTTTTACCCCTCATCATCTCAGTGCTGAGTGGACAAATTAACAAGTAACCAGCAAGTGACACAGTAACGAACCCAATCTGACCTGGTTAATAACAAGTTGATCAGTACATTCCAGTGTCCTTAAAACCTAACTTTACTCTGTCACTTATGAAAGAAAGCACATATTTTGCATTTTTACATCATCTGTAACATCCAAATGGCTCAAAGGAATGGTAGCCAACCTCTTTGGCCAGCCAATTAAATACATTTTTCTTTATTGAATTTTTCTACACCTATGGCCACACTGTGGGTATCACAGCTTGGGAACTACCAGAAACAAGGTATTCATTTTGGGGAGGACTTATCTGGACTGGACTACATAACATAACATGTAGAAGCAGGAGCAGGCCATTCGGCCCTGCGAGCCTGCCCTGCCATTCAATCATGGCTGATCTTCTAATCTAACTCCAGCTAATAACCTGACCCTGCCTTATCCCCATATCCCTTAATCCCTTTAGCAATAAGAAATATATCTATCTCAGTCTTGAATGTGTTCAAGGACTGAGCGTCAACAGCCCTTTGGGGTAGTGAGTTCCATAAGGGTGGGGCGGGCGGGGGGTTTTAATGGCATTTGATGGTCCACTTCGTGCTCCAAGAAGCCAATTGTGATGGGCCAGTTGGAAAACCCTGAGGCCGCAAAGCATTTCACATTAATTATTGTCACGTGTAGTGACTTTTTTGATGACTAACACGGCAGTTGATTTTGCAAGAGGACCTGGTTTGATTCCTGGGCAGAGCAAAACATTGGGTAAGTTTTCTTACTCCACGTGCCTCTGTTTATCTGGCATAAGTTCTTGATAGTCAATTGGCGGATCGTTTTTGGGGGTAATAATCCCTTTAGAAAATAATCATCATAATTTGGTCACTTAATCCACGACTGTGGGACACTGCTGTCGCATTTCACTGACAAAATATACAGTCAATTTACTTTATAGTATATTCTGTGAAACGCTTTTAGACATCCCAATTATGAGATAAGGCGCTATATCAAATGCAAGGATTATTATTATACAGCAATTTCCCATAAATACTAACATCTTCCATTTCTATAGTGCCTTCACGCAGGGTAGTATCCCAGAGTCCTTGACAGTGCCGGAGTCTGACCCCAAGCCGGGGGAGAGGGAGGAGGAAGGTGACCATAATCACGATCAAAAAGGAAGGCGGGATATGAAGGTGGATAGGGAGGGGGCAAGGCAGAGGGATTGAGGAAGAGAATTCATAGTTTTGGGGCAAAATGGCTGAAGGTACCACCATGAAGTGAATGACTGGTGGGATTGTTGGCCAGGACACCAGGAGAAACTCCCTTCTCTTTTCCAATAGGATCGCAGAATCTCTGACATCCATCTGAACAGACTAAGCTGAGGGGATGTTTTATGGCTCGCTTCGCAAACAACTGACCTGGGTTCGCTTCCCGGCAAGGTGAAACCTTGGCCAAGTTTCCTTACTCCACAAGAAAAAAATCCCTCAAGAAAAAAAACAATAATAAATTGGTCACTTCAATCCACGACTGTTTGTGGGACACTGCTGTGCGCAATCCCCATTTTGCCCACAAATATACAGTCAGTTCACTTTACAGTATATTCTGTGTAGCGCCTTGAGACGTTTAGAAGACATGAAAGAAGTGCTATATCAAATGCAAGGATTATTATTATATTGGTATAGATGTTTGTCTCTGCAACTTACTCAAAGCTTCACACCCACATCATCTATTTGTACCAAGGCATGATAAGTGATACTGACCCCCCCCCCCACATCCCCCACCTCCCAACGTGGAATGTGCGCTCTATAAATGTAATTTTACTGTTGTTGGTTACAATCTCTGATAAATAATAATAATAATAATAATCCTTGCATTTGATATAGCGCTTTTCACGTCGGGAGGACGTCCCAAAGCGCTTCACAGAACACACTGTAAAGTGAATTGACTGTATATTTGTGGGCGAACGCGGCAGCCAATTGCGCACAGCAATGTCCCACAAACAGTCGTGGATTGAAAATGACCAATTTATTATTGTTTTTGGTTTTGGAGGGATTATTATTAGGCTCTGTGTGGAGTAAGGAAACTTGCCCAAGGTTTGGCCCTCTGCCTGGAATTGAACTCAGGTCTCTCACTTGCAAAGCGAGTGCTCAACCACTGAGCTACAGGACTCCACTGATATTTATTAGGTCTGAACTATGAACCTGTTCTGCTTCATTGTTTTATTTTAGGAAACAACACTCTGACCTCTGGGTCTGGAGGTTATGGATCCAAGATATGTGACTGGAGGGAGGGTTGGGGGGTGGGTGGGGAGAATAAATGAAGAGTTTCGGAACAATATCTTCCCTCAAAGGGTTTCTGGAGTAAGGAATAATTTATTAGTGGTGGCTATTACAGCAAAGAGAATTGGGACATTTGAATGAGAATTAGACAAAACCATATAGGGACTCAGTGTAATGGGGAATGAGGGGAAAGTAGGGGCTATTAGAGGGGACGGGGGAAGAGCAGGGGCTATTAGAGGGGACGGGGGAAGAGCAGTGGCTATTAGAGGGGATGGGGGAAGAGCAGGGGCTATTAGAGGGGACGGGGAAGAGCAGTGGCTATTAGAGGGGACGGGGGAAGAGCAGGGGCTATTAGAGGGGACGGGGGAAGAGCAGTGGCTATTAGAGAGGATGGGGGAAGAGCAGGGGCTATTAGAGGGGACGGGGGAAGAGCAGGGGCTGTTAGAGGGGACGGGGGAAGAGCAGTGGCTATTAGAGGGGATGGGGGAAGAGCAGGGGCTATTAGAGGGGACGGGGGAAGAGCAGGGGCTATTAGAGGGGATGGGGGAAGAGCAGGGGCTATTAGAGGGGACGGGGGAAGAGCAGGGGCTATTAGAGGGGACGGGGGAAGAGCAGGGGCTGTTAGAGGGGACGGGGGAAGAGCAGGGGCTGTAAGAGGGGATGGGGGAAGAGCAGTGGATGGGATTGGGATTGATGTCTTCTGAAGTGCTGTGGACCAGCCTGGCTCAGGAACAGGGCTACTGAGAGAGATCACCGCAGAGGGCAGACTCGATTCTGACATTCTGTTACCAGGTTTGTCACCCTGGAGCTGTTTAGTTCAACTTACCTCCCCCCCTCCCCCAAAGGAGGACAGATACCAGTTGGGAGTCATAGGAGAGCCTCTGCCGCTGATTAAAAAGTGCCACTGCGAGTTAATAGGACACAGGAAAAAATCTCACCCTGGACAGACAACACTCCGCACTCAGCCCAGTCAAACCGACCTGTGAACTTAGGCCAGTGAATAGCCCAGTGCGGCTGTGGAAAGAGAGCTCTGTCTCTTCATCTGTATTGGTAGATCTTCACACTGTGGTGACAGCAGTCTACCACAGCCACAGAGCCATCTTGTGTCAGGCACAAGCCACGAGGTCCCAGCAGGTCCTCCTTCAACACCACTTCAGCCAGGGAGAAACTCAGATTAAAGACAGTCACACAGTCCTGCCTCTCGTCAGCGATGAGGACATTTCCATCAGCATCCACACAGATCCCAGACACATCCAGAAATTGGAATTTGCTGCCATCCCTTGGGCTGAGCTTTTTATCAACAGTTCTTCCTTTACTAATCACTTTGATACAACTGTCTTCAAACCGGCCAAAGAGTTGTCCTTCAGTCACCAGGATATATTCATCCTGATCAAGAAATTGGAGATGTGAATCAATTTAAACAATGCTTCGTAGCCCACCCCCCAATTCATGCTGTGATTTACTTGTTGTCGTGGCTCAGTCAGCAGTCAGTCAGAAGGTTGAGCACACAGTCCAGGCTGATGCTCCAGTGCAGTGCTGGGGGAGCGCAGCATTGCTGGAGGAGCTTCAGTTGAGAGGTTAATTTCTACCTATTGACTCTATCAAAATCCTCATAACTTTAAAGACCTCTAACAAGTTAGTCCTCAACCTTCTTTGTTCTATCGGAAAAAGTCTCAGTTGCTCCAGTCTATAATAATAAGCGTTCCGAAGGGCACTATATAAATGCAAGTTGTAATAATAATCCTTGCGTTTGATAAAGCACCTCATCATCATCATAATAATAATAATAATAATAATAATCCTGGCATTTGATATAGCACCTTATCATGTCTTTGAGATGTCCCAAAGTGCTTTACAGAATATACTGTAAAGTCAATGAACTGTGGGCAAAACTCAGTAGCTAATGGCGCACAGCAATGTCCCCCATTCCCCCTCCCAACGGAATACTGCCGCCCACACACTGCCCCCCCACACTGCCCCCCCACACTGCCCCCCCCCCACTGCCCCCCCCCACTGCCCCCCACACTGCCCCCCCACACTGCCCCCCCCACACTGCCCCCCCCACACTGCCCCCCCCACACTGCCCCCCCCACACTGCCCCCCCCCACACTGCCCCCCCCCACACTGCCCCCCCACACTGCCCCCCCCACACTGCCCCCCCACACTGCCCCCCCCACACTGCCCCCCCCACACTGCCCCCCCCACACTGCCCCCCCCACACTGCCCCCCCACATACACACTGCCCCCCCCACACTGCCCCCCCCACATACACACTGTCCTCCCCCACATACACACTGCCCCCCCACACACACTACCATCCCCCCACACACACTATCCTCCCCCACATACACACTGCCCCCCCCACACACACTACCACTCCCCCACACACACACTGTCCTCCCCCACATACACACTGCCCCCACACACTACCACCCCCCCCACACACACACACTGCCCCCCACACACACTACCACCCCCCACACACACACTGCCCCCCACACACACTACCACCCCCCCCACACACACACACTGCCCCCACACACACTTCCCCCCACATACACACTGCCCCCCACACACACTACCACCCCCCCCCACACACTGCCCCCCACACACACTACCACCCCCCCCCCACACACTGCCCCCCACACACACTACCACCCCCCCACACACACACTGCCCCCCCACACACACTACCCCCCCCCACATACACACTGCCCCCCACACACACTACCACCCCCCCGCACACACTGCCACCCCACACACACTACCACCCCCCCCCCACACACACTGCCACCCCACACACACTACCACCCCCCCCCACACACACTGCCCCCCCACACACACTACCACACCCCCACACACACACTGCCCCCCACACACACTCCCACCCCACCCCCACACACACACACTGCCCCCACACACACTGTCCGCCCCCACATACACACTGCCCCCCACACACACTACCACCCCCCCCCCGCACACACTGCCACCCCACACACACTACCACCCCCCCCCCCACACACTGCCCCCCACACACACTACCACCCCCCCCGCACACACTGCCACCCCACACACACTACCACCCCCCCCCCCACACACTGCCCCCCACACACACCCCCCCCACACACACACTGCCACCCCACACACACTACCACCCCCCCCGCACACACTGCCACCCCACACACTACCACCCCCCCCCACACACTGCCCCCCACACACACTACCACCCCCCCCCGCACACACTGCCACCCCACACACACTACCACCCCCCCCCCCACACACACTGCCCCCCCACACACACTACCACACCCCCACACACACACTGCGCCCCCACACACACTACCACCCCACCCCCACACACACACACTGCCCCCACACACACTGTCCGCCCCCACATACACACTGCCCCCCCACACACACTACCACCCCCCCCCCGCACACACTGCCACCCCACACACACTACCACCCCCCCCCCGCACACACTGCCCCCCACACACACTACCACCCCCCCCCCCGCACACACTGCCACCCCACACACACTACCACCCCCCCCCGCACACACTGCCCCCCCACACATACACACAGCCCCCCCTCCCCCACAGGCCCGAAGGGCTAAATGGTCTTCTCCTATTTCTATGTTCCCATGTTCTATGGTAGGAAGGAAAATCAATCCTCCATCTTTGTGCAAAAGACAAACTCCCCAACACAAAAAGAGAAGGGCAAGTAATAGGTGTTCCCAAATGAATTGAGACGTTGGGTACCTGAGATTGAAGAATGGGTCCAATGGAAAAGATTTAACAAAAAGGGAAATCCCTTGGTCCCGAGGTTCCACACCCTCCTTATGTGCTAAAGCTCCTTAACCCAACAACAGTTGTTATTTGAGGTAAGCAGGTGTGATCACAATGGCTCTGGACCAACTCAAGAGACGACCATCTTGATTCCAGTCTAAGAAGGATGAGCATGAGACAGCGGACGGTGAGTCCTCAGACAATGGCAAAAAGGAACCGGAGGAAGGAGCAACCTCTGCTTGGGGTCAGCATAATTAAGGTACTGTTAGTCATTGGTATAATAGGAGCACTCATACAAATGGCTGCTAATATCTTATCAGTAAACACACGTGGGAAGGTTAGCTGAACCTGTGAAATATATATTTGCTACAGTGATGCGTCTTTACAGTACTGTGGTATAGATCTTTTCACTCTACATGAGAAAGTTGTTCTGATCTCATTACCAAATGGACCTTGTCACTCTTTCCCTTCTGCAACATCATTTTACCTTAGAGAAGAAAATAACATACAGTAAATAAATCCACATAATTAGTGTGGTGTTCAAAGTTTTAATAGAATTGTGATGTTATAATCAATTTTATCTGCACTCAGAGAATATGCACTGATGAAAGGAGCTTTACAGTTGGAAAAGATGAATGAATCTGCTCGATATATTTGCTCCTATCATTGTGATGAATTGTTGACACAAATCTAACTTGACAATTCTATGCAAAGCTAATCACCCGAAAATACATAGATAGACACACAATGAGCGGTGAAGGCTGAGGTATGAACACATCAGATGTCTGGCTCCTCTGCCTGTCCACTCTGCCTCACTGAGCCAATGTGCCAACTTGTTGATTTTATTGATTGCTCGATAAGGAAACCAGTTAAGAAATACCATAAAGTGTAAAACAGTTGTTAGCAATGGCAAAGCTGACACAGCTACAATAAGCACAAATATAAACTGATTTATAATCACAGAAATTTAAGGCAATCACAAAAAGAATCAAAGGGCCAATGATAAATTGATTTGATAGAAAGTAGTTGGAGTGTGGACTTTTCTGTGACAAACTATGGTTGAAGCAGAGTCCAACAATTATTTTCATTCGGAGTTGAATCACTACATCATGAAGTGAAGGAACACTAAAGGGTATTGGGGAGCAAACAGGGGAGTGGGATTAGTTAGACAAGGCGGCTCATTGGAGAATCATACCAGCAGAGTTGAGGGCCAAACAGCCGGTTCCTGTCTGTAATATTCTGTGATTCTATGACAAGATATTGTCAGTGACACTGCTCACATGATCAGTGTACAAACACCATCCAACCCACATTCACACAAGTCTAAAGGCCATTGAGGAATTATCAGTCTTTCTCCATTGCCCAGGACTGCACCTCACCTTTGCCAAAAATCGTGAAAAGCAAAACACCCAAAATATTAAGAGAACCAAGGATAAAGAAAACGGTTTGCCATTCTTCGAGTGTGTGCTGTGGAGTGAAGATAAAACACAAATTAAATCCTGCATCTGACAGTGAAATAAATTAATTTACTTTAATTGATAAGAATTATTAGCATTTGTGAATACCAACTAAACTAATAAGGTCCTAATAACAACAACAACAACAAGATTCCATTTATAGAGCGCCTTTCATGTCGGGAGGACGTCCCAAAGTGCTGGACAGTTGGTTCAGGACCCGAGCAGCGGAGAAATGGTCAGGGTGAGGGGAGGGAGGGGAGGGAGTGAGGAGGGGGGATATGGTCAGGGTGAGAGGAGGGAAGGGAGGGAGCGAGGAGGGGGGAAATGGTCAGGGTGAAGGGAGGGAAGGGAGGGGGCGAGTAGGGGGTAGAGAGTCGAGAGGGGAGCTGAAGGCTGAAGGTCAAAGAGAAAGGTCTTGAGACCGGCCTTGAAGGAGGAAAGGGAGGAAGCGGCGAAGGCACTGGGGATAGAGTTCCAGAGCCTGAATAAAGAATAAGAATGACGAATGATATGGGTTATTAGCATTTGTGAATACCAACTAAACTATACAGAACCTGTCTAATGGAAGCAAGACGCAGCCTTTCCAATTTCTCTCCAAATTGATAATTATATTTCTCATACTAATGACCATGGTTTAATAGATTATACATCACAGAAGGAGGCCATTCGGGCCATCGTGGCTATGCCGACTCTTTAAAAAGAGCTATCCAAACCAATCCCATTCCCCCACTCTCTCCCCACAGCTCTGCAAACTTGTCATCCCCAAATAATTATCTTCTCTTCAAAAAGTTGTTATCAAATTGACTTCCACCATCCTTTCAGGCAATGCATCCCAGATCCAAACAACTCGCTGTGTAAAAAAAAATCTCATCTCTCCTCTGTTTCTTTTAACAACCATTTTAAATTGCTGTCCTCAGTGGTTTATAAAGGTTCATTATAACTTCCTGACTGTGTATTCTATGCCCCTATTTTTAAAGCCTAGTAACCCGGATGCTTATTTAACAGCTTTATCTCCCTGTCCGGCCACCTTCAAAGATTTATTATATGACCCCCAGGGCTCTCTGTCCCTTCACCCCCTTTAAGATTGTACCATCAGCTCATATTCCTCTCCTCATTCTTCCTCCCAAAATCCATCACTTCCCATTTCTCCATGTTGAACTTCATCTGCCACGTGTCTGCCCATGTTACCAGTCTGTCTATGTCCTCTTGCAGTCCCCTACTATCCTCCTCAATGGTTACTACTTTTCTCAGCTCAGTATCATCTACAAACTTGGAAATTGTAGTCCCTATACTCAAGTCCAGGTCAAGACTGAGATCAATAGATTTTGAAAAATGGGGAAAGGGCAGTTAAATGGAATTAGGTAAGAAGATCAGCCATGGTCTTATTAAATGGTGGGGCCGGCTCGAGGGGCTGAATGGCCTACTCCTGCTCCTATTTCTTATGCTCTCATTTATATAGAGCAAAAAGAGCAGAGGTCCCAATACTGACCCTTGGAGGACACCATTCCACACTTCCCTCCAATCAGAAAACAACCGTTCTCTATCACTCCATCACACTCTCTCAGTCACTCTCACTCTCCCCTCTCAATCGGTCGTTCTCTGCCTCCGTATTTCTCCTTATCTCACACACTTTTTCTTCTCTCACACATTCTCTGCCTGACTCACCTCTCACTCACACACACGCACTCTTTCTTCTCACATTCGCTGTCTCAATCACTCTCTCTCCCCATCTCAATTGTCATTGGGAACACAATGGTGAAAGGACTAGACAGGCGTTTCAGCAACCAAAGACATGACTCTCTCATGGTATGTTGCCTCCATGGTGCCAGAGTTGAAGACATCATAGAACGGGTGCAAAAGTTTCTATCGGGGGAAAGGGAACATCTAGAAGTCATGGTCCACACTGGGATCCATGGCATAGGGAAAAAAAGGGCTGAGATGCTACAGGGAGAGTATCAGAAGCTAAAGAAATAGCTAAAGGGGGCAAGGTGGAGGGAAGAGTGTTCCAGAGTTTTGGGGTGTAGTGACCTCTGATGGTGGGGCGGAGGGTGTGAGGGACGAACGGGAGGCCAGAGGCACCGGATGGTGGATTGGGAAGAGAGGAGGTTGGAGAGTTAAGGGCAGCGGAGTTCTGAATGAGCTGATCTTTTAAATTGTGGAGTTGGGGACCCGTCGAGGAGTGGTTTGAGTCATCCAAGCCGGAGGGGAGAAACACACGAGCGAGGGTTTGGGCTCCATTTGGGGTAAGGTACGGTTGGAGGCGGGCAATGTGGCGGAGGTAGAAAAAATGGAGGCGGTTGGTTAAGTAGGACTTGAACCATGCAACGGCGCTCCCACTAAGGTGAATGAGGGAGGAGAGGCGAAGGAGGAGGTTGAGTGGTCAACTGTGCCGAACACGGCATAGAGTTCCAGGAGGACGAGGAGGCAGAGGATGACCTGATCACAGATAGAGAGGACATCATTTGTGACTTTCACAAGCGACAACATCCACACAATTTACTGAGCCTCCTAGTCCAGTATCATCTGCAAACTCGGATATAAAACTTTCTATTCCTTCATGCAAGTTATTTATATATATATATGGCAAAAAGCTGTGGTCCCAGTACAGACCTCTGGGGGCACCACTTGTCATTTCCCGCCAATCAGAGAAAGTTCCCTTTATCCCTACTCTGTTTCGTGCCTCCCAACCGATTCCCAATCCTCGTCACAAGGTTACCCCTGACACCGTGCGCTTCCATTCTCGGTAATAATCTTTTGTGCAGTACTTATCAAACGCCTTTTGAAAGTCAATATAAACACAATAACAAATTGGTCACTCAATCCACGACTGTTTGTGAGACACTGCTGTGCACAATTGGCCGCCGCGTTTTGCCCACAACTATACAGTCAATTCACTTTACAGTATATTCTGTGAAGTGCTTTGAGACATCGAGAAGACGTGAAAAGCCCTATATCAAATCCAAGGATTATTTATTCAGAAATAAATAACATCCACAGACATTCTCTCATCTAACATTTTAGTGACCTCCTCCAAAAATTCTAATAGATTAGTCAGATACGACCCTCCCTTCACAAACCAATGTTGACTCTCTTTGACTGTCTCATAATTGTCCAAGTGTTCAGTCACTCTGTCCCTCAATCCCTCCGCCTTGTCCCCTCTCTCCCCTTTTTCGAGTCCCTCCTGAAAACTTTCCTCTTTGTCCACTCCCTTATCCCCACCTTCCGCTGCTCGGTGACTCCACTATTGTTAAGCGCTCTGAGATTCTACCCTGCGAGGAGGGTGCTACATAAGTGCAGGTTGACGTAGATGGGAGTAGGAGATTACAAAGGGAAAACCACAACAACAAAATTACATTTGTAGAGCGCCTTTCACATCAGGAGCACGTCCCAAGGTGCTGGACAGTCAGGGGTCAGGACCCAAACTTGTGGGAACGGTGGGGTAGGGGTGAGGGAAGGCAGAGAGGTGGGAGGATGAATGAAGGCACAATCGAAGAGGAAGGTCTTGACTCCGGCCTTGAAGAAGGTAAGGGAGGAAGCAAGGCGAAGGGCCTGTGGGTTGGAGTTCCAGAGTGTGGGGACAGAGAGACTGAAAGCCTGGCCTCCGATGGTAGGGCGGGTTGGGCAAGAGACATGGAGCAGCCGGAGCTCACTGAATGGAGGGAGTGGGCAGGTTGGAAGGGAGTCAGCAGGTCAGAGAGGTAGGAGGGGGCAAGGCCATAGTTGGCCTTGAATGTGAGGATGAAGATCTTGAAATTGATCCACTGGGGGATGGGGAGCCAGTGGAGTCGAGCGAGGGTGTGAGTGATGGGCTCGGGCGAGGGTGATGGAGTCGGGCAAGGTGGGAGTGATGGGGTCACGGAGTCTGGTGCGTGAGAGTAGACGAGCTGCAGAGTTCTGGATGATCTGCAGTTTGTGAAGGGAAGAGTTGGGAAGGCCGATGAGGAGGGAGTTCCCATAATTGAGCCTTGAGGTGACGAATGTGTGGGTGAGGGTTTGGGCAGCCTGAGGGGTGAGGCAGTGGCGTAGTCTGGCAATGTTTTGGAGGTGGTGGTAGGCAGTGCCGGTCATGGCGCAGATATGGGGTAGAAAGGACAGTTCAGGGTCAGACAAGACCCCCAGGTTCCTGACTCGCTTAATGAGGTTCAATGTGCAGCTGTGGAGGGTGACGCTGCTAGCGCCCGAGGTGCGGAAGAGTTGGAGCGAGTCAATCAGGAGGGCCTCGATCTTGCTGACATTGAGTTGGAGAAAGTTGTCCCTCGTCCAGGACTTGGGTCAGACAGGCAGTCGGTCAGGACACCAGTAGTCCTGGAGTTGAGGGTTGAGGCAGGAGGTAGAGACCGGTGTCATCCGCATACATGTAGTAATTTACCCCATGTCTGTGGATGAAGTCACCAAGCGGCAGCATGTAGAGGGTGAAGAGGAGGGACCGAGGACAGAGCCCTGAGGAACACCACTGTCCAATGCTTTTGGAAGTCTACGTATATCAATGTCATGTGACGTCTTCTGACAGTCAAATTGGGATGTCACCTACTCAAACACATCTATGAGGTTGGTCAGACCAGAGCTGCTTCTGAAGCTGTAGTGCATAACATTTATTTGTTTATTTCCACAGTGGTATATTTCTTTATTAGTTCTAATCATTGATACAAGTTTTCCGATTATTGAGATGAGCCAAATGGATATAACTGTCCGTGTGGCTCCATCACCTTCTTAAATACGGAACAGCATTTGCTTACTTGGGGTCTGTTAAAAGCTCATCAGTCACCAGGAGTGATTGACTCCCTCACAATATTAATCAGTGCTTCTCAAATCTCCTGACTTCCCTCTAAGTACCTTGTCTACCTTGCAGGCTCTGGGTTTGAACATCAGAATCACTTTGGCAGAAAACCATCTGGAATAAGTCAAGCCTCGTGGTGTAAAGCTCTGCAGTGTGCTGAAAGCCCCAAAGTGTAAAGTGCTGGGGTGCAATTCAGCAGGAGCACGAGGATCTCTCATCCTCTGGCTGGAAAAAGATCAAAGGCTCTTCAAGGAGCTGCATCCTCATTGGTTACATGTGAATTTTAGCGATGTTCACACTTACATTCCTTGTTAAGGTTTTAGCCATAACCGGTCCAACCATCCCTGCCAATGTGCCACATGTGTTAATGATTCCAAATATAGTTCCAGCAAACCTGTCAATAATTAAACACAAAGGTCGGTCTGATTAACCTCCACACGAAATGTCTGAAAGGAGATTAAAACAAGAACATTCATTTACTAGTGACACTAGTAAACACTCCTTCAGGGTTTCAAGGGACAATGCCCAGGAAGCAATTTTTTTAAAGACAACAACAGGATTTATATTGTGTCCATTTTGTAGGAACCTATAGTGTATCGGCTAACCGCCTCGCAAGTAAGAGGACCCGAGTTCGATTCCAAGACAAGGTAAAATATTAGACAGTTTTTCTGACTCCACACGTTTCTGTTTACTGAGCTGTGAGTAGGAAGCCAATTGATTGGTGCATCTCTACCCAGGGGGTAATAATCCTGCCACATTTCACCCACAGAATACACGGTCAATCCACTTCACAATATCAAATGTAAGGATTATTATTATAGCTGTAGCTGAGTACTTAACATCCATGTGGAGTCCTGTAGCTCAGTGGTTAGAGCACTCGATTTGCAAGCGAGAGACCTGAGTTCAATCCCCGGCAGGTCAGGGCCAAACCTTGGGCAAGTTTCCTTACTCCACATAGAGCCTAATAATAATAAAACAATAATAATAAAACAATAATAAATTGGTCATTTTCAATCTACGACTGTTTGTGGGACATTGCTGTGCGCAATTGGCTGCCGCGTTCGCCCACAAATATACAGTCAATTCACTTTACAGTGTGTTCTGTGAAGCGCTTTGGGACGTCCTCCCGACGTGAAAAGCGCTATATCAAATGCAAGGATTATAATTATTATTATCCATGAAGTTAAGAATCAATTTTATTATCACAACTAGCGACACAGGACCTTTAACACCACAGGAGCTGAGAAGGCAGACATGACCTGGGTTTAACATCTCATCGGATGGATTGATTCTCCCGGATAATGTCTTTCTTTCAAGGGTAATGTAACTCCAGGTTCGTACGCAACAGCCTCCAAAAGAACAATTTGCTTTTATATAAAGGTCTTCACATCCGCATCTCGGATCAGTTAACATGGCAGAACCAGACACCCAGACAGAGAAAATTGGGAGGTGACATTAGACATTTTCGAAGAGGAAGGTTTTCAGGTGTGATCTGAAAACTGGCAAAAAGAGTCAAGAAGTAGCAATTCAGGCAGAGATTCCCAGAGTGTTGTGGCACAGCAGCTGAAACCCCTGACGGTGGAGCGGAGGGGAAGAGGGATGTGCAGGAGGCCAGAGCCAGCTGAGCGATGGAGGTGGGTAGAGAGAGGGGTGTGATTAGATGTGAGAGCTATGGAGGTGCCTCGGGCTGAAGCAATTTGCAGCGAGTGAGGATCTTGAAATTGAGAAAGCACCCAATAATTAAATCGACAACAATTACATTTGTACAGCACCTTTCACATTGGGAGGATGTCCCAAGGCATTGGACAGTCAAAAATTTGGACCCGAGCAGGGGGTTGGGATCAGGAGGGAAGAGGTAGGTGGGTGGCTGGAGTTGTGGTCGAAAAAGAGGATCTTGAGAAGTGCCTTGAAGGAGGGAAGGGAGGGAACAAGGCGCAGGGGCTGTGAGATGGAGTTCCTGAGGGTGAGGGCAGAGAGCCTGAATGCCCACCAGCCAATGAGCGGAGGGAGCGGACAGATTGGTATAGGGTTAGGAGGTCACAGAGGTAGGGAGGAGCAAGGCCGTAGAGGACTTTGAAGGTGAGGACCAGGATCTGAGTGATGTGGAGCCAGTAGAGTCAGGTGAGAATGGGGGTGACAGGTTTGCGGAGTCTGGTGCGGGAGAGAACATGGGCTGCAGACTTCTGGATGATCTGCAGCCTGGGTAGGGAGGTCGACAAGCAACTGAATTAACAACTGAAACTCACCAGGAAGGCTGGCTGAGGCTACGGCATGGTAATCATTTAGGAATGAGTGTATTGAATAGACTAAGGTTTGATATTCTGGAATCATGAGATCAAATGAGCCAAAGAGACTTTTTCATCTGAACCTTTCTTGTCATCTTATATCACTTACTCTGGTGCAATGTCCATATCATTGACCATGATCCCTGATGCTCCAATGAACCGCATTGTTATGCAGATTGTTAGAAGTGTCACAGCCAATTTATAGTCATGTTTCACATATCCAGCAGCTATCAGAAAGGCAGAGGCTGTAATCATTCCTAAAACAGAAAGGAAACTCTATTATACACATTGTAATTCAATATCAAACATCAACACATCCGTACAGATATCTATAGAAGAGAGGAACAAACCTCTGACTGAAGTCAGTTTCTCATCCTTACTGATAATCTGGGATGTCATCCACAGTGATAGATCTGCTGGGAATTTGTCAATCCTTAATAGTGCCCTGAGTAACAACAACTTGCATTTACAATTTGCCCTTCAGATGGAAACATGTCTTGGATCATGTTACAGTGGTGTGGAAGTCACCAAACAGGGACGTGGAAGGACCCCAAACAGGTGGAGGGGATGGGTCAAACAGCAGGTTTTAAGTTGAGGCGGGTGTGCTCGGTATACACTGAACTGTGCCATAAGAAAAAACAAATGCTTCAGCAGAGCAACTGGGGATAGGAGAAAATTGACTGTGAAAAAGAACACCACAGCAATGGAATACTACATTGACTCTGAGCTCAGTTGGGACCCACCATCACCTCAGATCGTTTGTTAGTTGACCTAAGGTTTGTGGGGTCCCTGCAACTTCTCCAGTCTGTAAATATGACAGATCTTCGACATCCTCTGAGGCTTTCAGGGAAAGATAGTAAAACAATATTCCCACTTGTTGAATCATAACAAAGAGGCACAATTCGGGTTTCCAAAGGAATTGGGAATTCCAAATGAAATGATTTCATACAGAATTTATTAGAATTTTGAATTGTTTGCTGTATCTGGTAATTGAGTCAGAGGTTACGTTTATCATTTGAAGATGACAAAGAAGGTTACTGGGAAAGAGCAATGAACAATGAGATGCTAAACTGAGGTCCTGTACGCTGTTTGGCCTGAAAGTATCCTTACTTCACATGTGTGTTTATCCAGCAGTTAGTAGGTACACAGTAATTAGTCAATTCATGATCGCTTTCACTGGGTGTAATAATCCCTAAAAAAATGACAATTTGGCCTCTCAATCCATGACTGTTTGTTGGACACCACTGTACACAATTGGCGGCCGAGTTTACAATATATTCTGTGACGCTTTGAAACGTCTCAATGACATAATAAGGTTCCATATGAAATGATGATGATTTTTATTATTATTATTATTATTTGAAAAGAAAATGTTGTTCCTCCTGGGGTCCAAGCCAACAAACCTCCAAATAAAATTGGTCACTGAATCCATGACTGTTTGTGGGGCTTTTCTGAGCTCAAACTACTCCCACCTTCACCCACAAAGTGCACAGTCAATCCACTTGACAGAATATCCTGTGAAGTGCTTTGAGACGCTTCAATGATGTGATAAGGCTCTATATCAAAAATTCGAAGAATGGTTGGGGAAACAGCGACATAAATAATCCATTGGGATCTAAAGTGTGTCTACAGAGGAGAGCCATTACATGTCACACTGACTCCAATCAAACTTCAGATGCCATTGTGGTTCCTGGTGGAAATTCCCACTTCACGTCCCAATGCATCCCCAGGTTTCCAGGAATAACAAAAGCTGTAATCACTGGTACGTGTGTTGTAATTTCATACCTGTGCAGGCAAATCCTTTACGAATCAAAGCTGTGGAGAATTTTCCAGTTTTCTTCATGTAATCTGCAATTACTGCAGCAATGTTCTGAAACAGGAAGCCGGGCATCAACTGCAGAGCCGATAAGAAACCATTCTGCATAGAAACAGGAAATCATCAGTCAGACTGAACGAGGGCTGTCACACATTGAGGACTGAGTTCATTGAGTTATAATGTTCATCATCACATCACACCCACCAGAAGCCTTAGGGTCCCAGGTCCCTATTTCACACATGGACACCCTTCAGTGATTAAAAGTAGATTACACCATCCTGCAGGAACTCCACTTTGACACCATCTAATTCTGAGAAGAGTTCTTTTAATAATCCCTTTGATATAGCGCTTTTCACGTCGGGAGGACGTCCCAAAGCGCTTCACAGAATATACTATTCCTCTGCCTGGAATTGAACTCAGGTCTCTCACTTGCAAAGCGATTGCTCTAACCACTGAGCTACAGGACTCCACAAAGCCAAGTGACACATGTAGAAACTCTTCAACGTGGTTAAGAGTATCTAAACCAGACTAAGAGTTCTATGTATGCCACCAACACATGGAAATTCCCAAGTCTGGAATGGATTGTGCACTCTCTCACTGAAGAGAGTTTAATCAACTAAAGCCACTTAGGTTGCCCCTGCCTGGCAAGCTTCCCACTGCTTGCCTGTCTGGAACACCGTACCTAATAGTGCGTTAGCCGGCAGGATTAACAGGAGCTCAGTGGGAAGAATCTGTGCCCACAGCTGCTTACCTCTCTGCGTACCAGATACGATAGATTACAAACTCTGGACTTATGAATTAATGTTCACGAACCCAGATTCCAGATAATGGCTTCCTGCAGCTGTTGTCCCAACCCTTAGAGATTCCCCTTCAGGTATCGAATAAACATCTACCTTCACTGAACTGGTCACTGCCTACAATAGTGCCTGTATTGGTTACTCGCTACAAATGTCTGTATTAGTCACTATCTGTAATAAAGTCTGAATTGGTCACTACCTATAACAGAATGTTTAGTATCTGTGCATCCCTTTCCGTCTGATTTGTCAATATTACAACAAAATCTGGGACTAAGGCCTCTCATAGCATGTGTTGGTACATCAGTCACAGACAACTGGTCAATCTTACCTGTTGAATTGTTAGTTGAAAAATGTTTTGCATGTATGTTGGTAACACTGCAATTAACGTGTAGAAAATAAATATACCAGAAAGGTAACCAGCAATTATCGCCCACACAGCACTGGATTTCAGTATGGATTCCCAGGGTATGGATTGCTGTTGTGTCGAGGCCTGTGGAAGTCACATTTGGTTACATTTTGAATTGCTTTAATCTGTTTCAACACAGAGGAACAAATTCAGTGCATCTTTGCTGTGAGCTTAAATAAGCTGTTTTGAGAATCAAAAGCTCTCAGAGAATCTCAGGTTATTAAAATAAATCTCGGATTATTGTATAGAAGTCTATGAAATGTTGGCTTGTGGTTTGTTTAATCAGTAAAAGACTAGTACAAAGCTGGGAAACTGCAATAATTCCAGGACCAGAAGTTAACACGAGATAGAAAGAAAGAAGCTTTTGTCTAACAATACAATGTACATTTGACAATGTACTTATATATTTTTATTATGTACTCTGTACAGCACCATTCACGTCGGGAGGATGTCTAGAATCACTTGATACTGCTGGCGCGTGCTCCTGAGCTGGTATTCGATTGAGCTGAATCCAGAAACAAAAATCACATTGTGTCATCGGCTGCTAAATGGCATTCAGATCACAATTTTCTATTTTTAAGAAATTTGGGTACAAATGCAACAATTTCAGTGCAGACTGAAGCCACTGTTACCACTGTTAGTGTTGCTTTGAAGCTCAGTGACAAATGACCCGGCCCAGCACTGGAATTCTGGCTTTGCAATCCAGCTCAGCTTTTCAGGTTATGTTTTACTTTCCAGCTAACCTGCCATTCAAGACTACGGTGCACAGGTCCATTGGGCCGGGGTCGCGAACATCACCATTTACAACAGCTTTGTGTGGTGTAGTGGGAGGACACTGTGACACCACATCAGGTCCCTATCCCTATATTGACCACAAGAACAGCCTGTATTGACTGTATATTTTGTGAGCAATGTCAGCATCAAGCAACCCCAATCCTGTGTAGAGCACTGGGCAGTGTATGACAAAAGTACATTCTCAGGTGCTTCAAAATATTCAGATAAGCATTTACCTGTTTGAGTCTTGAGGAAATTATGTAATCTCGCTCAGCGTCAGATATTGTCCTGTGGGTTTCTGGTGCATCACTGACCAACTGGGACCACACCAGGCACCAAGCTATTCCCAATGAACCTCAACAATTAAAATACAAGAAGTGAACAGGAAATTATGGCAAGCATTCAACTTTGTTCAGGAAGTGAAACTCGAACACTTAACTATCATGTGTTATTTTGCTAATTTGTGTATCTTTCAGGAGTAAGTGATGTAAACTCTTACCAAATATGTAGAACGAATACGACCATCCCAAGTGATAACATATCAACCCAGATAAGACAAACGAGATAACCGTTCCAAAGGAAGAACCTAAGGGATGGAAATGCGACAGGTGATGTGATAGTTATCACCAGGGACAACAATGGCAGCTGATGTTTGTTTGGAGTCAGTGTGATATTTGATGGCTCTCTGCTGTAGACACACTTTGCATCCCAAGGGACCAATTACGTTGCTCTTTTCTGAACCAAATGTGATGGTTTTGCCACTGCATTGAATAAGAAACATTTTAATCTAATGTCAGGCCTGTGCTGTAATGACAACATGATAATGTACACCCCTTACTCTACAGTACTCCACAACAGTCATATTTGAGAGCTTTGACACAGTTACTGTGCAAATGAAAATAAAATAAGGAGAGCGAATAGCATTCAAGATCTGGACTAGATCTTGACAGAGGGTGATAGTGTGTAGATGGATTATAATAATAGTAATAATAATAATACATCTTGAATTTGATACAGTGCTCTATCAGGTCTTTGAGACGTCTCAAAGCGCTTCACAGAATATACTGTAAAGCAGATGTAAACTGAATTGATTGTATATTTTGTGGGTGAAACACGGCAATCAATTGTGCACAGCAGTGTCCCAAAAACAGTTTTGGATTGAGTGACCAATTTATTATTTATTGTAAGCAATTATTCTCCTGGAAAAGCGATCCGCCAATTAACTAATCACTGCGTTCCTATTTATTGCTCGGACAACATCCTCTGATAGAAATAGACAAGTTTGATTTGTTTGTTGACTGAATGTCCGTTCGTCACCAGCTCAGAATTAGCTCAAGGAAAGGAGGTTCATTTCATCATCACATGTCAAAAGTTGAAGATTTGAGTATCATGTAAACCTGCTGCCGGGTTGCCAGCAATTGGCAGTTCCACTGTTTTCCTCTTGCAGAATGGATTGATTTCAAGATCCTCATTCTCACTGTGAAATCAGTTCACCACTTCACTGATCTGCTGACATCCCCCTCCATTACCTTCGCTAAGCTCTCCTCTTCTCCAGCAATGGCAGCTGTGCTTTCAGCTACTGTGCCCCAAATATCTAGGACTTCATGCTTCCGTCCATCTGGTTTGTCTATCTTCAAATCACACATTAAAACTTTCCTCTTCAACTATGCCTTTGGTCACCTGCCTCTCTTTCCAGCTCAGCGTCAAACCACACCTTGTAAAGTGCTCCTGCATAATACCCCCATGAAGAGTGCTATATCAGTGCAACTTGTGGGGTTTTTGTAGAAAAGACAAAGTGCTTTAGGAAAGCATAAGTCCTCAAGTTTAAGATGATGTCCTTGTGGAATCCTGTAATGTACTGATTATAGCATTTGCCTTGTAAGGGAAAGGACTTGTGTTCAATTCCTGGGCAGAGCAAAATCTTAGGCAAGTTTCCTTACTCCACATGCATCTCTTTGCCGAGCAGGTCATAAGAAGCCAATTGTTAATCAATTGGGGATCATTTTCCGGAGGTGATAATCCCTTTTAAAAAATCATAATAATTTGTGCACTCAATCCATGACTGTTTGCGTGACACTGCTGTGCGCAATTGGCTGCCGTGTTTCACTCATAAAATATACAGTAAATTCACTTTCCAGTATATTCTTTGAGAAACTTTGAGAAGTCTCAACTGCTTGATATGGCGCTATATCAAATGCAAGGATTATTATTATGATGAAAGCACTGATTTGTAACTATGCGGTAAAAACGGTAACGCACCATGTGTTAGTTATTACTGGTCATCATAATTGTAGTGACATTTCGTGGAATTCTGACATGTCTTATTCTAATCTTCCAATAGTGTTATATCCGACATGAAGGGTTCTACATAAATACAAGATGTTATTGCATCGCCACACATCACTGACTCACCTGAATGTGCTAAATTGATAAATCTGCTCTGTTCATGTGCAGGAGCCCACTGCGACCATATATGATGCACGGCAGGAAAACATGGACCCTGGCAAATAAACACAACACAGTCAAAATATTTAAAACAACGTCAAGGTTTGTGTCCATTATTTGTCACCCAATAATAACAATAATCCTTGCATTTGATATAGATCCTTATCACGTCTTCGAGACGTCTCAAAGTGCTTCACAGAATATACTGTAAAGTGAATTGACTCTATATTTTGTGCATCAAGCAATCCCAATCCTGGTAGAGCAACACAACAACAACAACAAGATTGCATTTATAGAGCGTTTTTCACGTCAGGAGGAAGGCGCAGTGCCATGATTGGTGCCATGACAAGAGCACAGAGCAAGTGTAGGATCAACTACTTCTAACCTGTTCGGGACCAACGCTCCATTCAACTGGGGCTGTTAAGGTAACAGGCTGATGTAATTATAAATGAAGTGTCCTTTTTGTCAGCCAGGTGACTGATACTTGCGGAAACCCATCTCCATTCTCGAAGAGTATCCAAACCAGACACGCGTTAGCATGTCACCTCCACATGGAGATCCTCAATGTCACCTCCACATGGAGATCCTCATGTCCAGAATAAGGTGTTTGCACTCTCCCTGGAGGGACACAGCTTACTTACCTAATCCCCAAGAATGTAATGCGAGGCTGGGAAGAGTCGTTGGGCGCTTCTAATGTTGCTTACTGGTACTTCTGCCTTTGAGATATTACACTCCCCCCCAAACTGACTTCCAATCACCTTGTTACTTGGCAGTCAAATCCACACGACGGACTTCACAAACCCAGTGACTCCGAGTCATTGCTGAGAATGTGGGCGTCGGTGGTGGGAGGCCATCACTTCCCAACTTCACTCTTCCCTCTCCCTCCACTCAACAATCCTCACACCGTCACATGTGGTGCTCCTCAGAGCTCTGTCCTTGGCTGTCTGCTCTTTAATATTTACATGCTCCCGCTTGGTGATATCATCAGCAGGTGATCAGTTAACTTCAGTTAACTATGTGTGTGCCGATGGCAACATCTATCTCTCGACCTCCAACCTCAACTCTAGGCCACTGTTGATCAGACTGCCAGACTTCAGGTCCTGGATGAGATCCAATTTTTTCCAGTTGAATGTCGACAAGACCGATGGCGTCCTGCTTGACTCCAGTCAGCATCTCCTCTCCTCAGGCATTGACAGCATCACTATTCATGGGTGCACTCTCCATCTGATCGGGACACTCCAGAACCTTGTTCGACCCTCAACTGTCCTTTAAACTCCAGATTAGTGCCATGACCCCTTTTGTCTTCCCTCACCTCTGCAACGTTGCGAGCCTTCACTAATACCTCTCCCCTTGTGTTGCAGGATTATGGGAAGAGAGTGGGATTAAATTGGATAGCTCTTTTCAAACAGCTAACACAGGGCCAACAGGCCAAATGGCATCATTCTGTGCTGTATAATTCTATGATTCTATGGTGTTTCTCCTCCCTACATTTGGAAACCATTAAAACAGGACCAACGCGTCCCCTCATCTCAACAGGCAGTGGCCTGCGCCTTGTCCCCCTCCCCTTGCCCAATCCACCAATACTGGTCAAACCACCAGTCCATTCTGACTCTACCTCAAATGCAAGGATTATTATTATTATTATTATGATTACCCTTTGAAGCTCCATCCCGGCCTTCACCAACACCCTCCAGGCACGTCTCAAGATTTTCCTCTTTGCCTTGGATTATCCTCACACCTCCACTCCCCTTACTCTCCATTAAACCCAATCCATCGGATGCAAATAATAAATGTAATTTGCTGTTGTTGTTCATGTGCTCGCTTGGTGTGATCAATACCAAGTACATCACAGTTTTCACCTTCATGTACAACTCCGACTTCACTTTTCCAGTATAAATGAAATTAAATCCATACCTCCGCCAGACCTGCTAAAACCCGCAGTGCAATCACACAGGGGGCGCCCAGCTCTGCTGCCAGTGGGACTAGAAGGGTCGAAACTGAACTGAGAAGCACCGCAAACCCCAGCACCAGCTTCCCTCCAAACCTCATAGCCAAGTATCCACCTGGGATTTGGGAGACAATGTAACCGTAGTAGAAAGCACTGAGGATCCATCCCTGGGTCTCTGAACTCCAGTCATACACCTTGTCCTGTTGAAGGGTCACAAGATTAATTGGCAATAACAAGACCATCTAATCTCACCCCTCCAGAACACCCCCTCTCGTGGTCCCCTCTGAGTGCTTTTCTCTGAAGACTGAAGAGCTCTAGCTTGCTTAACTGTTGCTCATAGCTCATTCCTCTAATACTGGGGATTATTCCATTGCTCTTCTCTGCACTGTCTCTAGACCCGGGCAGCCACCGTTTAGAAACATAGAAACTGGGTTGGCCATTCGGTCCCTCAAGCCTTCTCTGCCAGTCTATAAGATCAAGTCTGATCTGTACCTGAAGTACAATTGCCCGCTTTTAGCACTGCAGCAGTTAACCAAAGTAGGTCACAGAGAAAGACCCAATTAATGATCCATTTTGCTGACCACCAGTAAGTTGTAATCTTGCAACATTAACCACAGGAAAGTGTGAAAGAGACAGTGTAGAGAGAACTGACTACAGAGACACAAGGAAGAGAAAGATGTTCTTTGCAAGAAGCCCAGACACTCCCTCCATGAGGCCCTCAAATCGGGTTTCCATCCTGCCCAGTTTTTAGAGAGAGTTGGGAGGGATGGCTGAGGGTAAGGTGTTCAAAAGAGGGGAACAAACCGATGGAGTAGAGGGATAGGGCAAGTGACGCCTTGGATATGAGGGCCACACCGAGTGCTGCGATGAGCGTGGCGAAGGATTCCCAGGAAGGAGCAGAGGGAGGCGTGGGAGGGTCAAGCAGAGATAGGAGGTGGGGAGGACGGAGAGAAAGCAGGACAGAATGGGAGAGTTGTGGGGAGGGGCGCATTTTGAGGGAGGGCCAGCTCTGGTCGCTGGGACGAGAGGCGATGGATTAGCAGGACATTGTCAGCCTGCAGGAGGCTGTGGGGCCTGGAGTTGGTGCAGAGGAGGGAAAGCACTCATTGTGGTTAGTGAAGAGCAGGCTGTAGGGGAAGGACAGGGGAGATAGGCAGACAGACAGACAGACAGGGAGGGAGGGAGGGAGGGAGGGAGACACTGGTATAGACTATACTGTACTGTCGCTGCTACAAGAGATTCAAACCTGGCGGGCGGAGGTGATGTCACGCAGAATGTAGTGAACCAAGGTGTCATGTTCGACCCTCAACTGTCCTTTCTTGCCCACATCCAAGCCATGACCCGCTCTGCCTTCCCTCACCTCCGTAACATCGCCCAACTCCGCCACTACCTCACCCCTCAGGCCACTGAAACTCTTGTTCATTGCCTTCATCACCTCCAGGCTGGACTATGCGAACGCCGTGGTTATCGGCCTTCCCAATTCCTCCCTCCACAGCTACAGATAATCCAGAACTCTGCAGCCCATGTCCTCTCCCGCACCAAACTCCGTGACCCCATCTCCCCCACTCTCGCCCGACTACACTGGCTCCCTATCCTTCAGAGGATCCAGTTCAAGTTCCGGTCCTCACATATAAAGCTCTCCATGGCCTCGCCCCACCCAACCTCTGCGACCTCCTAACCTCCTACCAATCCGCCCGTTCCCTCCGCTCAGCCAGCTCTGGTCTGCTCCGCGTCCCCCGACCCACCAACCTCTGGAATTCCATCCCCCAATCACTCCGTCTCGCCCCCTCCTTAGACCCCTTCCCGCCTCAAAATCCTCCACTTCGACCATACCATCGGTTACCCCCCTTCCTATCCCCTCCCTTCTCCCTCCCAGACCCCAGCTCGGGTCTGACATGCTGTGCACTGTCCAGTGCCTTGGGACATCCTCACAACATCAAAGGTGCTATCCAAATGTAATCTTGTTGTTGTTGTTGTTGGTGTTGAGTCAGGTCAGAGCATGTGGAGATGGGGGGAAAATAGCAGAATGGACAGCAAGCTGGCTACAAGACAGAAAACAGAGATTAGAGGTGAATGCTGGCTACTCAGACTGGCAGAGGGTCGGCAGTGGTCTTCCACAAGGATCGGTATTGGGAGCACTGTTGTTCACAATAGACATTAATGGTTTGGACTCAGGAATCAGCAGTACAATTTCAAAATCTGCAGATGACACCAAATTGGGAGGAATGGTTAAATCAGAGGAGGACGGCAACAAATTACAGCAAGACATTGATAAACTTGCTGAATGGACGTATATAATAATCCTTGCATTTTCGATATAGCGAACAACAACAACAACAACAACCACATGTCTTCAAGACACTTGGACACTTGAACTATAATCCTTGTATTTGATAAAGCATTGATGTCTCCAAACAATTCACAGGATGTTTTAACTACTATGAAGTACAGGGACAAGATGTTTGTAGATGAACATGGCAGCCAATTTGTGAACAGCAAAGACTCACAAGCAGACATGATATGAGTGACTGGTTTTATTTGGGTGAATGTTGGCCAGGATACTGGGAGAGACAAACTCTTATTGATCAGCCCCAATGGGAACTTTACCATCCACCTGAACAGGCAAACAGGGCCCCAGTTTAAAATCTCATCTGAAAGCCGGAACCTCCAACATTGCAGCACATCCTCAGCACTGCCCTGGAGTTTCAGGATGGACCGTCAGTTGAAAGTCATGAATTGAGGCTTCAACCCACAGGCCTCTGACTCAGAGATGAGAGAGCTATTGACAGACCCAACGCACCCACCAGAGGCTCGGAATCCCCTATGTCATTATCTTGATGACGTTTCAGATAATATTTATTATCTAGAAAAACCCAAGTGTATGTTTTCAACATACTCTGTATGATCTTAAATTCTAAGACATTAGTCTTTAGTCTCCAGGCCCCATAAATAGTTTATAATAATAATAATAATCCTTGCATTTGATATAGCGCTTTTCACGTCTTCTCGACGTCCCAAAGCTCTTCACAGAACACACTGTAAAGTGAATTGACTGTATATTTGTGGGCGAACGCGGCAGCCAATTGCGCACAGCAATGTCCCACAAACAGTCATAGATTGAAAATGACCAATTTAATTATTGTTTTTTTTTTGGAGGGATTATTATTAGGTGTGTGGGGTAAGGAAACTTGTTCAAGGTTTCGCCCTCTGCCTGGAATTGAACTCAGGTCACTCACTTGCAAAGCGAGTGCTTTAACCACTGAGTTACAGGACTCCACTAACGGTGTATGTGATTAACTGAGAGGTCACTTACCTTCTTGATATCATGTTTGAGGGTAGAGTTGGAAAGTGCTGGCCAGCCGGTGACATCCTCAATCTCCGATATGGCTGTGCTATCATTCATCATTTCCACGATGGCAACACTGACCTCCACACGTAACATGTACACCAATGTTATCTGCAGTAAGGTCATGATTGCTAATGTGCATCGCACCGAACAGCAAACTGGCATCAGAGAGAAATAATTCAAATGGGTAACAACAACCACAACAACACGATTAGTCAAATGGGTAACGTATCCTATCTGCACAGTGTTTGATAAATGTAGTTCATTTTCTCACTCATTTTAAAGTTTAGATAATAAACCTCTGTATTTGGTATAGCTCCTTATCATCAAAACATCACCAAGTGCTTCATTGGAGTTTAGTGTAAAGTGTAGGGTCTATATTTTATAGTTGAGTGCAGAGGCCAGGAAGTGAACCATCAACTTCATCTGCGGATCATTGGCCTATACACTGGGGGAAGGTCCCTTCTGATAGAAATTTGGTACAAAGTCTAATCCATGACCGGGCTCCTCCGGCAATGGAGCACACCCTCAGCCCTGCAATAGAGCGTCAGGTCTGGATTGTGAGCTCAAAGAACCCACAACCTTTGGAGTGAATCTGATGTAGTAGCTTTCAGGAGGTCATTCCAAAGCTCTTACAGGAATTTACTATAACATGTAGTGACTGTGCATATCAGAGGAAAATCTGACTTAATTTAGGTATTGTATCACAAGCGGGTATGAAGAGAATGACCAATTTTATTTGAGGGGTTTCTGGCCAACACAGCGGGAAAACAGGTTACTTATTTTGAATAGTGAAATAAAAGTCTCCCTGAACAGGCAGATGGGATCTCAGTTAATGCCACGTTCAAACATTTGCAACTCTGGCAACGCAGCAGTCCTCCAGCACTGGATTGTGAGTGTCAGTCAAAACTATGAGCTCAAACATACGGGGCTGTGAGATGCTTCAACATGTTTCTTCCACCTCCGACGCCGAAACCCTGGTCCGTGCCTTTAGCCACTACGCCCCGAGGCTCTGGAAATCTCTTCCTCACTCCTTACGTCTCACTCCCTCTCTTCCAATTTTCAGGTCTCTACCGAAGACCTTTTTTTTGACCGCACCTTTGGTCACCTTCCCCCCCACCCCCCACCCCTGGGTCCTCCCCTTCCCCCTCCCCTGGCTCCTCTTCGTCCCCTTGGCTCCTCCACCTCCCTTGGCTCCTCCCCTCCCGCTGGCTCTCCCCCTCCCAAGCCCCTCCCCCTAGCTCCACCCCCTCCCCCTGGCTCCCCCCCTCCCCCTGGCTCTCCCCCTGGCTTCCCCCCTCCCCCAACTCCGCCCCCTCCCCTGGCTCCCCCACTCCCCTGGCTCTCCCCCTGGCTTCCCCCCTCCCCCTAGCTCCACCCCTCCCCTGGCTTCCCCCCTCCCCCTAGCTCCACCCCCTCCCCTGGCTCCCCCCTCCCCCTGGTTCCTCCCCCTGCTCCTGGCTCCTCCCGCTGGCTCCCCCCCTCCCCAGCCCCTCCCCTCCCCTGGCTCCTTCCCCTCCCCTGGCTCCTCTCCCTTGCTCCGCCCCCTCCCCTGACTCCTCCCACTCCCCTGGCTCCTCCCCATGACTCCTCCCCCTCCCCTGGCTCCTCCCCCTGGCTCCTCCCCCTCCCCTGGCTTCGGCCCCGGGATCCGTTACTGTGAAGCTCTGAGACACCGTCCGGCGTGGAGGGCACTATATAAATCCAAGTTGTTGTTGTTGTATGATAGAGATCTATTAAAATGTAAGTTTGTTGCATAAAAATGGAATTATTTCATTACACTGCCATCATTTTCTGAAATTGTTCTGACAGAGACAACAGTAGGTTTCAAAAATAAATACAGAATTGCGATACAAATTATTTACCTCAAAATTGGAATCTTTTACAGCAACGGTTTCAAATTGGGTATGTGCTCTCCTTGGGGAGAGTGAGAGAGAAAGAGAGAGCAAGAGAGACAGAGAGAGAGACAGAGAGAGAAGGACTGGGGATAAAACAAAGTACCGGTTTGTCCTGTTCCCTACGATAATAATATCAATGACAAACCAAACCAGGAACACGATAGTAAGGGGGAGACAAACCCATACCTCCTGAGGAACGGGTGAAAATGGGATGTTCAAAAGTACCTGAAAGGAATTTTCAGAGGAACTACTTCATGCAGAGGATAGTGAGATTGTGGAACTTGCTGCCTGCAATGGTTGTTGAATCAGATAGTGGAGATGCTTTCAAGAGGAAGATACACCTTCACATGAGGGAGAGGGGAATATATGGTTACAGGAGGGAGCAAAGGAATGGCTGACGGTACATGTGGAGTAGGAACACCATCTTGAACTGATTGGGGCGATGATATGTTTCCACGATGTACATTCTTTGTGAATGTTTGTATCAAATAGCGCATTTTAAACCACATTTAACATTATTTCTGAGTCGATAAGTTTAGTTCAGTAACATAATAAAATAAGAATTTGCTGGGCAAGAAAAGACCAAGGTCAATCTAGTTCGCCCTACACTATCCTGGTTGTCGCTTCTCATGTCGTGTCCCGAACTGTACATCGAATCCCGAAATGTTATTTTCTCGCAGAAATCTATCCAATTTGTTCTTGACACAAATGACATTTTCTGCTTCCACTGTCTCCCTCGGGAGCCTTGTCGATAAGTTGACTGCTCTCTCACTGAAGTTGTTGCCACGGATGTGTTCTGAATTGCCCCCACTTCAGTCATAATACGTGTCCTCTGATTCTACTGTTCAGTACAAGACAAAACAGCTTGTCATGGTTTACAGTATCTATTCCCTTCAGAATTGTAAATACAGTAATCACATTGCCGCTCAACCTGCTCCAGTGTGCACATGTCCAGTTTATCTCATTGCTCTTCATAATGTAGAACCTCTAACCCCTCAATCAATTTGGTTGCCCTCCTCTGAATCCTCTGAATCGCTGCAATATCCTTCTGAAAGGCTAGTTTGACTGGTACAATACTGCTCTTCGTCTCATAACATGGCACACAACTTGTGAGACCCAATAGATAAACTTAAGATTATTGTTAAAATATGTAAGAAGAATACACATCTACTGGGCAGATGAGATGAGGTTATTTTCCACAGAGCTTTGTTTGTATATTTTACCCACAGTGGCTGTTAAAGTTGAGTCAATGAAAACATTTAAAAGTGAATGACATAAATGAATGCATGACAGAAGTTGGTAAAATAAATGTTCCAACAATAAGGACTTGCATTTATATAATACCCTTCACAAAGGTTTAGCATCTCAGTGAAATGATATTAGCAAATGGGATTAGACTTCGGAGTTACTGTGATGGATTAATTGGCCAAGACCAGAGAAATGGGAAAAGTACTCCAGTCTGGAGTGTGTGTCCGGCATAACCACAGTGGTCAAATAGCCTCTTTGGAGTTGAAATCTGTATAGCCAGACTGCCACTTCAGTGTGATCTCCTGCAGGAGCTGAGTTGGATGGAAATCTGAACAGGATCCGTCATTAAGTAATACCACCAATTAGCAACGCGGACACCCAGTAACATGATGTGCATAAAAACTCACTTTTGGTAGATTTGTCAGTTGAGAGGATTGAACGCCGTTCATCTCCATTGAAAACACCGGTTGATTCTTCTGTGACGGAGGAACCTTCCAATCTACTCATTGTGCAGTTCATCACTATGCTGTGTACGTGGCACAGTTACTGCGCTACATGAAGACTGCAAAGTACCTACATCTATTTGCATTTACTTTGCATTGTGCGAACCTGGGGTTATTATAATGCAATTCACCCTGAGTCTCATCAGCTGTCTATTGTGTTCTTTGTTAGCAAATACAACAGAAGGTTGTGGGTTCAGGCCCTCTGTTGGGATTTGGATCCCCATTTCAATGCTGGGGTTCAGCTGTATCCAGCACTCAAACCCAGACGTCCAACTTCACAAACCCAGCTTCTCTGATTCACTGATGAGAACATGGGGTCTGGGGTGAGAGGCCATCTCTCACGTGCCCAGTTATTGTGCTGAATACTGATAAACAACAATAATAATCCTTGCATTTGATATAATGCGTATCACTTTGTTGAGACATCTCAAAGTGCTTCACAGAGTATACTGTAAATTGATTTGATGATATTTTGTTGGCAAAATGCGGTAGCCAATTACATAAAGCTGTGTCCCACAAACAATCATTGTTTCAGTGACCAAATGATTAATATTATTTTTTATTTTTCTATTTATTTATTTTTTGAAGGGATTATTACCCTTGGGAAACTATCCGCCAATCGACTAACACATGAGTTCCTGCTTACTGCGAGGTAAAGAGAGGCATGTGGAGCAATGAAATTGCCCAACATTTGGCCGTGTCTGGGAATCAAACCCAAGTCCTTTCACATGCGAAGCGAGTACTCTACCCACTGTGCTACAGGACTCCACCCGATAACAGACTGCACATCTTAGAGGCAAATGAGACATCTCATTTAGGCAATATATCAACAGCGATGAAGTAAATGTCAGAGGGGAAAGAGTGAGGGTGCAGAGAGAGTGGGGGGGACGCGTAGTGGGTGTGGGGGAGAGAATGGGGATGGAACAAAGTACTGTTTTGGCCGGTACCCTCCGACTGAAATATTGGTCACAAACCAGCCCAGGAACAAGATACCAATAGGAAGACAAACCCGTGCCTTCTGCGTGAATATGTTACATTCAAAAAGGTGGTGATGAGCATGGGACATTCAGCTCTGAAGGGGGACATCACAGATAACATTTGAAAAGCACTAGTTTTACGACATCAAAATGACTGAAATTATCTATGTGTATATGTGCAAATATCGGATGCGACGTTTACACCCAATCCACACAAACACCTCATCACTTTACAGTATGTTGCTTGATGCGCTTTGAAATGTCTTGACAATGTGATAAGGTCCCTATTGTATATCAATTGGAACAATTATTGGTATTATGGGTAATTATATGAACTCCTAAAAGGATAGAGTAAGGCTGATATGTAGACAAGAAGTTAGTGGATGCAAACTATCCTGAAATTGGCATCTGAAAATCTCTGGTTTTGAATGTAGTTAAGCAATCGCGGAGTTGAATTTCCAGCTTTAGAATAGTTAGCTCCAAAAGAGGTCAGCGAGACG